GCTATGCCATAAAAGGTATCAACACATAATATGTGTTTGAAAGGGTGGCAGGATTTGTTCTTTTGAAACAGGGCCTATGAACTTGCAGTTGAATTAAAAGCTCGAAGGTTTGTACTAGCTCAAGCTAGTCAGAATCGGTGTATCTATCCCTTTGGCCGAATGGTTATCCGCCGTAAATTACCTGATCCAAGCCGGAGTTTGATCACAGAAACCGAGCAATGTCGTTGTCCGGGGCCGATCGGCGCTGAGGCTACGCCAATTACGCTGCGCTGACCAGCTGTTGGATCCCGCTCTTCAACTCGTGGCTCGGAAAAGTGGAAGACCTCAGCCCCCTTTGAGGTTTTTGGTGTGGTCCCCAGGAGAATCGTCCAACATCCTGAAAGGCCAGCTTTCAGTGGGAGGATCAGGGAGCTTGTTGAGACAAATTAAGGGTCTAATAAAGGGAGATCAATGCCTCGCTTGAGGCGAGGGTGCACTCGTCCTAGTTGCCCTCCACTTTGAGGTTTCTGGAAGATTCTGCCTTTCAGCGCGAGATGCAGGACAACTGCCGGGGCCTCGGATTGAAGGCATGACCATATTCCAGGAAGGGTCATTAGTCAGTTAACGTTGATTGGCTTCCACCCACTAGTCTGGAAACGAAGGGAACCTGGGAAACCATGTCCCTGATGAGAAGGGCCGGCTTGCATGCAGACTTTGAGCACAAAGACGCAAAACCAGCACCTCCGTCGTGTTGTGCTTCCTGAAAGCCTTAGGTGAAGATAATCCGGACCAGGTCCAGGAGGCGCTTGTTTGTGGGTGGTGACTTGGGCGTGAAGCTGTGAGCCACGGATGAAATGGTGGCGTCAGCATTTGACTAGGTTCTTGACCAACTTTTTGGCATTCACCCTCAGGCAGGGTTCCCTGTGGCCGCGGCCATGACGGTCCCTTTCCTGGGTTCGACCGCTTTGAAGGCCCCTCGCAGGGCCAAAACGTTCCTGGCCCGGCCGGGCAACTGCCCACGTAGTCTTTTGGTGGATCATTAAGAGACCAGGACCAGTGTTTGGCTGCGTAGCTCGAAGCTTCTGGTGGGACTCGCTCATTTGGGTGTGGGTCAAAAATAGGTACCCAAAATGGAACGCTGGTAACTGGAACCAAGGACTAAAACCTGCGGTCCAATTCCTGGTGGCTTAAATTTGCCCCATACCCATTTCTTCTTGCTCAGCTCAGATCGCCGGATACACCAGAACGCAACGCCTGTGCCGGCAAAAGCCGAAGGAGACGGAGGAGGAGGACGAAATCGAGGACGACTGCCGCAGCTGGAAACTCAGCGGACACCTCGTGCATTCTGCTGCGGGTGCGGCCAGCTGTAACGAGCCGTGGCCTTTTGGGGGACAACTGATCAGATATTCAATATGTTCAATCTTTCATCACCAGAAAGCCATTGCCGTGTCCTATAGAATCATTTGTCTGGCACACCCCTGATGTGTCTACACCTCCAGACAATGGTTCTTCTAGAGGGCTTCCATTTGGTCTGTCGCCTTTTTTTGGGGGGCAGATATTCCATTGAGCAGTTCAGACCAGAGCCCTCGTTCAGACCCTAGAGCCCTCGACGCCTTTTTGCCCATTGTTTAATTTTGTGCTCCAAGGCGAAGATGACTTGCTGCCAACTTGGGAAGGCGTGCCCAAAGGCGCGCGCAAATTTTTTAGGTGCACAAGAGCAATGTACAAACCACAAACTCGCAAGCAGAAATGCCGTCATGCCCTCCTGCTACTTAAATGATACGTATATACAATATACTCATAGGCATATTGGCAGAATATATTTACATAGAGATGAGCCGTGCCGTGTTTCTGTGGCAAAGCTGGGGAAAGCAGAAGCGATTTCCGCTGGATCTCTGTGGTTGGAGCATTTGCTTCTGGATTGACATTGATCGTTTTTCCCATAGAGCCCGAGTTGCGAACCGAGAAGTGGAGCTCATTGTGCGTCCAGTCCTGAGTGTTTTATTGGAGGGATTTGGTGGACTTGGCGATTGAAACTTGGTTTCATGTTTCTGCCGTCTCAAAGTCACTCTACGAGTTATCAAGCAACCCAATGGACCCCACTGGACTCATAGTCAGGAAATTCCGTGTGCATCATCGCAAGCGTCGCAAACCTACTTTCAGGGTGAGCCGTAGTTGTTCGTCCTGAAGCCAGGTATGACAGGAACAGAAACCCATGAGTTGCCTTTTTCAATTTTGCCTCTTTGGGGACACAGGACTTGCTTGCGAGTTTTGACACGAAGTGGTTGTCTTTTTCCAGCTGATGGCGTGGTTCAATGTTTGTCATTTAATGACACCGCTGTTTCCGAGCAGTGCTTACTTCAAGAGTACCTTGTCAGAAGCAAGAAACACAAAGGCCGCGCTAAACATAGGATTCCTTTTGTAGCCTAAAACCCACCACGAGGACAACTCTCAACTTTGCATGATCCTCCCATGTTGCCCGAAAGCGAGTCTGACGTTCCGGCATGTGTCGTTTTGCCGGCGTGCTGCAGGAAAATCTTGCCGTTTATGGGTCGAGCACCGCATTATGGGTGTCCCTTATTGGCTGTCTGCCCGGTTTCAGCAAACACTCAAGTTATCCAGTTGTCCAACCTATGTTTCACGCTGACCACGAGTTTAGGTGCCGCATCTAGTTGCTTTACTTGCACTCTGTTTTGGAGATCCTTCGGACGAGCTGCAAACGTTTCGACCATGTTCTGGCTTATGTTGCGTGGCCGCCAGGTGGCGCTCTTTGGAATCGACAGTTCCGGGAGCAAGGATCTAAGTTCGAGAGTTAAAAGGGTTCCAAGCTGAAGATGCGGTTTTTGGTGGTAGCGCGCGATTGCAGTGGCCGTCGACCGGCATGGCGATCGGCTGCATATGCTCGACTGCTGCTCCAAATCTCTTTCAAGGGGAACAAGGGGTTCCTGTTATTTGCCATCGACAGGCATGGAAGCGGTAGTCCTCCAACACGAGCCTAAAGGCGTTGCCGTTCACCGCGTTGCTTGGGTGCTTGCCGTCCACGGGAATCTGTACTCACTACCAGCGCCAAGGCCGTGGATGCTGGGATAGCTGAGCACTTGGTGCCGAGGAATCTGTAGGCCGGCGCTGACAGGCAGTGGACATGTTTTCTTGGCGACCGACCCTGTTTTCTTGATCTCTGCACTTGGTGATCTAAAATCGTTTTGATAGCCCACGGTGGTTTTGGCTAATCAACTCAAAAAGGCCACAGAGTGGAAACATGCGAGGACCGCACCTGTGGCGCTGGCAGGGGATTGGTTTTCTTGGAGATGCAATATTGATTTACTTCTTTAAAGACAAATGATTCATCAGATCACGGCTTTGTGAAAGGTGGAAGAAAAATTTCCCGGCCTTGCCAGCCATGTTTTATCCCAGGGCATTAGGTTCATTCCGGGGCCGTGCCTCGCTCTCGGGATCTCGGGACGGGCTACCCTTGGCCAGGGTTGCAGAGGACACTCTATACGTTGAGGCAGCGATGTTGCTGTATGCTGTTGTGTCAACATGTTTGTCAATAGGGTTCCAAGAAATTCCGCTTTGATCCTTGTTCCCCCTTTGCCAGCCGCCAAAGCTATCAGCATTGTCAAGATGTTGATGATGGGAAGCAGGCTGTGTTGTGAGGTACTCCCTATTCCTCTGCTAATATTGGGAGCGGATCTGACTTTGTAGCTGCCTGAGAGCACCAGCTTCACTCGCCATTTGTCTGTGCGAGTCCAGGCTTTCCCCATCAGCCCACCAACAAACTTTAGCTGGAAAGTGATTCCTGCGAGTCGCAGAGCAAGTTCAATTCAGCACTGGCCTTTGTAGTTCAAGCACTTCCTAATCAATCTGAGTCTTCACTGTCAAGCTCGGCTAGTGGAAATCCCGATAGCACATATGGAGCTTGCCTTTGAGACGTGGTGCTTGACCTGAGCATTAGCCATTCGCTGCATTCGATAGGAGGCCAGATGGACTGCGTCCGCCCGTCCGTTTAATAACCTCTGGAGGATACTTCGCTGCAGGATGCTGCAGGTGCAGACTGGAGGTAAATCGAACCGCAGGGCGTCAGACTTGCTGCAAACCCGGATATGCCTGTGTTGTCCATAAGTTGCAATATGTTTTTTTTCCCCTACATCATAAGCTTATTTCAGGCATGTTGCTGACGTCTGGAGCTCTGTCACCGGATTGGATGGCAACGTTTCATCAACATCAATCGGCAAAGTTTAGCGAAAACGCAGTTGCTTGCTCTCGTGGCGCTTCGCCTGGGGCCCGTGACACAAATTTGTGGAGCCCTCGACAGTAGATTGGTGATGTTCCTTGTGATGCATTTGCTTAAAGCGCCATCAAAAGGTGTCCAGGGCAGGATACATCTCCCTTACTTCCGTTGGGTATGTGTTGTTGGCGGTCCAACCGTGAAATTGGACTACCGGAGTCCGGCACCCCACTCTGAGTTGCAAAGCACCCCTTGCAAGCCACGGAGTCCACTGAACGCCAGGAATGGCGTTGCTAAGCGCAGCCATAAGCGGAGTTGTTTCCATTTTCAGGTTTGTGATGTTGGGGGTACACCCTGAATCTCATGGCACAGAACGAGAAGCTTGGAGAACTGCTCGCAGCATAGCCTGGCTCAGTCAGCCCACTGGCGCTTGCTGGGGGGAAGCATTCAGGAGAAAGAAGCCGGTTGCTTTGAGCCACACAACTCCAGGAATCAGCTTGTTCCACCCAAGGTTCGGACGTGCACAGCCTGAGTCCGCGTTTGTCTCGGAGGTTTCGAATATTTGCAATTGAAGACAGCTGCAGACACAATGTTGTAGCGCTACACTAAGTTCCTTCATTAAGGTTCTTTGTTCTGACATCGAGGACCCCTTCACTTGGAGGGTTACGCGTGTTCCCTTTAGAACTGACTACATGGGTCTGTTTTTTTTTTTTTTTACGTTTCCCTTCAACCAAGAATATGATTTGACTTTCAGGAGGCACGAAAGGCCCAGGCCCGCTTTTTCGGCATCGCCTGTTTTCGGCATGCCTTGAGCAGCTGCGAGTTCGCCTGCCAATGGCATGGCGCGAAAAAGGAGATGCTGGTCGCGACCCGATTGCAGGTTTGAGGCCTGGACCGGTGTGGTCCTGGAATTGCGCATGAACTCCTTTTTCTAGGGGTACCTTCCCCATTCTTTCCAGTGCATCCTTCTAGAAAACCACCTGAAACCCAAGGAAAGCGGCCGGTTTTTGGAAAAGAGCTTGGTTTGATCAGGTCCTGAGTTTGGGATGTTTGATCATATCCCCTGTGCTTTGGGGCTTAGGCAACCAAAGGCAAAGCAACCAGTCGGAGGGAGTTCTCAGTGTGAGACAACGCATTTGGACGTGACGGATGTTTCTTGGAAGGCTCTTCTCAGATTCTGTATTTGTGGGAGGACATATGCTTTAAAAGAGTGACCGAAAGGAAGTTGAATGACTATTATTCATGTGTTTTTCTGTTTGTCTCTGTGTGTGAGTGTGGGTGTGCGAGGGAGTTCTCAAACCTAGTTGCTGTTTGGCTTTGAGAAGCCTGTGCCTGAGCCTCCCAGGTGGGTTCAACCATGGCTGATACACAGGAATGCAAAAGTGCTGAGTGGGAGGCGCATCCCAAGTAGTGCATACTCTGAATATCATAGGTTCTGACCAGATGTTGGAGCTATGCGTAGCCATGAGCCCAACAGTCAACACAATTGGTTGACATCCTGTTGCAAATATGAGGTTGCGCCGGACCAACCTGGCATGGAAACTAGGGTCATACAAAAGCAATGGGGGCCTTCGTAACACTGCTGAGCATACTGTTGCCCACAGGGTGCAAGTGATGCTCCATTTCTGAGTATGGTCAAATGGGAGTTGTTCAGTAAGAAACCTTCCAACTCGGTTCACTTGAGCCTTCTTCTTTGGGATGAGCGGTTGCAGGATCTGGGAAGTGACGGTTTTGCCCGAAGTAAGGCCCCCGTGGATCCTGCTGGGCGCCTCTCTTTGCTCTGTGGTGCTGTGGCTCTTGCTGCACCGGGAGCTGCTGGGGGCGAGCGACTCCATCTTTGAGGCTGGGACGTAGGGTTTGTTGTGCAGTGGTAGAACGAGGCAGGAACCCTGTTGAAAGGTGGCTGTGCAATGCAATGGAACAGGCATTGCGGGTGCGTGATTGAACCAAGGGAACCCCTCAAGCATAAACCGAGCCATCTAAAGGGGTGCCGAGAATTTGATACATCCTCAAGAGGACGCGGTGGAAGCGGCCTTGGTTCACCAGGCTTGGCTAGTCGCAGGTGTGGCGAAAGTGGACTGAATACTTTGAATCTCCTTTGCCTTTCTGCCAATGGCTTCAAAACGGCCCCTTGGCCATGCCACGTGCTCTTGCAGTAGGAATGATTCACCATGATTCACCCACTTGAAAGACCTAGCGTAGCGGCGTGCGCGCTGAGCGACCGTCAATCGGCGCGGCGGCTATTGGCGTGCTAACGAACGGGGGAGCGGTGTATCGGCATAGCGGGGCATCGGCGTATTGGCGCGGCGGGAGCGACGTAGTGGCATACCGCGGTATCGGCATATTCGCAGGGGGAAAGCGGCGTATCTTAGGCGCAACGGCGAATCTGTGTGACGGCATATCGGCGTATTGACGGGGGAAAGGCGCAACTGCACGTAACCCCCAAATCGGCGTGGTGCATCGGCGTAGCGGTGTATCGGCATAGGGGGGTACGTGGTTGGGGGGGGGCTTGTGGGGCAAGTGAATTGGCGTAGTAGCGTGCCGGCGCACCTGGGCTGGGGAGGCCAAGCGGCGTAACGGCGCATTGGCAGCCCTTTCTACATGCACGCTGTTTTGTTCGACTGAAACATTTTCATACATGCGAATACGTATGTGTCGTTGATTTGCATCAGGGCCTTAAAGTTGGACTGCTTGACTGGCGGCCAGGTGAAGGAACCTGCCCCTCCTCCACTCGAGCTGCGGGTGGCCAGTCCCAACTGAAAGGTTTGCTTAGAGCTGAGCCATGGGAACCGTATGGAGACCTGGTTTAGAAGTTAATAAGCTTGGACCGTGCCAAAGACACCCCAGTGGTCTTTTAGGGACGATGCAACAACGGCAACCAGAATGCCGCCTACCTATGGGGTCCAACTGTCTTTTTCTCACGCTGTTATGACATGAGTGAGGCGGTTCTGGGTGTTGCAACCCGAATGACAACTATAAGTCTTGAATCAGTGAATAGGAGCTCTATGCCAACATGGGCTGTGGCTTGGCACAATTTTTGCGACCACTCACCAAACCTCAGCGACCTCGGTCGATTGCGAAGAAAAGCACCTGCCAAGAAGCCACATTTTTTGGCATTGGATCAACAGTCGCCTGAGGAAGCAAGTTTTTATGGGCCATGACTTGTGCGGCTACCCAACCCCAGTGGAAGTAGATTTGGGGCGGTGGTGAGGGGTCTCAGTCCCGTTGAACACCAAGGGCGAATCCTGCTGGTCGAACATCTTGGTTGTTTGAGGTTGATCAGTATGGTGATCAAGCCTTCAGGGAGTCTTGACAACAGCTATACGGTTTGGGGAAGCATGACCATCCCCCAAAGAAGGCCCGCTGTCTTGAAACAGGTGGAGCCCCGAACTGGGAATTCAACGTGCAGCAGTCAAGCCACCTTATCGCTGCGGATGACCATGCCCCAAGAACCGACAGTGAAACATGTCTCATGGCTATGACATCATGCCCAAGAGCTGTATAAGTAACATGTCGCCAAGCACAACAACATGACTCTCAGGAATTGCTCATTGCCTCAATGCTTCTTAAGTACAAGCGCTGCTTTGTGGTCGTGCTGCATATTTGTGGCACCCCAACAAAGATACAGTTCCTTCTGGTTTCCGCTTCAAAACTCTCAAAAAGGTTACCCTTGAAAAAAAGTACCGTCCGCATTTGGAGTCTCTTGAGGCTACGTCGCTGAGCGCAACCTCAGCTCCCAGGGGCTCTCCTTCACTCGCGCCAAAATCACGTCCAACGACGCCGCCAAAATCACGTCCGACGACGCCTTCGCCGGTGACTGAGCTGAAGTCAGACGTCGGCAAGGAACAAAAGGCGACCAGAAGCAAACGAACCGTTGGGATAGCAAATTTTGCAGGGTTTCAACCCAAACCCGGGAATTTGTCTGGGCCAAACGTATGGAAACAGAAACGTGTTGTTGGTAGATGACGTTTCATTGGGAACGGTCACTGGCTTATCTTCCAGGGAGTACATATTCACATGTTCGCAGCGAAAGCTCCGCGAAAGTGATCATTAAAAACACATGCCCGCGAAAGTGAAACGTGTGTTTCTGGGGCAACCATTAAGAGCACGATGTGCCAGGCTGATGGGAAAGCATTTCTTATATGGTTGCCCCTTGTTGTGAAAAGGTGAATACATGCCCGTTGTTCATGTGGTTCTTATCGTTTTTACTTTTCTTTCTTCTTATTTTATTATGATTGTTATGATTATATTTGTTTCAATCTGCAAGACTGCCTTGTGTGTGTTTGTTTGTTTGTTTGTTTGTTTGTTTGTTTGTTTGTTTGTTTGTTTGTTTGTTTGTTGCCTTGTTTATATTTGACATTCCGCAGCTGCCCTCAGCTCACAACTTTGGATCCAACGACCCTGCATTTGCATATTGCCTTGTTTTTCTAGGACCTGATTACAAGTAAATTGTGGGACACCCACCAACGGGGCCAAGACTTGCCGGCTTACCAAGCCGCCGATGCAAGGCACAACTTTCCGGCGCAGCCAAGGCAACCGCCGTCAGGGAGGTGTCAGCTCCCCACGTCAGCGGCGCCAGCGGCACAGCCACGGACTCCGCCGCTCCGAACTCGGCGAAGTCTGCGAAGTCGTTGACGGTGGCGCTGGCGGCAGAGCTGAAGCAGCTGGAGGGCGTGTTGGTGGTCATCAACTCGGTGCCTACGGTTGCAAACGGGTCAGAATGATCAACCTGGCAGAGAGGCTTGTCGTATTGCTTCTTCAGAGGTCAACATAATAGTGGTCACCTCGGATGCATCAACCTAGTCTGATTCCTGCTGTTTGTTCCCAGGAGCATACCCGGGGCACACACGGATGCATTTTGTTCCATTTCAGGTTGCATCCCCAATCTATCCAGACGACGAAGTCACTCAACGGATGATTTTCTCGCGATGGGAGTGCTGCGTCCATTTCGAGGCCATGTCCAACGCCGCAGACCCCTCCAGCCTGAAGTTCCGCATCATCAGCTCGGGGGAGGACGCGGAGCCGTTGGTGGCCAAGGTGAAGAGCAGGCGCGTGGAATGCTCAAATGTGCAGTTTTGCTGCTAGCGCTTTACATTTGGGGGGTATCTTTTAGGGGGGGAGTCAGAGTGACACTGTGATTTCTAGTTTCCTGGGTTCAGAGTTCCAAAGTTCGTTCCATTGAGGGTGCATGAGTATATGTCACACTAGCTTGGCTTGTGTGAAAGGTGAAAGCGACATAAAACCGGGCATTTGGAGGGTTGCCTAGGTTAAAGTGCTCGATTGTTGAGGCCTTGGCAAACAACAGCTTTTAAGATGATTCACTATACATATATATATATATGTCAACACTGAGAGTGTATACACCCTCCCCACGGTGCATAGCGCCATCTCAGAAAAGCTAGCCCCAACATTTTTGGGGGTAGCGTTTTGAAGTGCAGCCAACGAATGGGGGGGGGGAGGGACACAGCTCCAAAAGGAATGACTCCAGTGGATGGCTTCGATGGAAGTGGCCTTTTGCCATTTTTTGCCTAGGCTGCCAGCTTGGCCCATGCTGGACATTGGGGCGGTAGACTTCGATCCCTGGAACCCGCGCGTGGGCAAGCTGCTGGGAGGAAAGAGCTCCTCCCGCAAGGAGTCGGCGGGGATCGTTTTGTTTGGATGTGTCCATTTCTGAAATGAACATGGTTTTATTTCCCCTGTTGGGTTTTAAAGGGAATGATTTCTGGACATGTTTTCTCATTTTTTCCAGGAGGCGAAAAAGCAAATGGTGGCAGCTGGAGGTGAAGTTTTTTCACCGGTGTGAATGAAACACACGACCAGTCTTGTGACGGAGCCAGGCAGCATTTCGTGCAGTGCTGACGGATTATGCAGTGACGGCTGACATTTGCTGCTGTATGATTGCATTTCAGGGAAGCATTTGGCCAAGTGAAGCAACCTGCTAGTCGGGATCATGCCTTGGAAGATGCGGCCAGTTGGTGGTGGGTGAAAACACTGCTTGTCCAGGAGTGGGGTTTGTCATGAAGCCTTCCATTCACGAGTCATTTGTCTTTTTGCCGTGGGCCCCGCCCCCTCCTGCAACTGGTGTTCAGACTCAGACCTAAACAAATAGCTACATAAACAGTCAAGATCAAACATAGACAGGCACAATCACGACTAGCCAAACTCAGATTCACAGGATGACAGATGAAGACGCGACAGATAGACTGAGAGACGCGACGCAAGCAGACATACAGCACTTGCGCACACATGCGCTCACTTTTTGCACGCTTGTGGAGGAGCTCTTCGATGCCCTGAACTTTGCAGCCTTTTACTTGCACGAGGCGCTTCCAGACTTGGCGAATGGTCGTGTGCTGCCACTTGCCCGCATTGGTGCGGATGACGCTCTCTCATGATGGGTGGTGGATTCGCACTTGCTGTGGGTTCCTTGGTCAGCGGTGGTGGCAAACATCCAAAAGAATTCACAAAAGTGATTTGCTTGGGGCTGAAGACTGGAAGTTTGTGGCTGTTGCTGGGCTGAACATTCAGATTCAGGTTGCCAGCTTGGCAACTTTGCCCACTGCCCAGTTGACCATCCTCGCTAAGACCAATTTGTGACCTTCATTCGTACGTGGGGTTAGCAACGCTTGACCGCCCTTGGGGAGATCTCGTTACCGGGCCTGCCCAATAAATCCTTTTGTTGGGTTGTATTCTGATTGTTAATTTCTCAGTCCTGCAAATGCATGTTCCTTGCTTTGTTTGGTTGCTGTGTTCATTTTGTGTATTTGTTTATGTTTGCGTGTGTTGTATTTTGTCCTTGTTGTTCCTTGTTTTCTTTGTTGCTTGGTTTTCTCATGTCATCCTTTGATTTGCCTTCCTTGATTCTTAACTTTCCTTCCTTTGTCTTTCCTTCTTGATTCCTTCCTTTCCGGCTTCCTTCCTTGCTTCCTGTTTTTCTTCTTTGCGTTCTTCCTTCCTTCCTTCAGTTGTTTTCCCTGTTTCCGTTCTTGCTTCCTTCCTGTCTTCCTTTTGTTTTCTTTCCGTTCTTCCTTTCTTCCTTTCTTCTTTCTTTCCTGCTTTCCTTTCTTCCTTTTTCATTGCTTTTGCTCGAGTGTCCTTATTTCTCATTTGTGTTAGTTCAATCCTTTCTTACAGGATCTTGTGTTCTTATTTGTTTGCTTTTTATTGCTCAGCCCTTTATTTTGGATCATTTGAGTGTGTCCTTCTATGCCTCAATATGCATTACGGTTGTTGCTGCTGTATGGTGTTGTGATGCCTTAGCCTTAATGGTTTGAGTTATGGTGTACATCGTTTTGTGTTGATTGGTTTGTTCCTTGTGTTCTTCGATTGTATTACGTATGTCCTCATCCGTTAGAATGTTGGTTTATGAATGTTTGTTTTTAAGTCCGTGTGTACTATGATTGCTTGTCCCGTGATCTTGATCATCCTTTCAGTCTATCATTGTTATAGCGTCGCTGATTTGTATCATGTTGTTCAATCTTGAACATGTTGTTTGGTAGTCATTGTGCATGTCTGTCCAAGGCGTATGTCGCTTGACTAGGTGTGTACTTTGCGGCGGTCTTCGTCTGACCTTTTTGCTTGTCTTTCTCGTTATCCTTCCGTCTTTCTTTATGCCAATGTTTTTGCATGTGTGTGTGCCTTGGGCCTTTCTGTTCCAAACCCTGTCTCTTTCAATGTTCTCTGTCTCTTTCTCTCTTCGTATCTGTCTATCAGTCCATTTGTCTGACAATATGTCTGTTTGTCCGTCCGCATGTTTGTCGGTGAGGCGTGGCGTCTTTGCCTGTTTGCATGTCTGTTCGTGGTTGATGAAAGGTATCTGGACACTGACGTGGTGGTGGTGTCTGACCTTGCCCCTCTGGCGTCCCTGGATCTGCAAGGCCACGCTGCCGGTGCGGCGGAGGAGAGGCGGCGTCACATTTGTCAGGAAGGATGACACGCGCTTTTGTCTAGAATCGATATGGCTTTGAGTTCTAACATGGAGCCTCCTCAAAAATGGTTGGTGGACATGAATCCCCACATATATGATGTCCACCAAAGGGTCCCCTGTTAGACATGCCCATATGAGTCGTTTCTACATGTTAGTGGTCAGTTTGTGGGCGTCATTGTCCTTGCTTTTGTCGCTTTGGGCAACCATCAGTAACCCTTGGCGTGCCTGAGGCAGAGTCGCGACGAAACAGCTGTGCAGCTATCATGACCCTGCTTGGTGTTCAGCATTGTGCTGTGTTTTGGGCATTGCTCAGAAAGGGGATTCTACCTTTTGAAGGTGGTGTTTGTGTGTGTGGGCGTTTGTGTGTGTGTGTATGGTTCCGTGCGTGCGTGTGATTGCGTGTATGTGGGTGTGTGTTTGGGTTTGTGTCTGTGTCTGTGTCTGTGATTGTGGCTGTGTCTGTGTCTGTGTGTATGTGGTTGATTGTGTTTTTGTGCGTTTTGTTTGTGTGTTTGTGCGTGCGTGCGTGCGTGCAGGCGGGCGGGCGGGCGGCGGGCGGGCGCTCGCGCGCGTGCGTGCGGGCGTGCACGCGTGCGGGCGTGCGTGGGTGTGTGTGTGTGTGAACGTGTGTGTGTGTGTGAACGTGTGTGTGAACATGTGTGTGTGAACGTGTGTGTGTGTGAACGTGTGTGTGAATGTGTGTGTGAACGTGTGTGTGAACATGTGTGTAAACATGTGTGTGAACATGTGTGTGTGAACATGTGTGTGAACATGTTTGTGTGAACATGTGTGTGAACATGTGTGTGAACATGTGTGTGAACATGTGTGTGAACATGTTTGTGTGAACATGTGTGTGAACATGTTTGTGTGAACATGTGTGTGAACATGTGTGTGAACATGTGTGTGAACGTGTGTGTGAACGTGTGTGTGAACGTGTGTGTGAACGTGTGTGTGAACGTGTGTGTGAATGTGTGTGTGAACATGTGTGTGTGAACGTGTGTGTGTGAGTGTGTGTGTGTGTGTTTGTGTTTGTGTTTGTGTTTGTGTTTGTGTTTGTGTTTGTGTTTGTGTTTGTGTTTGTGTGTGTGTGTTTGTGTGTGTTTGTGTGTTTGTGTGATTGTATGTGTGTTTTGATTGATGTGTTTGTTCTTTTGTTTTTTTTTGTTTTATGTTGTTTGTTTTGTTTTTTGTCTTGTGGTTGTTTTGTTTTGGTTTGGTGTTGTTCTATGTTGCTCGCTCGCTCGCTTGCTCGCTTCTTTGCTTGCCTGCTTGTTTGCTTTTTTGCTGGTGCTTGTTAAACGTCTTCCAGTTTTGTTTTGTTTTTACACCGTTTTTTGCCACAGGCCCACCTCCAAAACGAAACAATAGGGAACCAACCGAAATGGAGCCCAAAGACATTGCGTCGCCTTTTTTGCGAGGATTGCTCTCAGCGCGTGGGGAAATACATCGACGTGGACCGGCTCAAGGCGCTCCAAAGCGAGCTGCCGGCGCACCAGGACGGGGCTGGTAGACCTTGTGGCCTGCCAATTGGCTGTGGGTCAAATGCAATGGGATCCCATTTTGGGGTAGGTGCACCACCCTTGTTAGTCTAATTATTTTAGTGGGGATTGGGATGTTCACTGGGGGTACGGGGTCTTGACCCATGCATGGCCAATTCTGTTCTCAAATCAGGTAACCCTTAGCTGGTGCTTTGGATTGGGGGTTTGGGAATTGCAGCCCTGGCTTTTGTGAAACCCTCGGAAGCTGATCAAAAGTTCAGACAGTTTGTCGTTGCAATGTATATGTTGATTCTAACAATTCCGCCGTCGTTCTTTTCAAACACCCGCCGTTTGTTTCAGGGTCTTTTGTTGTTTTTCCAGAAAGAAGGATCCCTGGAATGAATGGGGAAGCACCCATAGAGTTGCGATGTATGTGACTGGTAATTCTGAGGATGTTACTTGTCACACTCCTGCATTTGCTTGTGTTCATGTCCGAGACCCCAAAAGTCAAGTGTTTTGTTTGTAAGTTTATTCTTCATACCAAAGGCCCACACAAAAGTGAACTTTTTGTGGGCTGTCAATTGAGGAGAGCTTGCTTCATGGCTTGTCTCTAAATGGGGCAGTTTTCACCATGGGCTTCGGATTTTGTTTGGTTTCCTGTAAAGCCCTCAAAAAGCGCGACCACCCTAATCTTGGCAAATGTTAGTCATTTCCCCACAAGCTTGGCTTTGATTTTGCCGGCAAGTGAGCGCGCCCTTCTTCAAAGGTAGCCCAAGGATCATCAACCCCAGTCATAGGCGGACCATGTTCGTAGGCTCCTTGTTGCTTTGGACGGAATCACGCCGCTGTCGAGCGCGCTGTTTCTTGTTTGAGACCTGTGATGATTCTTTACAAGCAGCAATGCCCCCGACTGCGTTTCATGATTGGGGCCTTTTCCAACTTCTGCATTGCTGCACTCTAGTTCGGAAAAGTCGGCCCGCAATCGAGCATACAAAGGGTTCCCATCCGAAACATCAACGTAAGCTACCCGTAAAGCAGACTATGTGATTGTTGTGTGCATGCTTTCTGTGTGTCTCGTCATGATGCTGAGTTTGTATATTGATCCAACGTTTCTCGCTGTCTGCTTTGTGATTGTGCAGGCAGAGGTGTGCAGGCAGTTCTGTGCATTATCCATTGCGCACGTTCTGCTCTGTTTCTTGGACCTTCGGTGGTCACATTGTTGCCTTAGTGAGTGTGGCTAGTGTTCAGCGTGATGAGCTACTCCTGTATGTGTGTGACACTTGAGAAACGTCTGAGATCTCGGTGTACTTGCTTAATAAGGGCTATGTCATAGCAACCTGTTGCGTATGCAAATTCTCCACACGCGAAGCAGATGTTGAGGGAACACAGACTTGCACAGAGCGGATTTGCAAACAAACAACCTATACAAAACATAACTGCATGACAATTCCGCGACGCATGGGCTTAGTGCAGTAGAAAAAGTACACAAGGAGGTAAGAGCCACTATGGGCTGCCCATTCGGAAACAAGGCAAGGGCCTTACGCTCCCCTTACGCACACTTTACACTACGCGTGCCATACGCACCGAACACAAGCATGTGTAGAGTTTGCTGGCTTCTGTGAGCTACATGGCCATGAGATGCGGGAATCTTCACAGTCTGCAAAGGAAATAGCCTTCGAATTCGACAAGCTGTCTCCACAAGATACCAAAGCACATTGACACGTTGTCCAGGTTTGCTCTTTACACTCGCTGTGGGCAAGTGTGCTCCGCGTGAGCTGTTTCTTCCGGGAAGTATGCTCAACGCAAGCTTTAGTGTGTTCCATAAGTATGTTCTGTTTCTATGCAAGTAAGCTTTGCGCATACCGTTCATGCGCAAGGATGCTTTCTGCAAGAGCATGGCGCAAGCTTCTCTGCTTTCTGCTTGCACGCATGCAGTGTGAACATGTGTTTTTTTTGTGCTTGCTTGTTTGTTTGTTTGTTTGTTTGTTTGTTTGTTTGTTTTGTTTGTTTTGTTTGTTTTGTTTGTTTGCTTGATTGATTGTTTGTTTGTTTGTTTACACGCTCCTTTGTGCGTCTGTGTTTTGGGTTGTTTTTGCAGTGTGCATGTTCAGTGTATGTGATGTGTTTGTTGCTTGATTCATGTTGTGCCACGATTGACCCCAACCCAGCCCAACATCTGGTAGGCTCATCACTACCATGGTTTCAACAACAAGTCCGCTCCTTTTGCAAACGGACACCCAAGGGCACGCTTCGTTTTAATCCATCAGCTGGTCCGAGTGCAAATTGCACAGAATCTATTTGGATGTCGTTTTTGGTGCCTCCCCCCCCAACAGAACCAATTGTGGGTTTCCTTTGAGTTTTCCTTACAGACTGCAAAAAAGAGGGTATACACTCAAGAAGGACAGACCCATGTGTTGCTTCCGTTTGAATCGGCTAAACATGACAAAGAACATGTACAGCATCACCTTCGGGCCAAAAGGGGTGGTAATACCACCGGCAGGCAGGGTTACTCCAGGCCGACATAGGTTAACAACTTCTTTCAATATGTTCAGCCCCCCCAAAACAAAATCCATCCATTCCTCCATCATCCATGCATCTGTTGGCCCGCCCATTCATCCCTCGATCCGTCTGTCCGTCCTTGCTTAAACATTATCTTCCGGTTTCCCTTACAAGGACGCCAGGGTTTGCTTGTTTAATTGTTGCAACTGGGGGGTGGCACTTTCCCAGTCTTCTTGATCTCGCATAAGGTGCAAAACCCAAACTTTAGGGTCCCAAGACTTTACATTTGCGGGCCTTGGACCCCAACAGACCTCAAATAATAAGGTCTTGGGACCCTAGGGAAAAGATGAAATGGTTTAATCCTTGCAAACGGGGGTGGTACTTTTCCCAGTCTCGTTGATCTCATGTAGGGTGCAAAACCCAAAGGATGGTTTTTTTTTCCTCGCGAGGTCTCGAAAAAGAGCTGCGTGGTGAACCGGGGGGTGGTGCTGGTGGACTGCGCCGCCTGGAAGAAGCACCAAGTCACCGAAAGCATCGAGCAGCTGGTGAAGCTGCACCTCACCAAGGGCAAAGGCCCCCGACTGAGTGACTGGAAGGTCAGTCCGAATCAAATCTATCAAAGGGGGCACAAGGTTCAGGGGCACAAGGGGCACTGGAAGGTCCTCAGTCCAAGGGGCACAAGGTTCAGTCGATCAATTTGGGGGTCCCCTCCATCCACTACCTAACCTTGCCATTTCTGAAAAGTTGTGTCGTGGCTGATCTGCGAGAGTTTTGCGCAAGTGGAAGTGTCGTATCCTGGGCCACAGGCCCCTTGTGGCGTGCGGGCGTCTCTCAGCCGCCCTTTCTCATCGCTCTGGCTGGGAAGTACCTGGACCTCGGCGCGGAATACAACGTCCGTGGCCTTGGCAGGGGCGACATCGCACCGGAGGAGCGACATTCTGCTTCCAGATCAGAAGTTCAGAGCTGACGAGGGGAAGCTGCGCAAGTAAATTTCGGATGGTTGTGTATGCATAGTATGTCCATCGTATGTCCTCGGTATGTCCATTCATGATCCTCTACTTACCTCTTAAAAACACAACTTTTCAACTTGTTGGGTAACATGGGCTATATGTCTGAAAAAGATAAACTTCCCCAGGGCTTGGAGTTTTAAGGGGTAAGTCTATGGATCTTGGCATATTGCATAAATCACTCTCCTGGTCCCTCAGTACACTAGGGGCACGGAATCGTTGGTTCATCCTCACCCCCGCATGGTCTGCAGGGAAGGTCGATCCGTCATTTCTTAGCTGCTGCGCCCATCTGCAGGAGGTCGACTTCTACAAGAAGCGCAAGAGGCTCTGCAGAGTTTTTGGTTTGGTGTTTATTTTCCACCATCTCCTGGAGAGTGGCAAAGCAGCTTTCAGCCTGTCAATTCTGAAGTTTGTGCCACGGTCAAACACTTGGTTGCTGGGGTTGATTGTGACTTTTGGTTAAACCTTTTGGCTTGTTGCAAGGTGCCATGGTGCCCTTTGCATTGGACCCGCCTGTCACTTGGGGTTACTGTTTTTTGGCACATTTGCTTGCCGCTGGTTCCTTCGCAAAGAAACATGGGTTCATTATTAACCCACCCGACTAAGAAAGCAAGCGTTTGTTCGATCTTTGTCCTCGACGGACATCACACACACACACACACCGGCAACACAATATCATTGCTTGCGTGTTTCGAGACAAACGTACTCCCCCCCACCACCGCCTGTTGTGTTTGGTTGTTAGTATAAATCAACATTGTTTTTCAGCAGGGCACAAGAAGATTTGACGTTCATTCTCTTCGCCTTTGCGCGTTTGAAAGGTGTCAGCGAGCTTAGTTGGTGGTTAGAACGATTTGTGGGTTCCACAACAGTAAGCCCAAGACAGGGGGAATGATCAAGAGACGATCCCAGTTATGTACATCTGGTCCTCTTCAATGGCTAACGACGATGAGCTTCACGCCCATTGCAAAAGGGACCGCAAGTGGATAAACAGGAGCACTGGCCAGGTGGGACCCATACTACGACAAGTTCCTGCGCAAGTGCAAGTTCCACTGCTGCCCAGGCTCATGTCCAGCGATTTACAAACGGCAGGTGTTTTGTGTTTGCAGCCTGATTTTGTTGTGTTTGCAGCCTGCTTGACCACTTTGTTGGACCTTTCCTCGAGGAAATGAGCCACGTTTGCTTCGACCGCTGGATTCGATTCTAGGATACAGGGGCAATCTTTGAGCTGTAAAGAAGTGAAGAGAAGTTCGCAGCCCATTGGAGGCATTGAGCGGCAGTGTCTATAGGTGGTCGGGTGTTTTCGTCGGCGCTTTTTCCGCATGCCCCTCTTGTCTTTTCAAGGCAACAAAACAAACCAGGCAACTCTTTTCAATGCAACGAGGAACACCTCGAGGAGGTCCCCATTCGGGTGATTGTTGCAGAGAAACAGCGCCACCCCCCGTTCCTCCGCCCCACGCACCCTCTCCGGACAGGCTGCAAGGGCTGGGCGCTGTCTCCCTACGTCTCCGCGCTGGCGCAGCAGGCAATCGCTGGGGATGACAAGGGTACGCCTCGGGCACCCCTACTTGCCCCAAATGTGTGTGTGTGTGTGTGCGGAGTCTCAGAATACCCTGAGACCAAATGCAGGGGGATGGAGCAGGCCTGTGGAGCTCCATCTAACAAAGCTCTCCACAGTGGCCTGAGGATTTCACCAGGGACGCTTGGTGACGTACCTGCATTACATTTGAGCCACAACTTCTCCTGATGTTGGAGGTTTTGCTTTTACAAGACCATTGGCTCTGGCTGTGTGATGTTTCTGCTTTTGCTTCAGAATGCACGTAAGCCTGTCTCGAATCTGCCCCTCCCCTTCTTGCTCGATTTGCTCGAACTTCGTGTCTGCCCCTTGTGGGATTTAAGTGTGACATCCCGAAAGGGAGATCCTCGCGTGTGCCGAGAGAGTGACCGCGGGCCCGCTTATGCGGAGTCAGGAACCTCAGTCGTTTCACGGTAACCTCAGATATACCCACCTCAGAGACATGAACCTCAGAGATATGAACCTCAGTTGGGTGATCTCAGTTCGATCAATGTGCTTATGTGGAAGTTTCACCTGTAAGTTCATCAAGGCGGGAATCTCCTTCGTTCCCTCACACAGATCATGGAACGTTTCACACTTTCGTTCCTCGTCTTCGTCGTCCGCGCGTCCGTCTTCTTGTTCTTCGCCCGTTTAGGGATGGCTTCCTTTTCCTCCCGCTCTCTTCTTCCTGGTGTTCCTGACCCGCGCGTTCGTCCTCCTTCTCTTGGCCCGCTTAGGGATGGCCTGCTTGTCTTCGCGCTGTTCACCTTTCTCCTGTTCGTCTTCTTCCTGCCTGTCTACCTGTTCTTGCTCCTCGCTCTCCTCACGCAGTTTGGCTTGACGTCTTCCTCTCCTTCCGTTGCTATTTCGTGTTCGTCCTCTTTGGCCCCCTTGAGGGGTTCGACGTCCTCCTCCTCGAGCCTTGGTCTTCATCCTCTGTCTTTGTCCGGGCGGGATGCGTCGCCCAAAAAACGCATACTAACCCCTTTTCCCTTTTCCTCCCTTTTTTGTTCCCTTGTCTCCTTCTCTTCTCTTTTCTTTCCTGTTTTTTTCCTCGGGCGGCTGCGGCGCCCTAAATACGCTTCTCGGCCCCTTTGTCTTCCCTTCTTTCTTTCTCTCTCTCTTTCTTTCTCTCTCTCTCTCTCTCTCTCTCTTTCTTTCTCTCTTTCTTTCGTTCTTCCCCCCCCCCGTCGTTCTTCTTTTTTCTCTTCCCCCCCTCTTCCCCCCCTCCCCGCTTCATCCTGTGCTTCTTCTTCGCCCGTTAAGGGATGGCCTGTTCTTCCTCTCGCTCTTCAACTTCGCGGTGCTCCCCGTCTTCGAGGTTTAGGAGGGTTTTCGGGACTGTTTGGGGTTTTTGCCCTTGTCGGAGACCCTAAACTTGGTTTCCCCTGGTTTTCATGTTTCTTGATTGGGGCTTTGCCCGCGGAGACCCAACGCGGGGCTTTCTGTTTCTTTGCTTTCTTGCTCCGTTTGTTTTCCGTTGGGGTCTTCGTCCGTCTTTCGGGCGCGTGTTTCTTAGGGTTGCCCCTCCCGTAAAAACTGAGCTACTCGCCCCTCTTTGAGGGGCGTGTGTGTGCGGAGTCTCAGAATACCCTGAGACCAAATGCAGGGGGATGGAGCAGGCCTGTGGAGCTCCATCTAACAAAGCTCTCCACAGTGGCCTGAGGATTTCACCAGGGACGCTTGGTGACGTACCTGCATTACATTTGAGCCACAACTTCTTCTGATGTTGGAGGTTTTGCTTTTACAAGACCATTGGCTCTGGCGGTGTGATGTTTCTGCTTTTGCTTCAGAATACACGTAAGCCTGTCTCGAATCTGCCCTTCCCCTTCTTGCTCGATTTACTCGAACTTCGTGTCTGCCCCTTGTGGGATTTAAGTGTGTGTGTGTGTGTGGGTGTGTGTGTGTGTATGAAGCAAGCAACATAAGTGTAAATAATTACATACGTGGATATGTATATGAATTTGCATGTACTCGTTCGTGTAAAGGTTCACATATATGTAGTATGTATAATATACTGTATACATATATGTATATATACATGTCCAATCGTAGCACATAAGTATACATGCTCATATGTGTACATACATATATATATATACACATGTGTACATCCCTTGCAAGAGCCTCATTGGGTTGCGTCCGCATCCCAAGTGTATACCCCTCTACCACCCGCTGCTTGAAAGGTGTAATGAATATATATATATATATAGACATATGGACACGAGTAGGTGCAGCATGCATCCATGCATGTGTTCATGCATGTATTCATGCATGTTTGCATCCGTGTATACATGCAAAACATGCATGCATCCATACATTGCATTACATTACATTACATTACATCACATTACACTGCATTACATTGCATTACATTACATTACCTTACAATGCAACACATACATACAGACATACGTACGTACGTACATGCATACACACATGCATGCATACATAAATACATACATACATACATGCATGCATACATACATACATACATACACACATACACACATACACACATACACACAAGCACACATGCACGCATTGCATACATTGGCCGTCTCTCTGTTTGTGTGTCCGTGCGTTCGGTCCGCCTGTCTGTTTGTCCGAAATAGCTTGTTATAGACTCCGTTTGCAGCTGTCTTTCAACATAGGCTCTGTGACAGCTGTCATGCGGCAGGGGGCCTTTGTGATTTGGATGGTATGTGATCCCCAAAAGGAAACAATAAAAAAAGCCGATTGTTCACACGCTGAAGGCTTTACAAACATAGCCCATTTGCTGGGGCAAACGTACCCAATGGCAAGGTGTGCCTGCCCCTCACTCCAGGGTTGGAGATGTAAATGGTACGAGGCGGCACATGTTTTCGTTGAGGGAAGATGCAAAACACCACATGATCTAGCTGCCCGCTTGCTGAGATCCGCAGCTTCTGGGTCGAGTGAGACGTTGTCATCCCGGATTCCATCTGCGGGTTCTCATTCAGATTCATTTCTGCGTCTAGTATATCAATCCATATCAAACAAACAAGCCCCATCACGTGAATCCGCGTATCCAATTGTCGCACGCGCCGGATGCACAGGTCGGATGTTACTTTTACTTAAAGTCCAACCCCAAACTGCGAGGTGGGGCAAACGGGTACCCAGACGCACATGTTTCATCAAAGTTGGGGATACGGGGTTTGACCAATATTCCTGGCCCCCAACTGACCATGGGCAACTTTACCCATGTGGGAAACATCATCTTTTCGGTGGTTGTCCCCAATCATCCCATGTAACGGACCATTTGATCAACCCCCGCAGGCAAAGATCCTGCACTTCAATGGCCGGCTGAAACCCAGCCACGCCGCCAAGCGTGGGACAGAGCCTGTGCTGCCGCCCACCTCGGAGGCGTCTTGTGACATATGGCCATGGTTCAAAACCAATGGGATCCCATTTTGGGATAGGTGCACCACCCATTTGAGTTTACGGGGTTTTGACCCATGGCCATATACCTAGCCCACGACGGGGGTTCCAAACTCAAGGCCCTCATGTTGAGGGTCCAATGGGCTCCTAGGGTATGGACATGGTTAAAACTTGTTTCTCAGGGCCACTTTTAGCGATACAGTGGATGGACGAAACATTTTGCACCAGTCTGCAAGTTGGTAGGTGCGTGTGTACTCTCAGTACTTGTAGTCACGTGGATGAATTTTCACTCATGACAAGGATTGCGTCCACAGTGACAGGCGAATCTACGTCTAAAGGGATAATTGTTAATTATGTGGATGGCCCGGGTTTGTTCTGGGCCTGATGGACCGGCTGTTGGGAAAACTCTCAGAAACAATCGTCCTCTTCGAGTAGTCGTTGAGTCAGATACAAATCAGTTGTTGTTGTTTTTTTTTTTTTTTTTACCTTGCCTTTCAGAATTGATTGGGGACCTGCTTATTTAGTATTCTCTAGTAAATTTTGGTTGGGCTCAGTTCATTGCGTAGAGCTGCTTAGCGTTGGCTATTGTTGTTGAGTACTGGGAGGCAGCGCTAGGGAGCCCTTAAGACACTTCTCGTCCATACTATTGCGTACCAGTACTGGGGGACTCGTTTCCGCTTTTTGTAAAGAGGAAAGCCTGGAAGTTAGTTCTGGTCCGCAACCAGGGGAGGGGATCCAGGGAAAGTGTTTTTCCGAGTTGTGTAGCCTTAAGCAAACGGCAAAATTGAGTATCACAGGCTGCGGGGTGTATTGGGGCAAAAGCACACCTGCGGAAAGTGCTTCCTGCCGAGAAAAGAAGTCAAACCACACGAGGAGGATCGCTCTGTGCGTGAGCAGCGGCCTTTGTGTAGCTGCGGGCATCAGTGCCTCCAGGCAGAGGGCTGAGCGGTTTGTGTTTCTGGCGGTTTGCGCATGGTTGTGGAAAATTGGGTTTTGGAGCCACTTTCTGTGGTACCCAGAAAATCCCTTGAAAGTGGGATACTAGTATCACAGGGTCATTGGCCCACGACCATGGGTTTGCAAGTTTGGAATTCGGGGGCTGCTCTGTTGGATTCCTCTTGGTTTGCCCCTGGTTTTGTCAGCCAATAGTCAGAACCTAATAGGCGATATCCATTTATCTCCTAGAGTTTTGATTCCATTGGCCGGGTCCAATGGAGTTGGGAACCCTTGGGTCCGCAAGGATGTGAGCATCTTGATGACTGATGGACATCGGCGAAAGGCCGGTAGGAACCCCTAACTTGGAGTTAGACGGATTTTGCACAGCCCCTGTCTAAATCCGGTCCTTAGGAGTTTTCGACATGATACGGCCGCATTCCGCAAGACATGTTGCGAGTTTCGGCACATGGATGAAACAAGTTGCGCAAGTCCGGTAAAACGTTTCAAGGCAAACGGGATGTCCTTTGCTCGAAGCTGTGTTGGGAGAATCAAACTTGTTGCTTGGCGCTCATCTACGTATGTTTTGCAACTGATTTGGGTTTGGATATTTTCTTGACTGGCCGGCTGGCCGAGCGGCCACCCTGCAGTTTTCGCAAAGGCCTTACAAAGTAACACTCCCACGCCGATGATGTCCCATAACACCTATTGTTTAGTGGAAGTTGCTGTGTGCTATCAGACTTGCGCAAATTGGAATGCACTCTCATGGGCAAGCTGTCCTGGTTGACGGGACTTTTTGTTGGATACGCCTTCACCTTTTGAACAGTGAATTCGATTGTTTTCTGAGAGAATGTGCGTGACACTGGCACACCTTTCTTGTCACATATCCGCCTTGCCAGGAATGCGCAGGAATCTGGTGGAAATACTTGCCGCCTGAGTGACAAAATACAGGACGAGAAACTCAGGGCTGGCACAACGGCAGGGATTTCTCAGCGCCAGTTGAGCCTTTGCAAATGGTATCCATGTTGAAATCACTTGAGAAGGTCCCCTTGTCTTGTTTGTCAAGCAAGCAAACAAACACGAATTAAATGGAGAAACAAACACATGTACATATACACACTTCCGCTGAAATGAACGATGTTTGTCGCCTACGCACAATGCCGCAAATGCCGTTTCCCAGAAAGACTCCAAGTGCTGATGCTACTTCTCATGTGATAATTAAGACTACAGTGTTGCATCAAAGGACATGATGATTTGGATTGCAGTGGTACCATTGCAAACCTCTTGCATATTGCCGAACATGTTTCCTATCTTCGATCCTTAGCCATATGCCGTCAAAGCACGTTACTTGGTGGATCGAAGTCGTCTAATGGGCCCGCCAGCTTGCCCTTGCACATTGACATCACTGGCTCAAGTTCCCCTGCGCCTCTCCAGACCTTTAGAAGCAGCACATGGCTCACCCCTCAAACCAAACAACACATGCCAATTGCTGGAAGACCAGCTCAGAGCGAGTCTTCCGAATTCAGCCATGTTGCCAGGCGCACGGGTACTTGCTCACTTAGCGCACCCCACAAGCAAGGTAGCCAGTAGCCATCTAGTGTTGTTGTTTCCGCTTGAAACCGACCCAACATGGGTTCCAATTTCTAAGAAACACGCAGCCTGGACAACAAGCGAGCAATCATTTGGTAGTCTACACCTAGTCCTGGACCGCCTTTGCCATGGCAATGGAAAATGTGGTGCAGACCTCAAGTTTGGCATAACTCACTGGCGATGTCTCAATGAATCGCTAAACACACCTGGGCCAATGTGGGCAAGCTAGAAGGCGGCTTGGAGCGCGCCTTTGTTTGGGAGAAGCAGTGCCTCACGCATGCGTGTGTGTGTGTGTGTGGTGTGTGTGCGTGTGTGCATGTGTGCGTGTGTGCGTGTGCGTGTGTGTGTGTGTGTGTGAGTGAGTGTGCTTGTGTGTTCATTGAATTGCATATCCGCCGGCAAGGAAAAGAAACCTTGGCAATCTGCAAGAGATACGCTCAAGATGTTGCGAGCTTTTAGTAAGGGACGGTTTGTTGGTTCTAGTGTCGCTGTAAATTGTTTGAATTTGGTGTTCCGGGGCCGGAGAGGTAGTGTTGAGAGAAGATTTGTTGGTTCTAGCGCCCGTTCACGAAGGTGCGAAGGCACGAACGTAAAGTATGTTCATCGACCTAGAGTGTAGCTGCAAAGCACCTTGAGGAAAAATCAAGAAAAAACAAGAGAAACAACTATATATTGTGGTAGTTCTTTTCGGGCAAATTTGAAAGTCACTTTCGGTTGACATCCATGTGAGACGAGCCATCTATATCGCAATGGTGACGGACATGTTGTCAATACTCGCAAGATTTGCGAGTCTTGTTCCGATTATAGTCTGGACCCTTATTGCGTTCAAGCTGCAGTGGAAGCTTCAACCAACGCAAGTGTGGAAACCCATAGTGCTCTGTAATTAGCTCTGAGTACATATGATAGATTAGTTTCTGTTCATTTAATTCAAGACACCAGTGAGTATATGATAGTTGAATATCAAATATTTCTGAGTTTATGCATGTGAACCTTGGCTCAGGTTCGGCCACTGGACAATTCCGAGACGTTGCCGTGCCAACGGCACTTGTTCTCCTTGCCGCAAGGCCCAGAAATGGTTGCCATTCGAGCAAGGTGTGTCTCAGTTTTTCCCAGGATGTCAGCAGGAGCCAATGTCTGGCAACCTCAGAAGTGGGATTTGGGGCCTAAACTTTGGGCGAAATTGTAACTCACCTGGGTCAAGGGTGCCTTGCAACGCTTTTGGGTTATGTACACTTGCTTGGTTTCAAAATGTGTACAAGGGGGAACATTCTTTTTTGTGAAGTTCGGATGTCAATGGTTGAGAATGAGCATTGTTCAAAGGCTGGTACTTTCTAGTGTGCCAGGGAAGAGCTGCCGGGATCAAGAATCCTTGGACTTGGAGACTTGTTTTGGAGTATGGCTTTGGACAGGCGATTCTGTATGCAAGCCTTGGAGACTCCTTGCACGCATGTTAGTTGTGGATGCAATGGCCGGCAGATATTTGTTGGCTTCACTGCAGTGAATCTCCTAAAGCAAACAGCCAACTAACAAGATATTGGCATATATTTGCAAAGTGCGCCTCATTGAGTGCTCCTCCCCAGCGATCCCCTTTTCATTTGTAGGATTTAACGATTGGGTGCATGTGGCAGGTGTGATTTACTTGAACTGCGCCTCGCGGTCGCCAATGCTGAGCTCAGCTGCTGGGCAGAGGCTGACGCGCCACGCTGACGTTGGCTCAAGCGGCTCTCTCTCTCTCTCTTGCTCTCTTTCTGTCTGTTTGTCCTCTATGGCACACACACACACTCTCTCTCTCTCTCTCTCTCGCTCTCTCTCTCTCTCTCTCTGTCTCTTTCTCTTTGAGGGTCGCAGCCCTTGTAGGGCGGACCGAAAGTCAAAGCGACATGCATGACAACTGTCGTCTCGCTGACAGTTGTTTTCAGGTAGTTTCGGGAAGGGGGCGGGGCTGGGCATCCAGTGCCACGGAACTTTACTGCGATCTCGGTTGAATTCGGACCTTTGACTATCTTCGACAAATGGTTCTGTGTAGCCCTTTTTTCCTCCTTGTTTAGTTTATGCCACACCTTCGAAGAGCCCTTGAAGAGCACTTTTGCAGAAGAACCCTGTCAAGAACCCTACGCAGGACCCCTCCCAGTTCTGTCTCATGTTCCTGCATTCTGGACGATCCAGTTGATGTTTCAGCACCATGACAGGAGCCATGGTCAAAAAGCTGGTTCGTGACAGGTTGCATTTGGTATGTTGTCCACCCTATGAGCAGCGTCCGTTGACTGTGAGAGTGTTAACATGCGCAAATAAGCCTGTATAGAACCAGCAGGTGATAACATCAAAACTGCTTGCCGGGGCAAGGCCAATTGCAACGATTGAACGGGAGTGCCAACAAACCCAGTGGGTGTCCCAAGACAGGCAAGACTCCTAGCCTTTAACCAGTCGCTAAGATCAACGGAAGCCAAGCGCCACTGAAACCCGTGGCTTCGACATGTTTTGTTGCTTGACCACTGGAATGTTTTTGCTTGTCGGTCCGTGGAGAGATTCCTCACAGACGTTCTTTGAGGTGATAGGAGCTGGGGGTGCGCGTTGTTTTGTTTGTTTTTGTTGGATTGTTTAGGTGTGAAGACATGTCTCAGGCTGGACAGTCCTGTCTTGCGTTTGGGAAGGCGGGGCGACTTCTCCAAGAGTTTCCTGAAAGTCTCAGTGGCACCCAGACGGGCGCTTTTACAAGAGGTATGGTGCAACAGCAATAGGTCATACAACACCACCCTTACCTTCAAATGACTCAGGTAAATCTGGAGCTCGGTTTTGGCGACATGTTGCATTGAGGTTGAGAAGCTTGGCCACGAGGCAGTGTCCCTCAAGAACCATCCCTGGCGTATTGGCGGCGACGATGCGGCAGACAGAGAAGCTGCTTGCCTTGTGGTTAGTAAATCCAGGGTTCCTCCGTAGGGCCCCACCTTTCAATGGAAGGCTTCATGTTGGTTTCCCGTCAAGAAGGCACCAATATATGTTTTTCTATCTAGAGACCGACGCACGAAGAAGCTTCTTGGGGACCCTCAAAAAGTAAGCAACAATACGGCTCAAGCCGCACGCCTGCGTGCAAGCACTGGTTCTTATCTTAACTCTAGGCAAGGCGAGGAGAACCCAAGTATCCTATTTGTGTCCGAACCGAATGGTGAGGAACTCGGGCTGAAAGCTTGGCCGGGCTTCAAGTCTGAAGTCATGTTGGGGGCTTAAATTCTGCTTTCGCCACGCAGGTGAACTGAGCGATTTGCCCACAGATTCCTATGTTCCGCATGGGTGAAACCTGTTCATTCGCATTGAGACCGAGTCAAGAAGTTCAGAGCCACACCTTGCAACAGCCTGTTCTGATCGCTTGGCGCATCCAATGCCGAGGTGAGATCCCTCTTTGCGGAGCTCATCGGGTGCCGGCCAAGAGATGTGGCGCTCACACCATCGACATCCTATGCTATCACCCAGGCAATCAGAATATGTTTGGCTCAGAACCACTTTCATGCGATGCTGAACTGGTGTGAAGCAAAGCAACACGCATGCGCATGCGCATGCGCATGCGCATGCGCATGCGTGCGTGCGTGCGTGCGTGCGTGCGTGCGTGCGTGCGTGCGTGCGTGCGTGCGTGCGTGCGTGCGTGCGTGCGTGCGTGCGTGCGTGCGTGCGTGCGTGTGCGTGCGTGCGTGCGTGCGTGCGTGCGTGCGTGCGTGCGTGCGTGCGTGCGTGCGTGCGTGCGTGCGTGCGTGCGTGCGTGCGTGCGTGCGTGCGTGCGTGCGTGCGTGCGTGCGTGCGTGCGTGCGTGCGTGCGTGCGTGCGTGCGTGCGTGCGTGCGTGCGTGCGTGCGTGCGTGCGTGCGTGCGTGCGTGCGTGCGTGCGTGCGTGCGTGCGTGCGTGCGTGCGTGCGTGCGTGCGTGCGTGCGTGCGTGCGTGCGTGCGTGCGTGCGTGCGTGCGTGCGTGCGTGCGTGCGTGCGTGCGTGCGTGCGTGCGTGCGTGCGTGCGTGCGTGCGTGCGTGCGTGCGTGCGTGCGTGCGTGCGTGCGTGCGTGCGTGCGTGCGTGCGTGCGTGCGTGCGTGCGTGTGTGTGTGTGTGTGTGTGTGTGTGTGTGTGTGTGTGTGTGTGTGTGTGTGTGTGTGTGTGTGTGTGTGTGTGTGTGTGTGTGTGTGTGTGTGTGTGTGTGTGTGTGTGTGTGTGTGTGTGTGTGTGTGTGTGTGTCTGTGTGTGCATTTGCGTCGAACAGATATTTCTATAGTATGTATGTGTGTGTGCACCTTAGCTGCTTTGGCACTTGTGTGCTGGCACTCAGCACGCGCGTGCCAGCACTTGCGTGCTGGCGCTGACTCCAATGCTGCTTGTGGTGCTGATTCAGAGTTGATCCATTGCAGCCGTTGCCTCAGCTAGCGCCTTTAGAAGCAGAATCCATCCCGAGTCAGGCACGCCCACACTCATACCCGCGCCCACCCCCATGCCCACCCCCCCGTTCTCAAAAAGTGTTTCTGCACCACTTCGGGGGTTGCAGACAAGCCGCGCCCAAGGTTCCGCCCTGAGGTGGAGCAACATGAAAGCACGACCATCCCTGAAGTATTGACCATGGAAATGCCACACGCTCGTGACTTTGCCTTCAGTCTTGCAGTGCAGGTGGCGCTGAACATCAAGAAGCTGGGGCGCATTGGAGCAGGCCCTTGTCCCACGTTCCAGGGTTGATCGGGAGGATGCCGCGTTGTTTCCTGACTGCTTGAGATGACTAATAGCTAGAACTGCTAGAACTGCTAGAACAACTGGTTGAGGCTCGATCGTTAGCACGACAATTATTTGGCAATATTTGGCATGGATGCCTCTTGCTTGCAGTCGTGTCGGATTTGGCAAGGCGATGCAGTCATCATTCTTCAGAACCAGATGAGTTCAAACGTGCCTTGGCACTACATATGGATGTTTCATGATGAGAAAAGCTCAGAAGTGCCTGCGGGGCCCCAGCCTGTATTCTGTTGCAGGAAAAAGTGGGAGTCATACAGAAGGGGAGTTGGAGGCGGGGTGGCGGGTGGACTGGTGGCACCGTCTATAATTATTGGTGTGCTTTTTTTGAGGGTGCGTTTTCTGGGACGGTGTTCAAGGGAAGCCAAAAGGAAAACCAGCATGTTTGGGGTCCCTGTATTTCAACACACACCTATACAAATCTGGCAGCATTATTTGTGAATTGAGTACGACATGAGGCGGATTGGGCTCTTCCAGTAAGAGAAGCTCACAATTCTATTGCCAAAAGCTCATTGCGCTGTTCCAAAATAAGCAGATAGCGTTTCGGTCTGCTGAAGTTTATCCACGAAGGGCGGTTTCTTATCGTGACTAACAAGCTGAGAACCCTCAGCGCTTGGCACTGTCCAGCGTGGTCTCAAAGGAACCTGTGACAGTTGATTGAAAACGAAAGAACATTGCGCTTGTGGAAAGTCATGGTCGCAGGCTGTGAGAATTTGAGCATGAAACCAACTCGGCCGCACGTCGTGACACTCTGATGATGATGCATCTCATTTCAGTTTGAGCCCTTACAGTTTGTTCCCTGCTTGTCTTCTTGCTCGGGCTAGAACGCGTTGGCAAGTTGCTGAGGTCTACGCATGGCAACGCCTGTGCAAAGAAACGTCCGCTCGGCTGGTGGCAGTACCGTGCCCAAGGAAAGGCTCTTCCGGCGAACCGGAGGTGAAGCGGCAAAGAAGCTTGGCTTAGGGAAGAGCAGGGCATTGACCATCATTGAATCTTTGCAATTCGCCAAGAATCCTTGCCACTGAACATGAGCATCTTTAACAGCCGTCCCATTGGCTCGGACTCGGTCATGTGGCCAAGTAGTCTCGACAGCTTGGAAGGGCCAAGTGTTTCAGAGGTTCCTGAACACGGAGCAATCGCAGAGTGGAACCACCAGATTTGGAGTTCTGATAGGTGGCCGTTGCTGACCTGGATGTCTCTCTCCACCTTGTGGTGTTCTTCAAAGGGAAGCACGACCTGGGCGTTCTGAAATGCGTGTGACTTGCAGTTTCCACTTTGGCCTTTGCTACCAATCAACTGGCACTTCTGACACCGATTTAGCTGACTTCTCCTGCGGGAGTGAAATTGGCACTCGTGGGTTGCGCAATTCCAGGAGACCTTGATATGGACGTGCGTTCATGTTTTATCGCTTTGAAATGAGGCTTCAGAGGGAAACCAACATAGCACCAATCGGCTGGGGTCCCCGAGTCTCATGAGATTGCTTTGGATGCCCACCTAGGGATTCACCCGAAAAGAGTACCAAAGAAAGGGTACATGGGGTACGATCCACCCAGAGCATCCAATCATTCCAAGCTGTGTCTAGAGGTCATCATCCCTTCAACAAAGTAGCTGGTTGTACTGCTTCAGCAGGCGCTGTGCCATGATTCACACATGGCTGTGGGTCAAAACCAATGGTACCATTTTGGGGTAGGTGCGCCACCAATTTTAGTCTATTTTAGTGGGGATTGGGATGTTCACTGGGGATTGATGGGTTTTGACCCATGGCCACATGTTTTGTCTTGGTGTGAGGAATGATTGTCAGCGCTTGTGCATATCTAGCAACGATTTGGATATTTTGAAGGGAACCACCTGACTCGAACAAGACTTGGCCATCGCACGTTGTTTGAGGCACAACTTCAAGACAATGCCATTTCCTACGCTACACGCTGCTCTCCATAGAAAACATTGTTTCTTTGGAAGTAGTGTTGTCTCTGGTTGCATTATCCGTTTTGTGTGTGTGTGTGTTTGTGTGGATCCACCAAGGCTTGCTGGAAGTTAAACATCTGGAGACAAAGCCAGATTTTGAGATCGCCGCAGCTCCTTTTGGCTGCTACTCTTCGCGTTTTATTCGATTCCTCATTGGGATCCATGCGGCAAACTTGGGCCAACTCGCTTCGCGAGGAACGGCGACTGCTGCCAACTGGGACGAAGCGCTGCAGAACTGCATCGAAAGCGAGGTTGCTGCAGGAGACTTCGTGCAGGGGTGGCGCAAAAGTGGGGGATGCGGAGTGTTTTGTGGGCTGCCAAATGACCCAAAGAGGCCTGAGATCCAGCAAAAACTGGTTTCCGACAAATTGCGTGTCTTTTTTGTTTTTATCGGAACCCCCCCTCCCAAACAAGTTGTGGTTTTCATTTTGGCTCCCGTTTAAGTCACCAAGAAAAGAAGGGAACCCTCAAAAGACAGAATCATATTTGCCAAACCAGGGCGAAGGTAACCAAATCACCTAGGAAAAACCCATTGCCAGTTCCTGATGGCACGCTGTCAGCTTCGATGGTGGCTGTCAGCTCATCACTTCCCCCGGCACCACAGCATGGATGTTTTTTCAAACCTGTGCATGTTGCCAGGTGCTGTCAATCATCCAGTATGGAGCGGTGAGTTAGGCTCAATCAATGTTATCCAGGTCAACCATCGTTTGTGAATGTCCCATGGATTGCATGGGAGCCACCTGCGATGTGCATTTCACCAGTCATTGCTAGTAAGTTTGAATGACTCGGAAACATCGCAAGGCTGTTTTTTCACGAGCAATTCGCCAAATTATGAGAGTTTCCTCTAGCTTTGCGGTGCGCCCTCAAACCAGAGACCGGGCCTCAAGCGGACATCGTCTGCCAAAAAGGCCTCCTGCCAGGTTCCGTGAAAGTAGGATGGACTCTGGGCCCAAAGTCCACCAGAAAGACGGGCTTATATATCCAGATTGGGGGAAGACAGTCAACATGATGAGCCTTGGCATGTTGCTTGCTCCCAGCCTTTCTTTCTGATGTTGATGTAATACCGCCCCAATTGATCTGGTTCCTGAGAGCTTCCCCTTTTGATGGTTTAAAGGGACACCAAATGTAAAGCCACCAATTTCCGGGGTTCAAAAGACATGCCCATCGCATTCGTTTGCAGAACCCCCAGCGCTCAGGGCGGCGCGTGGCCGTGTGCTCGGTGCCACACTTCCTGTGGACGGATGGCTCCGGGCTGGACCTGAAGCGTTTGCGGCAGGCGACGACTTGCCAAGCGGGCCAAGTGTCTTTAACTCCCTGAGCCAAGTTTTAGTGGTAAACAAAAGGTTCACGGACTTCTTTTGGCGCATCTCAGGAAGTGAGAAGTCTTTCAGAGTCAATGTAAACCCGGGTTTGCTGGCAAGGGGCCGTGTTTCTTTTTCAGGCCCCCGCCCAAAAAGTGGGGTCCTGTAAACGAGGAAAATATTCATGTGTTGAAGGCATCATTTTTTGGAACTGCTTCAAAGGGAAGCAATCATTTTGGATTCGGACAAAGTTGGGGCTGTTTGTCAGCGATTTTGCCCAAAGATCAGAGGGACTGGGCCCCTGAAATTGACCAAAGATTGTCCAAGTCGGGAATTAGTTGGAACCGCTCAGAAGCAGAGTCAGGTGCCTTACAAGGCTTTTGGTTTTCTTGCTTGTTTTAACGTGATACTGTATATATGATACGGGTGATTACATGTTAAATGTAGCACTCACCGATGTGCTACGATTGGATCCAACCACAAATATTAAATTGTATAGACGGAACATGAGTTCCCAGCAAGCATCAAGTTACAGTTTATTGGTTGAACCAGTTGAATCAAATTATCAGAGCGAGTCGAAACCAATTCACCCAATGGTTTTGTTGTTGTGGTTGTTGTTGTTGCTGCTGCTGCTGCTGCTGCTGCTGTTGTTGTTGTTGTTGTTGTTGTTGTTCTTGTTCTTGTTCTTGTTCTTGTTCTTGTTCTTGTTCTTGTTCTTGTTCTTGTTCTTGTTCTTGTTCTTGTTCTTGTTCTTGTTGTTGTTGTTGTTGTTGTTGTTGTTGTTGTTGTTGTTGTTGTTGTTGTTGTTGTTGTTGTTGTTGTTGTTGTTGTTGTTGTTGTTGTTGTTGTTGTTGTTGTTGTTGTTGTTGTTGTTGTTGTTGTTGTTGTTGTTGTTGTTGTTGTTGTTGTTGTTGTTGTTGTTGTTGTTGTTGTTGTTGTTGTTGTTGTTGTTGTTGTTGTTGTTGTTGTTGTTGTTGTTGTTGTTGTTGTTGTTGTTGTTGTTGTTGTTGTTGTTGTTGTTGTTGTTGTTGTTGTTGTTGTTGTTGTTGTTGTTGTTGTTGTTGTTGTTGTTGTTGTTGTTGTTGTTGTTGTTGTTGTTGTTGTTGTTGTTGTTGTTGTTGTTGTTGTTGTTGTTGTTGTTGTTGTTGTTGTTGTTGTTGTTGTTGTTGTTGTTGTTGTTGTTGTTGTTGTTGTTGTTGTTGTTGTTGTTGCTTTTTCAGCTGAGTTGACTGTGCTGACGAAAAGCTGACTGAAGCGATGGACGTTGATTGACCCCTATCACCGATTGAGCCAATCAAGGTCCCCAAATTGACCTATTGGAAGCGGCTGCCCGTTGATTGCTGTGCAGTCAGGTGCCAAGAACGCAAAGATGTGGTCTTAGGGCTCTGGCTCATGACTTGTTGATTAGTAACCCGGTGGACACAAGGGGCCGACATGTTGCAGGCAGTTCACATACATTGTCTAAAGCTGGCGATTGTTGTCCTGTTGCAGCTGCTTCTTCGAAAACGACCAGTTCTGTTTGTTGTTTCCCGCATTTGGGTATGCGTTAGAATAGGGCGACCCCAACAAATTGACCTTTCGTTTTCCCTTTAAACCAAGGTGAAAAGGGTGCCCTCAAAAATCCGACTCCATTTGGAGAGCGGCAGTCGGAAGGTGCTGGATTCAGTGCAGGAGGAAGGCAAGCCGCGCCCAGTGCTGGTGGTGGACGCAACTCAATCCCTTGGGGTTGTGCCCATTGAGGTGGACGCCTGGGGCATTGACTGGCTTGCCGCTTTAGCCGCAAGTGGCTTTGTTTTTTTGGCCAGTTGTCCCACGGTTTCCGCCCAAATTCTTCCTCTTTGCATTCCTTTTTGCATCGAAGGAACAAGCGAAGTAGGGATCAACGAGCACCGTCTCAAAACAACGGCATGCGTGGGTTGCAGTGTCTTCGCCACGGGTGCAAAAAGGAATGCAACGAGCACCATCTGAAAACAGCATTCAAGGGTTGCAGGGTGTTCGCCACAGGGGCAAAAAGGAATGCAACGAGCACTGTCTCAAAACAACGGCATGCGTGGGTTGCAGGGCCTCAAATGTCCCTGCAAGGCATATTATGTCCACCCAGACGAACATTATGAGCCAAAAAAGGAACCTGCCGGGGTCTGGTTTGCCCCCAAAAAGCACATGCCTGGACATTCCTTTGCGTACTTTTTCCTGGGCGTTTCACGATTGAAAGCGTTTTGGGCGATTTAGGCGTTTTGCGTGGATGTGCGTTTTTGTGCTTTTTTTGTGGACGTTGTGTGGCGTTTTGCCGGCGTTGTGCTGCCATTTGTTCTTTTTCCTGCTTAGGCATTTGCAGGAATTTACGGGCGTTTGCGTTGCAAAATGAGGCACAAACAGAAAATACAAGAACCAGATATCGTTGGAATGTCCGGGTGGAATCAACCTAGAATGTCCATTGTATCAACGACCCAAAGGAACGGCAATGAAAAGGAAATCCTTCCAAATGTGTTGTTCTACCATTGGAGTCACTGGTAATTGGAGCCATTTGACCACTCGCAGGCATGTTCTGTGCACAAGTGGCTCTTCGGCCCCTATGGCCTTTCCCTGGCGCCTGGGCTTCAGTCTCGCCGCGAGTACAAACATGTATATTATATATTGCAAATTGGCAAAATCATCTCTGTAGCGTATCCATATGCAGCATGCAGATGTGATTGCCAAAATGCACACACTAGCACATGTATACTGGTTTGTCTAATTCTCTAACTTGTTGTTGTACATTCAGACCAGTCGTGCAGAAGTGTGTTGTCGTGAGTTCTCTGCCTTTGCACATGTTTCCATTGGCAGTAATTCATGGGTTTGATCCTTGCGCTGCACATCAAGCGAGTTCAGCTTCACTCAGAGTAAACTTACCACGTTTGGCCTGTGAAATGGACTGGCCTCACCCTCAGCTAGGGTGTTTTTGGGCGGCGTTGCTGTGAACAAACCACCCAGCCGGATTCGAGACCATTCTGTCATGTTTTCATTATAATCAAATCAATAAAACTGGTTTCGCTCTGGATCAATGGGCCTGTTTAGGAAAGAGCGCCCTGGTTTCCCTGTATGCAGGGCCAAAGCAGTTACCCTCGAACATTCACAAAAAACAAGTTATATTAAAAAAAAGGTACACATTCCTGGGATATTTTTGTTTGTTGCTAGGACGGCAACTTTGGCTCTCTTTCAAGTTGGCTTCCAAGCAGGTGCTTCACAGGAGTTTCCAAGCTTTTATGTTGAATGAGTACTGTCAAGACATGAAGTACGAATTCACAACTTAACACTGATCCGACATGATCCGACAAGAACTTATGTCTGGCATGCTCAGAGAGTATGATTCGACTTACCGTTCGCCACTTGAAGCAGCAATCGTGTTTACCCCTTGGAGTAATCAAGCACGGAGCCTTAGACTGGTATTGCTTTAAGATGGCTTGCGGGCGTGTCTAAACAGAGCTTCCTCGCGAGCCTTGGCAACTTGCGATACTTTTGATCTCCCCGGACTGGCACAGGGGGTATGTGCCCTGACCAAACGGTGAGGAAACCAGCGGAACTCAGCGAAATGCAAAAGCAATGTGGGTGCCAGGAATGGGCACAGTGCGCATAGGTGTCCTTTTTGGTTGATTTGGTTTGAAAATGGAGGGCCCTGGTTTACCTGGTGGTTCAATCAACTACCATCTATTTTCCCAAAAAGGACACCTATGACAGCGCGGTCAATTGAAGGGATCTCAACACCCAGTCGCCGATCGGAGGTCTATGCCTCAGAGGATTGGAGTACCAGCTCCCTGACGCAGCCCCTTGTGCAGGATAGGGGGAAAAGCTTGAGATAAGCCAAGGAGTGGCTGGTGTTGCGTGTTCCTATTGCTCGGCCCGTGTTTTTTTTGTTTTTTCCTAGTGAAACCTGGTAGTTTCCCAGCAGTTTCTTCTCATGTCGGTCGCCCAGCAGAGTTTCCAATGGCTTGTGATCCGCCCCACTTTCGGCAGCCTCTGGACTCCTGGATCCAGATCTGTGTGCGTCGTGTGCGTGTGTTTTCGGGATCCCTTTGGGGCCCGGTGAAAGGGAAACCAAAATGAAGCCAACCATTTCTGCCCCCCTTTGGTTTGACACACACCCACATCTGCACGTTGGTTGGGCCCCGTCGCCTCCCACTGCAGATACCGGTCATGTTCCTCTGCGGGAATCGGATATCGATTGCCCCAGCTGGTTTCAGTTTCCTGTGAACGGCCAATTCACCTTGCTGGGGACCAGGGATTGGTACGTAAGGGTACTGCGTAGGATCTCAACTCAACCTGCGTACTTGATGTCACAGGACTGGTGACGGTGTTTTCATGCTGCCGTGCAGGTGTTTGTGCGTGTGCGGCCAACGTGCCCTGTTGTACTTTTCATTACACAAAAGCGGATAAAACTGGTGGACATACCGCATGGAAGTGATTTGGTTTCTCAGTTTTCTTCGATCAACAAAACGAGGGCCAAAGTGGCTTTCCTTGGCTTACCGTTTCCAAGAATGAGGGACCGACATACTTCGCCCTTGCCGATGATTTAGGGGTTTACATGTTATTATTGTATCTTATCGCGGATCGACCAGGACGAGCACAATCGACTGGGCGCTGATGGCGATGTGTGCTTGCCGTTTGAAATGGAGAGGCCAGGCTATTCTGAGTCTTGGACTCGGTGAAGCATCACGCTCATAATCAGGGCGAATTGCGTTGCTTGTGCAGACCCGCAGTTGTGCCTACTGTTCTTTGGAGGTTGGGAAACCCTTCTTTTTGGCCAACTAACCAAATGAACCACAGAGGTTTGGGGTGTCAAGTGGCCGGCAAACAGCCTACAACACAGGGGGATGGCCTCCCGTTTGTTTCTTGAAAGTCCAACTCCAGATTTGCAAACCGCAACTTGCCCATTCGGAAGACCAACAATGTTGGGCCAAAAGTTGGGAAACTTTCGTCAGACTCGAGGAAGCTTTTCAAGAGGGCGCCAAGAAGTTCGATGCGGGTGGCCGGGCGAACCCCATCCTGCTGCCGATGGTTGCTGGAGCGCTGAAGCAGGCCATGCCAGAACACCGGAGGGACCGTGTTGGCCTTTGGACAGTTCGGCCAGAGGTTGACGGAACTTTCAGTTTTCGGCGAGCGGAATCTATCAACTTTGCCAGAAGGACACTTGCTTGAAGAAGTGTCGGCTCAACAGGAAACCAGCATGGAACCACCCGCTCGATGATTGTCTAGCATGTTTGTCGCCGCTCAATTGCTTGTTTCTTTTGGCTAGCCTTTTGACTGGCTTGTCAGAGTTCCTTGTAGGGTCCTTCCGAGGAGACCAACAGGTTCATCCATCTCATAAAGTAATTGCATGGCTGAGCACATGTCATCAGTTTGTCGGGTGGCACCATGGCGTCGCAGCGCTACAGTTCCAAACAGTTGCTTTCTCGATACTTCAGACACAGATGCGGTCCAACAGTCTGGACAAACCAAACAAGCTTTCTCGGGGTTGGTGATAAAGGAGCTCACCTAAGATGCTGGTTCCTTACATCCTGTTTCCATTTTTGTCCAATTCATAAAGGTTTGATCTGGCAGGCACGGCGGTCCACTTGCACCATGTTTCATGTCAAGGCTTGCAGGTGCGAAATGGACCGTCCGGTTCGTGCCGCGGGCAGCTTTTTCAGGGGCAAGGGTGCACGCCATACTCAGGTTGAAAGGAATGTGCTTTTGCAACATCAAGCATTCAATCTGCTTGATGTTAGTTCTTGTCTTATCACATTGGTGCCTGGATTTCAAGTTAAACCCTGGAAAGCGAGAGGATAACAGCGACTTCCTTGCTGGCGGTGTTTTGGGGCAGGAGTCGAGACCCTGGGACCCTGATGCAAACAGGTGATCCTATGTGTCGCCAAGAAGCTGCAAAAACGGATGGCCCATGTGTGCGACTGACGCTTGGCTTATCGCCACCATGAGGTCCCAGATTTCCAAGTTTGAGGGGCTCCAACCCTCTAACGATCATGGAAGCTGACGGGAGGGTGTTGGAAGTCGACGTTCAATTGGGTATGGGTCAAAATTCAACCACCAGGAAACCACAGGTTTTAGTCATTGTTTCCATCTACCAGGGTTCCCAATATGGGTACTCATTTTTGACCCACACCCAATTGGCAGGCCTTGTTTGAGCGCTTTTGTTTGAAGACTCATGGAGGGTACAGCGAACTGGGGACCATTCCGGATGTTTCTGACGAGTTCAATGAACTTCAGCTAGGTGCTGCTGTGGCGCCCTGAGCGCATCGCGGCCACGCTGGCAAAGCTGACGCGCCTTTGCATCACTTAGCCTGTGTGGCAGCTTCACTGTTTGTTGTTCTTCATATTGCTGGGGGTCAAAATAGGGCAACCCCAAAATGGGTTGCCCCGGTAAATGGAGCCAAGGACTAAAACCTGCGGTCCCATTGTGGTTTAATTTTGACCCATACCCACATATGTGTTGTTTGTTCATGGTTCAGTACGTATATGGTCCAGAACCAGTTTTAGTTTGGCAAACACTGAGGGAATTCAGTGTCCTCTTTGCTCTTCACTATGGCTTCAATTGTTTAGAGAGAACAATGTCTGGGATGTACCAACTGATGCTTCTGGAAAGCCTATTTTGGGGCTTTTGTCTAATCCAGCAACAGGATTTGAGGGCTGATTATAATGTCGGGGCTTAGGGGTTGGTACTTCCATCGTCTGGATTCACATGGTGTTCTCCATTGCGCAACTGACATCTCTGCAGTTTCAGGGGGAGGTTCAGTGAAAGTAGAAATGTGGCCTCAATTGGGCATGTGAAGGAAACCCTGCCCTGCTTGTTCGCAGTTCACAGGCTTAAGCTTACTTGCTGGGGTAGCCATTGCTGCATGCAAATGAGAGGTTGAGAATAGAGTCGCATTTTGGGGAGCTGGTGGCACTTGGTCGTAGGTATTTTCTTGAAAGGCCTTCTAAGATTCTCCAAGTCAGAGGCTCTCAGGCGGGGTATCATTTTGCCGACTTTGGAGCCAAATATCTGGATCTTCGGCACAACTAATTCTATCATGCTCTTTTCCTTTTGACTTGAGCATGGTTCTGCACATTTGGGAACTGGAAGGTGTCTAAAATCTGACCTATGCTCCCCTGGACCGCACCTTTTGAGGAAACCCTGCGCAAGGTCCAAATATCGGGACCCAACATGCGCCTAGCTGCCCGAATTTGAAATGTGATTTGGATCTTCCCCCATTTGAGGGGGGTCGGGCGGCATATGCGGCACAATGCCATTCTCGTGCATTGAATTTAGGGCAAACTGCTTCAGAAGGCGTGGGTCTTCTCGCATAAGCTGGTGAATTGGGATGTTGATCCAGTACTCAGTGAGTGACTGTCGCTCAGCGCAGCCTTTGCTCAAAGCTCTGCGGTGCAGACCAGCTCTGTCCAGCCGCAAAAAATGTTGCTGGCTGAAGACATTCCCCTCTCGTTGCCCTTGGTCGGAACAGGACTTGCCGGCAACGAAAATGGAGGTGCACACGAATCGACGGCGCAAAGGGCACTTTCTGAACTTCCTCCACTGAGCAAAGACAGGACCAGGTTCAAAGCTCATTCAAGGGGAGGTTCGCCTCCTTTCGAATTGGAGAGGGCTGAATTTTCTGCTTGCTGCATGAGAGACTTGCCGCCAATAGACCACCGCGAATCCGACCCAGCCGAGTTGATGACAATGTCTTTGCCTGTGGACTTGACACTTGCTCAATTAGTATGTTTTAGTCTGTGTGAATGGGTGTGTTACGTACATATAATGTTAAAAGCACTAACTGTGCTGTGCCAATACTATGATATTGGGCGGTGTCATACTAAGAGACATTGTTTGAGTTGAACCGCCTGTCAGAATCGCCCTCAACACCCTCAACCCCTGTTTAGGATGGTGTTAGTATGTTATCACCATCGCTTCACCAAGGAGGAACTTCAAGGGCTTCAGGAAGCCGTCGCTTCAGCTGCGCCGTTCAGAGTTCAGCAAAAAGGATCTCGTCCTTGACCATTTGGATGCTTGTCAAATCTTTAAACTGCATTACCGTTTTTTGTTTTTTTCTTCGAGGTTTGCCCGACATACCAGGAAGTAGTGTACCCGACGAAAACGATGAAACGCCCTCTCATTGACTGTTCTAGTCTCAGGAAGCCTGTACGGCCTCGCAGCCATGTGACAAGAACGCGATTCTACTGTTCTCCACCATGCCTGATCCCGAGAGCAGCCGTCACGGGTAGCCAGGCCTGGATGCCTTCATGCGATGATCGGTGCCAACAGGAGATCATTCAAATCGGTTTGAACCAGCTTGCACATACTGATCATTTGATATGCTGTTTGTTGCGGATTGTTGTTCTTGTTAGTTTCCAAATTGTGGTTCACCCTAAGTGATCAAGCTAGCAACATCAGCCACGTCGATCTTAGCTTTACGCTCCATTGCAAGTCATGGCACCTTTGGCAGGCGGCTTCGTCAGAGAGATCATCAGCTTCGTACGTCGAAGACGCATGAAGACGCTCAAGGTGAACCAATCTGAACATCACGCTTTCAAAGGGGCACAGTGAGCCAAAGACTTTTTGTGTTCGAAGCGTGCCTTGCACGCCGCTTGTGCAGATACTGTATGTTAATTTCATTTGGTCGTCGCTTGGATAAGACATTATAACACATTTTTGAGGGTCAAGAGTGCAGACATGAGAGTCTGGTGTATCCTTTCTCTTGGCTGTACCTGGACCAGCAAGCATTTGAAGGCTTGTGTTGCTTTCCGACTGTGTTTCAATTGCCGAGTGCTGGTATGTGCTGTTTAAACTCTCTGGCACTGAGACCTCGCCGGCTTTTCAACAGCAAGTGTTGTCTTTCCTGCAGCCTGTTTCAAGATCGAAAGAGGCGGTCCGTTGAGAAATGCTCACGTGCAAATTAAACCCGTGGCTCAAGCAATGGAATCCACGATAGCATCTTGGTTTATGGGAAACAAAGACTACCTGCGCAAGCCCAGCTGTTTAATTCCGAGCCACACCCAATGAAACCTGTAGAAGAAACCTGACGAGTCCTGTGATTACCAGGTCTCGCTTGGTGGCGAGCTGTGCGGCTTTGGGCTACTCTACGCCAGAGGTGCGAGCGCCCCACTTCGTTGGCGTCGGACCTTCTGAGGCGGGAAGGCATGTAAAATGGATGTCTTCTTTTGGGTAGCCTTTTTTATTTAATGGGGTTGGCTATTGGACATGAAAATGGATTGGTCATTTGGGAGGGACACGGGGGACTCACTATACGAAATTTCCCCACACCATTTCAGGGCGCTCGCTAATTCTCCCATGTCCTTTAAAGGATACAAGTAATTCTGACCGTGGCTCACAATTCTTTTGAAGGCCGCTTCTTCATGTTCGGGTTGTACAGGGACACCAGGAAGCCACCGGTTTTGGGATTCCCCTTCGACACAAACCCAATGGGTTTAATGGGCTCAGGCTTCAATGGGCGCAGCCTCAGCACTCGTGCCATGAGCTTCCAGCCCGAAATGGTACCGCAGTTAGCTTCTGACTCGAGATAGCGCCCTCTGAGCATTTGAAGGCTGGTTTTTTCCACCAAAGAAATGGACATGGTGTCTTAGGATGTGGCACCCAGAGAGGCTTTCCGTTCAGGGTCTCCTGGAAGAGTCATTACGTGCGTCTTTGCATTCGGCTGGATGTTACGCATCAGTTGAAATGCGATGTGGAGCATGCATGCGGTGCTGCATTTGGAACCAGAATCCTGACCCCATGTGGAACTGGCCTAGCTGGGCGCAACCAGGTAGCCAGCTCTCCGGGCGTTTCTTGAATCGTGCACCAATCCGCTGAAATCCTCACAGCCATCCATTTCCGAATCTGTCCAATTGAATCCCCTCTAAAACCGCGGGGCGCGGGGCGTGGGGGGCACGTGGTATGTTTGTTCACTCGTTGGGCCTTTGCCCCAACCCACCACAGTGACTGGTATTTGGATGTTTTTTCGGTTTGACGCTGGATTGCGCTCGTTGTTGGGGACCTCACGGCCAAAAGGCCTGAGGCAAAACCGGGTTTGGTGTATTTCAAACGGAGTTGAAGCGGGACCAATGCAGGGGGATCCTGGGATCTCGTTGGAGCATAAGTTAGCTTAATGATGTTCAGGTTCTCTTGCTGTTATGCACCAGGATTAAACATATTATAGCATATTTCGTTGAGGAAAACATGCGCTGACGTTGCCCTGCTTACACATCGGATCCGTGGATCCGAGGAGGACATGAAGACCATTGGCTTTTCAGAGGAGAAGTGGGCGGAGGATCTGTCGGCCTACTTGAAGACGCGAGGCAGGGAAACTGAGAACAACTCATCGGTGCATCGGAACTTGGGTGTTTTGGGGCCCGAGCGCCGTCCCAAAAGAAACGGGGGAATTAGAGGTAAGCTGCCATCCCCAGGGATGCCATCCTATGTTTCATGGTCAATAGACATGAAATAATATATATATATATATAGTTATATCATGTGGAATTTAAGGGGATGGCAATCAACTGTCTAGTGGGGATTGTAGACAACCATTAGTAGGGTTTGTATTAGGGGAACCACGTCCATGGGTACATTTCATCATGAGCGCGTGCTTTCCCGAATTGGAGGAGTCTCGTGTCCATGATAGGTTTACACGTGTTGTCACACAAGAGGAGGTCTCCTGTTTTGGCCAATGTGCAATAAATATGACGCTCGGCCAAATGCAGCGATCTTAAATTAATTCGTCAGCATTCCATGGGCTTTGCCCTTTGTTCCGCAGCATTCGCAGACAACAGCATTCTATATATATATATACATGCTAATATGCAGCAACTTTAGAAAGGTGAGTCGAACACCGGCTTGAGCCTTGATTTGCGACATTCAAGGTTTCGCACCAGTCGGCAATCGGACGGTTGAACTTGCTGGTGCTGCATGTGTTGCATGGGCTGTGCGGCTGGAATCTTGGAATAAGCGAACCGCCTTATTGTTGGCTGGGCACTCCCAGGAAAATGAATTCCCACTATCAGGTCCGTGTCCTTGACTCCTGTCTTCTCCGCCTCAGCTCGCGAACGCAAGGCATTCACGTCTCTGCCCGCGCGGGATGCATTCGAGTTGCTCCCCATCTCTACAACACGGAGGCCGAAATCGATGCACTCTCGCACGAGCTTGAGATCTTCCGAAGAAGAAGCTCCTGCCGCTTGGTGGATCATTGCCACAGCATGCTTGGACAGTTTCAGTCCATGTCTGGGCTTGACTACTAAGCTGCCCAACATAGCATGTTGATCGGAAACTGATGTGATCAACACATTATGATAAGCACGGCAACCAACCACACAACGTTGGTAGCCACAGTTCACAACGCTTTCTACACTGGACATGTTGAAGGCGTGTTGAAGCCGTGTATGGCGCTGCATTTGTGAGTGAGCATTGTCCGCTCGGAGGAGCGTGGAAACCTTCGCCGGTGCTTTGCCAAAGCTGCAGACAAAAAAGGGTGCCGGTTCAACAATGCAACAGTGGGCCCGTGTGGGTGCTCTACATGAAGGGTTCCCCAGTAGAAACGGCATGACAAAGAGATAAACGCCACGAGTGTCATGTATCTTTATATATATATATATGTTGTATCATCACGGTGTTTGTTAAAGTCACTATGTATATAAGCATTATTTCAATTCAAAGCATGCATGAGATAAACCCTTCAAGAACCGTGATTGTGAACAAACATGACGACCATGAATTCAATGAGAAGATACTGCCTTTCATAGCGCCCTGATGAAAATCGCCTAGGCCAGAGGCTTTGCCCCTGGGGCTGGGATCACGAGAAAGTTTTGGTGAGTTGCCCAACAACGCAGCGATCAGGGCACCGTACTGGCGGAATTTGCGCCACAGTCAACTGTTGTTGGAACCCTGGACATATCTCGCTGCTTGGCAAACCTGGGTGAGTCCACTCCATTCAATTGCAAGATTGTGTCAACGTGGAAGGAAGTCAGGCTTGCGGAATGAGGGTTTGTTCCCCCTGTGATATCAGGAAACCTCGAGAATCAGTCATAGGGACGGCCAACACCCAAGGTCTCTGAATGGTATCACATAATCTCATGTGTTCATTCAGAGTAAGCTGGCATTGCATAAAAGTTAGATGAACATCAATCCGGCATGTTGGTTTTGCTCACGGAATCTGCGATGAATAACTCACCTCCTGAGTTCCTCGACTTTATATTCTCTGGGACGACCATGTTACTGGCATCCAAAAAGTTCGGACTTGTTTTGGCCAATCCACTCAGAAAGTGAGATATCCAGTTCGCCCCATGATCTTTATTAATTACCATGATTATCCCTTCAACTATTCTAGTGAAACCGAGCCGTTGAACAAGCAGGCTGGGCCTGAGTGACTTGGGGAGGCTTGCCCCTGCCCTTTTTTCTGATATGTGCTTGCTGTCAGGGGAGTAAGGGAACCCTTATCATAACCTTGCCGTCGCTGCTCAAATCAGGTCCATCTCAGACAATTTGATATGCACAACATGCTCCCAACTCCACCGGAGCAGCGCTTTGCTTTGCAGCCTGCTTCTTTTTGCTATTTTTTTTTCCAGAAGATCCACTAGTTCCTGGCCTACTCGGCCTTGCGAGTCGCGGGTGGCATGTCTCAGGCCGGCCGGGTGCGGGGCCGAGGGAGGTGGGAAGATTGGGCAAGGACATGGCGGGGGTCACAACCCCTGTGGCGGGAACAGGTCATGCTGTCTACGGTTTCATAGTGGATGGAGTCTGGGCACAGCGCAACGGCCTGGCTTATTCAGTTCAATTGCAACATGTTCGGATGTCGTGCAAACTGGACTAGTGGTTGGGGTTCAATCCTTCCCACCTTTGTTGTTCAAAGGAAATAAATACACACTTGGCACCGCTCAAGTTTGTCTGAACATATGTAATCAACAGGCCAAAACCTCTGGATTCTATCGACGGCTTAGAGCATGGCGCATCACAGTCGCGCCCTATAGCAGAATGATGGCGGGCGTTGTGATGCAGTTACAGGGTCCTTGAAATCCACCAAATCACAAGGCCAAACACCATGTGCGAACATCTGCAAGTTGGCCTTCCTTTTTGGTGGTTTGCGCACACCCTGCGACAGGAGCTTTACATTCTCACCCTGACAATCTCTTTCACATGCGCACACTCATGCAAAGCCATTTGGGATTTCGCACACAGAATCTTTGACAGCTTGCAAGATCGAGCGCAAGTCATGTTATTTGCACAGCTGAATCTCTTGCGCTTTGGCCATTGGCTCAAAGCGCGGGTCTCCGCCTGCCTGCAAGATGGCCATTTGTCTGCACTGTACAGTCCTGATCCACAAGACCCTCGTCTCAACCTGGCGCACGCTTTCCTGCTTTGTTCCAGCGCAAAGAGCTGGGTGTGTCTTTTTTTAGGCTGCCGCTCAAAACGGTGGGTTTCGTTGTGGTTTCCCTTCAAAAGCCACAAACACGAAGTACCCTGAAAATAGAACAAGCGAGCCACGCAGCTGGTTTCCCGGACATCGAAATGGAATTAGTTGCAATGCGAGAGATCGTCTTGCAGGCGCATTCGAGTCCAAGTACCTTAGGATTTCACCCCATAGATCCGCCTACTTTGTAGCGAGCTCACCGATTCAGGGGTATAACGAGCTCGCCACGGTAAAGAGCCATTTTCTTGGGGATCCGTTATTTCAGGTTTTGGCAATACTGTAGGATTTGCAGATGGATAAACTTTAGATCTCCCGTCTACCAGTGCCTCTTCAAAAAGACAGCCGCCGAGACAAGACCAGGTAGAGCCTGGATCTATGAAGAGAAAAGACCAGCAACAACCAACAAATGCTAATAAAAGAAATCACATCCAGCCCAGCAGCGGCCTCCTCACCCCAGTCCTCCAAGCGCTGTCCTTTATCTGGTTATTTCCTGTCAGCTCACACAGAAAAACAGCCACTTTTACCAGCTCATCCTCACAGAAAAGCAAAGGATCACATCCGCAACTTTTCCCCCACCTTCTCCCGTGTCCCAACTGTTTCCTGTACAATTGGAAAGCTGTGACAAGTTACCATTTGAAGGGATAGTTGTGGTGAGTTTGAGGCTTAACTTAAGCCACACCTATGCCTTAAGCACAGTTTCAGATGATACTTGAACCTTCTGGATTGCATGTCAGATGTACACAATGCCTGTTGCATAACGAGGAAATAGGATGCGGATCGTCCGGCTCATTTTCCTGGCGCTTGGTGCGCTGCACGTGAAGGCAGGAAGAGGGGGGGATTGAAGGGAGCTGGGAAGAGCCGGACTTCTAGTTGTCATTTGGTCGAACATCGATTAATTCCTCTAGTTAGTTTCAGTTGTTTGCATGGGGTGATGAAAGCCTAAAGACTAAAGGGTTGCAACTTCAACTGAGGGCAGCGTTCGTGGTGGCTGCCTGGCGATTCTTCGCTTTGACTGATGGCCCTTGAAGCTGTTGTAAACCAGCCTTTTCTCTATGAACCAACAGCTTGGACTACGACATGGGTGCCGAGCGTGGGGTCTCTTCAGCCATGTGTCATGTCACGCAGGCACGGGACGATCCCAAGGAGGTGCTTCAGCAATGCACTGGGCGACTTGAAGAGAAGGCCACGGCGCGGGGAGAGTCCGGGAGGGGGGGGGGGGCCACAGCAAGGACGGCAGGCAAGAAGAAGTTGACTTCGAGGAATAAGTTGCATTTGCTTAAGAATAGGTTTTAATTTCCCCTGTTGGTTTTAAAGGGAATCTATCACTACTGGAAGTATGCTTATTTTTTCCAGGGGGCTTAAGCAAATGGAAGATAAAGCTCTGTCCCTGCAATATCTTGCTCATGGGGGCTGCGGGGGAAGGAGGGGAGGGGGGAGGGAGCCCAAATAAGCCCTTAAGGGCTTATTCCCCCTCCCCCCCAGCCCCCATGACTTGCGGCAGCGCCTGTTCTGCGCCCTTGTCAGCCATATCCAGCCTTGAATTGAGATTAATACATCTTGCAAGGCCAAACTGTGGGATTCCCACCGGGGAGGGAAGGGTTGGCAGGGGCTAAAGGAGCGAACAGAGACCAGAGATGGGAGGAAGGATGGGGACCGCGCTTGTACCTCATTCATTCCACCTGTCTTCCTCGTTTATTTTCTCCATTGCTTTCGTTATTATTTTCTCCGGTCTTGGTTTCTTGATATGATTCGTTCCTTTGTTCCTTCCTTTGGTACCTCTTTTTCCCTCCTTGCTGCCATTTTTTTGTTGTTGTTCTTCCTTATGTTCCTTTCTCCATTTCTTCCTTCCTGCATGTTTGCCAGTGTTCCTTTTTTCCCTTTCCCTTCTTCAGTCCTGCTTCTATCTATTTCCAGCTTCATACTTTGTTGTTCCTTCCCTCCTTCCTTTCTTTCTTTCTTTCTTTCTTCCTTCCCGAGTCTGTCCTTTGAGAACGCCCAGCTGGTCCACAGGCTGTCATTTTCAGAGAGCCCTATTGGACAAATACAATTTCAACAAAGCCCGGGTAGACATAAACCCAGATGTGCTCTCTGGCTACCTTGTGCCTTGCTTGTGCTCAGTTGGGAATGAGGGAATGAACCCAGGCGTCCTCTTAAAAGAAACCACAAGGGATGGTTTATAGGGGTCATTCCATGTCATTCCCTCATTCCCTGCCTGCTGAGCACCAGCAAGGTACTTAACTCATGCACCCCTTTGATGTCTACCCTGGTTCCCTTTTTCCCCCGTGAGGAGACCTTTGCCTGCCCAGACATCACCAAAGACTACTGCGCAAAGACGTACACTGCCGCCGGAGGGGGTGCTCACATGCAGCCGCTGGGATGAAGATATAGGGGGACAGCAAGCTGAAAGGGTACCCTCACAAAAGAAGTGCTACCCTTCAAAACAATCTCAACAGGGTACCCTCGCAAAAAAAACACACAAATTCAGATATTCCAGTCACTGCAGGTAGCCCTTGGAAAAAAAGAAGAGCACACAGTGTCCTTAAGCTTTCTCGACTCAGCTCTTGGAGATGTGACAAGTCGGGCTCAGCGCTGTCCGATAATTCAGCTGACACAGCCTACGGGGGCAAAAAGAGGGATGCCTATGTGGGCAATCAGGGCAGAAATGACTCTTCTGCACGGTTGCTGACTTGATCGAATGCCGGCCAAAAGCACCCGCTCACTTGAAACCGGGTCCGACAAAGCCACCACGCATCTCCCCGCGTGTCAGGAGATCAAATCTCATGATGCGCGGTCATGTTTGATCAAGTCTGACAGTTGGATTTGGCCGCGATGCCAAGATATGCATGTTTCGCGGCAAGGAGCAATCGCGCAAGTCTTGAGGGAACTCGACAATGGTCTGACCGACTTGAGGTGTGGTCTGGATGGAAATTTGTGTCTGAACAACGCCTTCTGCGAAACCACCACCACCACCACAGCAGCTGGCCGCAGGGAAGCAGGGGGTCGAGCAATCCTTTGGTTGTATGTCAAGAGGCAACCCGCTTCGGGACAGCGTGAGAAACCCAAAGGACACCTGAAATTTGGAGGGGTCCCCTGGCTCGTGGCTCGTGGCTATGTTTTTCTGTGTATGCCCCTTTTAAGTTGGACCAAGCGTCAATGCGCCAGGCATTCGCTGCAGCTTGCCCTGGTTTGCCATTTCAAGCTCCAACAAAGGAGTAAAGTTCAACAAGTGCCATACCACAAATGATTTCTGAGTTTCAGGTACAGCTGAGGAAGCAGTCGTGATCACGTTTACTATTGGAATGTCCGATTCGAATTGTTTTGCGTGCATCCACCCCATGCCTTTGCAACTTGACTGGTAGCGTTTAAGACTTGGTTTGCCACGCCCATTTTGGCCATGGCCAGAGAATCCTGGGCACAAGACGCTTTCCGTACTTTGGAGTCAAATCCAGAGAAGATAAGCTGTGCGGGATGCAAGATGGGTGTGTATTTTGTAAGGGTTCCTGTGGTTTGGTGCTTTCGAGGGAAAACCAAAAGGACAACTTTGCTCTCTCTTTTTTTGGGGGGGCGGGGGTCCCGAAAGAAGACATACCCAACACGTGCAATCATGCTTCACTGAGTAAGTTTACAAGGATGTGGAGACTTGGTCTCCAGACCCTAATATATATATATATATATATATATATATTATTATATGTATATATATATGTATATATACATGTATGTATATCTCGTGGGTCGACTTCCCTTTCATCAAGTGGACGGCCTCAGTTGCCTGGCTACGTTCTGGTGGACGACGATGGCCGCTGGGTGAAGATCAACCAGTGGAGCCAGGGAGTGTACGAGAGGCGCGGTTCTTGCTGCCTGTTTCGTTTGTTTCGTTTCGTTTTTTTTTTTTGGTTTTTGTTTTTTTTTTTTTCCGAGAGGAGCCAGGGATTGCTCGAGGGAAGATATTTCAAGGGCCGCCTGCCTTGAATCACCCGCTTTCGATTGAATGTTAGGTACAATCGGAATGACTGAGTTTGGAGGGCAGATGGTTGTTTTTTGTTTTGTTTTGTTGCTGCATCAAGCCTGCAGGGAGACAGGCTTGCGGAAGTGCATTACACAGCTCCTGCAGTCAGTTGAATACATTGTTATTTTCTTCTTTGTGTTCTCCTTTCTATCCGAGTGCCTGGTTGAACACGAACAATCAAGTTAGTGTGCGTGTGCGTGTGTGCGTGTGTGTGTGCGTGTGTGCGTGTGTGTGTGTGCGCAACTCCCGCGGGCAGATGACGGGTTTGACTTGTGCTGTGTTGCCTTTTTGGAATCAGACAAACTACCATAACCACATCCATTGGCCGATTGTGCTTCATGACTTATCACTGCCTAATACCTACTGCGGTCACTGACATAAAGACTAGCACTTAGGCCAGCCATACCTTATGTCTGAAACTCAGACATATGGTGCTTTGGCCAAAGATCTGTCGATGCCATGCCAATGCCAGGCAAACTAACGCATATGGAACGGTCCGGACCAGCGGCCCTGGAGACGGCAAGCTGGATGATAAGCTGTGTCTTGTCTGAATCTATGGGCAGTTCTCCGCCTGCGTGCAGAGTGATGACAAAAATGGAAACTGACTTTTTGGCTCCATGTTTTAAGGACCCCATGGGCGGTTCGTGAACACATAAAGGATCTTGAGGGTGAAGGATGAGCAACCAAGCAGACAGCACTTGCCTTCTGGCTTTGTTGTTGCCTTCATTCTGCTTGCTTGCTTGAGTCTGGCTTGTTTTTAGAGGCCTGTAGCAGTAGGAACCTGCCTCGCCACCTTTTTTGGCCCGAGTTGCGCCGAGGATCAACGAGCTTATGGCGGCCAACCTGCTGAGAGCGCCATCCGGGGAGAAGTACAACGTTTTCAAAGTCACCGCCAAGGAGTCGGCTTGCACACGACGCAATTTATGAAGCTTAGGGAGAGTCCTCATGCAGACATGCGCCTTGCAAGAAGCACACAAATATGGGTGTGACCTTCTTTTTTTTTCAGGGCCGCCCCCCCCCCCAACTCAAGAAGAGGCTGTTTTCCTTTTGGTTGGCCTTTAAAACCAACCAAAAAGGGCTTCCCCCAAAAGAAAGCACACCCATATGTATTGGGTAGACCCCTGCAATACCGGCCTTTGACTGTTGCTCGGTGGGCCTGGGCACAATCATTGATCAAGTTGGATTTGTTTGCAGTTGAGAAGGTCCCAGCTCTGCAGTTAATTGTTAAGTGGACAACATATGGACATAGCTTTTGCCCTGGTCCTTAACGTGCCGCGTCCCGAGCAGTTTATGAGCCGCTTCTTATGACATCCAGCAATTTAACTTGGATCGCAAGGTAAACAATCGAATCCACAGCATTGTACACCTTAACATTCAAAACAAGCCACCCCATCCACCTTGACAATACACGACTAATTTGGCCATAAGCACGTTGCTCTTCTTGGCCACTCACTCTCCCGCAATGGAGGCCGTATCACTTCCCAGCTCTTGATCTTGTTAACCAAGTGACTTCACCTGGGATCAAATGGCCTCAGCACGGCAAAACATCCTTTCTGCGGATTACCTATTTGGAATCTGAACCAGTTTGAACCCACCAACTGAAACGGCTGCGCGGCGGCAAATTTAGAGACACTTCCACGATCAAAACCCGGGTAGATGAAGTTTAGTAAGGGACAATCCCAACCATACATAGCTGCGGCCGCCTTCTTAACTCTTTACATGGTTCTGGGTAGAGCATTGTTACACCGATCGGTTTTTATCGTGACTCATACTTTAAGACTTGGCGTGGCAAACGTCCCGCATTGAATGGCGCACGCGCTTGCCCACACGCCCGCGTGCAGTCGATGGCAGCAAGCTTAGGCTTGAAGCAGCGTCGCTTTGGATTGATTCGGACTGTAGAAATACTAATTCTGAGCGTTCCCTATGGCTGAACTGCAAGGTTGTAAGGGGAACCACCTGCAATGAATCTGGAGGATCTCAACCGTGGCCCCCATAGCCCAACGGTCCAACAGTGGCTATTACTGTCTCGCTCTTCCCAGCTTTGGTTTGAACTACATTTTGGCGAAATTGCAATCACTCCTGCCCATCGTCCTCATCCGCTTTTTCTCTCGGCACAACCCAAATATGTTTCGAGCTCGATCCGGCGCAGCGAGATTTCCTGGCCTGGCAAGTCTGAAAGTGCAGCTGGCTGAGAAGATGGTCAGGGTCAGCAGAAAGGCAAGCCATATTTACAAGCATCCTTTGGAGTCCCCAAAGCAAGAAGTCGCAGGGAGCACTCACTTCTGACAGGAGGCCGGACAGTCATACTACATTCGGGTGAAGGGCAAGAAGTACATCGACACGGTGCGGAATTTCAACTTCCCTCGATACAGCGCCTTGCAGAGATAATCCCTTCTTCCTGTTTATAAACCCTCATAATAACCCTGCGAGTTTTGCTTTTTTTTGGGGGGGAGGGGGGGGGGACCGTTTATTTGGGGCAGCGGATTACCTGACAAAGGAACCGGTTAAACCCGCATCCTGCGGGCGGTGGTTGGGATTCGCCAGTGGGCACCGCTGATTCGGTGCGTCAAAGCCTGTGATCACTTCACCTGAAACGATCCGGATCTCCAGTAAGGGACACCCGAATTGAATGCAGTGAGAAGCCATGGTTTGAAGGGTTTCAATATGTGGATGCCTTGATCTTTGCAAGTGGTGGAAAAAGGGAAGCCCTGCAATTCACCGATCAGAAAGGGTGTTGTGGTTGGAGGGACGTTCTCTTTCCTTCTTCCGCGAGTTCGATCTGTTCGAAGTTATTGCAATGCCATTCTCCTCGGAATCCTTGCAAGCAACATCAGTTGTGTTGAAACAAAGGGTGTCAATCTGAGGCCTTTTTCGGGAGATTCCATTGTGGTTGCTCTTTGGAACGACGAGTTTTTGACGTTGAAAACGCCGGTTTTTCCCGCATAAGAGGCTCAACTTGTTGCAGGCGGTCGACAACCTTTAAAGTCATTGTGGATTTTCAGAGTTCGCGATGTCTTGGGTTTGGCCGGGGATTTGGACTGATTTCGCATGGGATTGGGTGAGCCGTCCGGCGCTCCCAGGAACGCCCAAGCCCAAAGCCTTCGGGCACGTGCGCCATATTCTAAATTTGGTTCTTGAGACAAACCAGCAATCTCTCCGACGCGCTGGACGGCTGACACGACACCTCATGAAGAGTTGTTTGGTTTAGTCGCTATGTCAACACTATGCTTAAAACTATGTGTTCAGCAACAGCAGGTCTGCGCCCTTGTGCAGGCTTTTGAGATTTCTAGATGAAGAGTAGCTTGTATGTAGCTTGTGCTTTTGCACAAGTGGCACGTTGGTTGAATTGGAGTATGTTTGAAGCATGTGGATGTATCCAAGTGAACCATGTGCTGTACTTTGGCTGTGCGCTGCAAAGGATCTCTGGAAAATCACACGACGAACCTTGCTAAAGGCTGGCATATCGCACTCTCTTTTAAACAACACCAGCTAGATTGCACTTGTGGAAAGGCAGTGCGACAAGTTTCGAGTATTTTGGAACCACCAACCGCTGGAGCAATACTGGAAGCGATGCCTTTCATATTACAGAGCGATGCCAGTGATCCCCGCAAGTAGGCAGCTCCCCATATTTGAAGAGGAACCCTTTCTTCGCTCTGTTCTGGGCAGTTGCGATTGCCACTTTCGAGCTAGGGCTCCTATTCTGTGTATTGCGCCTGTACTGAGCAGTTACGACTTTCGAGCTGTGGTTGAGAAGGCGCGTTCTGTGCACTACGCTTGCACTGAGAAGGTGTGACTTTTGAGCTGGGTCTGCGAAAGTGCACTCTGTGTCCTACGCTTGAACTGGAACGGGGTGGCTTTCGAGTTGAGGTTGCGAAAGTGCATTTTGTGTACTACGCTTAGACTTAAACGTTGCGACTTTAGAGTTGCGACTGAGAACCTGCATGTTGAGTACTTTGCGGGTACTGAATCTGAGCCGGAGCTACAAGCACTACTCTCTGGCCGAGCTGCAAACAATGAGCTGCCACTGCGGAGCGACGGAGCCGTGCCCATTGTTTTGACCCCCCCCACATATTCGAAGGCTTGGTTTTGAGACAGGCCAGCATGCTGTTCCATGCGCTGGACGGCTGACACGCCTGGAAAATGAAGCTGACGCAGGAACGTGGTGAATTACGACTTTTTGCTGGAAATGAAATCTTCCTAGATCAAAGGTACAGTGAAAAGTGGACATGTTTAACAGGCCCCGGGCCGTCCGGGGTTCTCCCAATGGTTCGTAGCTTATTTTTCAGCCGAAACCATGAGCAAGCACAGATTTTAAAAGAAAAACACAAAACAACCGACGGACGGGGAAAAACAGCGCCGCCATGCAAAGCAAACCGCCGCAAACCGTCAGATTCCGCCGAATTCTGTTGATCTCCAGTCATCGTGTGAAACAAAAACACCGCTGCGTTACAAAAAGCGCCGAAATGAAAAAACAAACACGACTCTCTTAAAAAAGGTGTCTTCTTGAAAAAAGGCAAACAGTTCAGCCGATTGCGAAGATATAGATGACTTTGAGCAATACGCGCTTGCGCATTTTATTAGTTGCAACTCTGAATGAGGACGCCCTCACAAAAGACACCTGAATACGAACAACCCAAGAGTCCAACACCAGGGCTAAGTACTTTGCGCTTGGAGCTTGATTCCAGGCACGTATCAGTATTTGGGAGAGCACATGCCGGACAATATGGACAGGGACTACAAGGACCATGGACCACTCCTGCAGTATCTTTCTGAAACCGATCGAGGGTCCTTTCAAAGCTGAAGAGGGGAGTTTGTTTCGTTCCATGGTGAGCAAGGCTAGTTAGTAAAGGCGGTTCCTGGCTTCCAGAACGGGCTTGATCAGTTGACCCCGATGCCTCAAAAGGGTTGCCGATCGACTGTTTGGAGGCACAATGACGTAGTCCTGGAGTCTCCATGACCCTTTAAAAATGGGTCCATGACCCCATTGTCTTGGGTAATGACCCCATATTTTAAGGGTCATGGAGACTCCAGGGATGATTTGGAATTAGGTAGAGGTTGAAGTCAGTTGTGCCAGGAGACGCCAGGACTGCCAGAAAAGTGCCGGACTTGATTTCCTTTTCGTGCAGGACTTGGTTCTGAACTGCTTCGATGCTTATCACCACGGTGCACGGGATTCGTGCAATCGCTACCTGGCATTTCAAAAATGGATGTGATAGAGCGATACAGCGTGCAAGGGTCTGGATGTTCTCATGCTTGTGGCTGTGCATTGGCGCGTCAAAAGTGGTGTCACCTGTGGGGGAGGTGGATGCTCGGAATTGCCGCTGCATGAAGCGTCGAGTGCAGACTGACGCGTCCCGACCGGCCACGGATTCCGGTGGTTAATTCTGGTTGAAAGACGAGCAATTTCAGGAGCTGAAGGATGGCGTAACCGCACGTTTTGGGGCCTTTGCCATAGCCAGCCATCCATGTAGGTGCAGCCATATAGGTTTCAAGAGCGGAATTGTTGGGTACCAACCAAAGATTCCCAGCTTTCTGCATGGGGCAACCTTCTTTTACCATAAGCACTGGGCAGCTAAGCAATCACCTATTGCTCGGCTAAAGCCTGTGAACGTGGAGGAGGGTTTTGTGGTTTGGGTGTTGGTGTGGTTAGATTCGCTTACTTTCCCTTTGTTTTGCCCAACAGCTTGGCTCAGGCTTCTTTATGTGCCACGACTCATCGGACGATTGCTACAAGGCTGATCTCGGTACCAACACCAACAAGCGGTGCTTCAGCGGAGGGTTTTACTGCCGGAACGCATTGCGAGAGCACCACCCGCCACTCACCAACGTTCAGATGTACCTGAAGCTGCTGGACGCCGATTGAACGATTGCGGCGGAAAAGAGAAAGAGAGAGAGAGAGAGAGGAGAGAGGCGCGGCTTGGCGCGAAAGGCCTGTTCTTTGGCCTTTCGTTCCTTGTATAAGGCAAATGAAGCAGCAGATGCCTGAATCATGTATGCAGGGGTTGCTGAACTTATTTGGCAGTATCATCTCTAAACCTGGCTCCACTTGTTGCAATCTACCTAATCTAGCTGCAAGACGTGAGGGAGATCATTTGCAGCAGCACAGTCTCGCCTTCCGTCCTATTGCTTGCCGCCAGGTTGCTGCGAAGGCTGGCGCCTCTCGCTAGCTTTCGTAGCCGTTTACTGCATGAGGGTCCACTTTGTCCTTGGCCAGTCGCAGGTCCAGAATGGGATACCAAGACTAAATGACACCTTGCCCCATCTCAGGTTCATGCCGTACTCACTGTTACACGGCGAGCGTGAGGAGAGCAGACCTTGCAAGCAGTTCCTTCTGGTCTCTCTCAACGTTGAAATAAGAAGGGCGTTCGCAATGCGGCGGCTACCCTTTGAACCACTTGGAAGACAGAGCAGTTGAAGCATCCGCTCAAGGACTCCCATATCAAAAGCAACATGCAATGACCAGTGGTGGCATGTACATTTCAGCACTACCACGGAAGTTCTCAGCAGTGCCGCAAAGCCGATGACGTTCCTGGAGCAAAGAGCTGGGCAAACATGTCCCATCTAAACTGTACACAACGGCTTTTGGGATCGTTCGATGCAGCCATTGCCAATCAAGTTGCATGATGAGTTTGAATGTGCGTGTGCGCGCTACACTGTATGTTTTATTTATACACAACTAAAAGCACGTATCATGTGTATGGATGGATGGACGGACGGACGGATGGATGGATGGATGGCTGGATGGATAGGTACAGAGGTGGGTCGATAGACAGACAGACATTCAACTGATCTCCGATGCCCGAAGGGTTAAGCAGTGAAAGGACACCGGAGTTGATGTTCATGGTGCCATCCAACTGCAATGGCCAAGACTTGTTGACGCAGTTCTCTCCACGCTTCGGTGTTTTTTGGAGGATGGTCTTCATGGTTTTGGACCCATTCCAATGGAGCATAATTTTCTGAAACCTGGGTGATTGGAGGTCTCCCCGTTTGGAGGGCTCCCGTGCTTTTGGGGACGGCGCCTTTGGAAATGCATTTGCCCTGCTTTCACACCAGTGTTCAATACTTATATTCAGGGCCTTCAAGTGGAGGTTGGTGTGCCCTGGCCGAAAATACGGGATACTTGTTTGATGTGGAAACCGAAAGACATCTACACGTAGGGTCATCGCCTTTGGGAACACCTCTGATCCGGAAGTTGGGAATTGGCAGGTTTGCCTGTGAGAGCTGCAATGATCCGTAGTTGGTTCAGAAAAGGGTGCTGTGCCGATCGGTTTCCGGATGCATTGACAAGCTGCCCCCAAAACGGCTGTTTCCTTTTGGTTTGTCTTTAAGATCGCAAACGAAACGGGTACCCTCAAAAAAGACACGCCCATTCATATTGGGTCAAAACCAATGGTACCATTTTGGGGTAGGCGCACCACCCATTTTAGTCTATTTTAGTGGGGATTGGGATGTGCACTGGGGTTCGGGGCTTGGACCCATGGCCATATAGTGATCTCAGCGGCTCCCTTTCAAGAGGTGGCAAACAGCTTTGCCGCCTGCGAAGTTGCGGTGAAAGTGAAAGAATTGCACAGCAAAACCAAGAATATGTGAATCTTCTAGAGGACTTTATGGAGACTTTGGAAATCCTTTTTCATATTTGGGGCTGCAGAGTAAAACGCGATGGGCACAAACAGCATGCGGCATCTTCACAGAGCAGCCATGCAGGGTGATGTTACCTAAAGATGCAGTAAAGGAGGCTTCGGACGCAACGAAGCAGGATTCTAAGAAACGAAGTCCAGGCAATTCTACAGGAAATTGTCCAACTCCATGGTTCTGACGGTTGTTTGGCTATACAGCTTCCTTTGGAAACATATTTTCTGTGGGCAGGCCACGCTGTTCGAGCGAATACCAGAACAGGTTGGAAGGACTAGCCAGCCGCCGGATGCCTGGTGATACAACCGGAGATACCAATATGCCAGCTGTGCCACGTGGGATTCATGTGCGTGTGTGTGTGTGTACCCACGCTGTGTGTTCATTGTACGTGCTCAGATCGTTGCTTCATGCATGAGCAAGCTGAATCAGGCAGTGCCATCGACATGGACGAATCTTGAACATTCTCCCCACATGTGGTTTGTCTGTGTGAATCGCTGTTCTCATGATGGACGATTCCAGGCCTTTGAATCCTAGCACGGCTTTCGCATAAGCATCGTTTTTTTTGGCCCATCCATTCTGGTTGACCGCCAAGATGAGACACATATGCGTTGCAATAGTCGCAATTGCTGAGGTCATTTTATCTAACACGAATACATTTGTCACACGACAGTTTTGCCGGCGGCACAGTGGTTTGTGTTTGTGACTATGTCTCACCGTGACCATGACTGTGACAGTGACTGTGTTTTTGTGTTCATGTACGCTATACAGAGCAGCGATGCCGCCCGCAGGCCTTTCACATACTGTAGCGGCCTTTGTAGCATCCAATGTGAGTTCCGCGCTCTCATGAAAGCATCACTTAGTCGCATATCATCGTGGCAACAATCTTAGCGATGCAAATATCACTTTGCGGTGTTGTTCTTGCCACCGTCCTGAGTCATGTTTTATGACCTGTGCCCTTTTTCACAGTCCCACTCACCACACTAGCAGTTAGTAGCTAGCAACCAACCTCTGGGTGCAGACAAACCTTGGTCCGTCTCATCAACCACCAGGCACGAGGGGAAGGATAATTGTTGTGTTTCATACTGTTCCAGATCCCTGAGTGGAATGCACAGATCACATCCAAACCCACAGTATTTGATGAATTCAATACCCGTAGTATGGCGGAGCTGCCGCTGTCGACATTGATGCCTTGCGTGCTGCCAAGATGGAATCGTAGCCCAGCAGCATATTGGCTTACTCCCCTACACATCAACAGGTCGTTTAAAAAAGTGTCGTTCTTCAATTCAATTTGACCTGCAAGGAAGCAATGTCATGCCTTTGAGCAAGTCAGATAATGCCAACCTTGGATCAATGACAGTTGCTCTGGTAAACTTGCCTCTAGAAGTTTGACAAGGGCCGAGCCCGCTTTGGCCAGTTAGTTGAAGTGGTCAGCTTATTGTTGTGGGCGGCATTGGGCAAGTTGAAACTTGCACGTTGCGGGGGTGTATTGTAGTGATGGAAGTGGAAGCTGAGCCTTGTACCAAAAGTGTTTTTTTGTGCCAGCTCTTGTTGAAGGCTTACTTGTTTTTCGGACATGCGGAGTCTGAAATATCGGCCGCACATGCTCTCAAGCGGCGACTTTATGTTCGGATGTTCCTTCACGAGTCCACGCTCAGTTGGATCTTCACGCACATCGGAACCGCAGGCTGGGACCGAGGAGTTGGGTCTTTGTCGTTTGAGGTGGTCTGCTGCAGGTCTGCTCCTTGGTTTACGATGCCTTGCAGGTTCTATAGTGTCGGTTTCATGTCAAGCTTCGCAAGCATTTTGGCGCCAGAAGCCAACGGGTTTCGAGCGCTGCTCCTTCGGATGTGACACATCGTCACTAGATGTCAATCAGTTCTGCTAAGAATCTCAAGTCATGTGGAAACATGTAGGAACATGCAGACCAATGTTTGGTGGTTGTTTCCTTGCTTCCCATTGGTTTCCTTGCAAGGTGGTGGCAGTTTTTCCTCGAGATCACACGGAACCAGGCCGAAGGCCGTGCAAGAAAGTCTTTCCTGTTGGTTGCAGTATGTGCAAGCACCATTTAATTCGTTGTTGTTCTGGGGATACAGTAGCTTCTCTTCAACGTTAACCAACAACGAAAATGCATCCCTTCTTGGTTGGTGGGATGAGCACTTTGGAATCCTGATTGTAGGACATAGGTCACCTGAAATGTGGCATGGAAAGATATCCTGCAGACCCCCTCAGCCTCGTTTCCGTAAGGCAACCCGCAGCGCCCCTTGGGCATTGCCACGCATCCAATGCTTCAGGTTAAGCTCCAGTCGTTGTGTAGTTGTCTTTCACACTGACGCTACAATTGTTCAGTTTTGCAGGGAGGTGTTTTGTCCAGGCAAACAACTAACGCGCAAACAACAATGCGACCTTCAATAGGGAATGACCAGTTTCTGTCATGGGGAGTGCCCTGGTAGAGGAAGGCCATTTGGACCATCGCCTCCGTTACAAGTTATGCTTCAGTCTTTCATTGTGTGCTCCCTCTTGTGACAAGTAGGAACAAACCGAACATGCGTTGCTGGCCTGGAGTGCAGCAGTGCCAGCGGTACAGGCAACACATATATCAGTCACTTGGAGGGGCCGGCCCCTTGTGCGCAGCCATGTCATTAACAGGAGATTGTCGGCACGCATTCTGGGGCCTATTTGAAACCCCAGCGTCACTTGCGCCTTTGCCGGGGGTCTCCAAATCGGGCCACCTTCAGAAGACTTGAGCACATCCCAGCCATTTGTTGGCGCCTGCATGGCGCTGTAAGGGCGCTGCAAGCCCAAGATGGGCAACAGCGGTGCTGCGCTCAGAGCGAAGGATTGTGAAAGCTGGCATGCCTTGCATGAGTTGCGTGGCTTGCGGCTTGCATGGGTTGGCTTGTTGCAGTTCTTGCAGTTCTTGCAGTTCTTGCAGTTGTTGCAGTTGTTGCAGTTGTTGCAGTTGTTGCAGTTGCTGCATGTATTGTGGTTGCTGCTTGGCCTCAGCATCTGTTTGTACTGGTTCAGCATGGGTTCGATACAGACTCAGGTTTTCATCTTGCTTAAGATTTGCTGTGTGGTGTGTTTGCATTGGCTGTTGTTGGTTTGTATGTACGTAGTTCGTATTTACGTTGGGTTCATTTGGCAGGGCTGGGTTTGGATGTCCCTCAGACAATACCTGAGGCGGTCGTGTACCATATCTTGAACACTTGAGGGCCTTTTGCTTTGCAAGTAGGCCGTTCAGGCTCAACATGATTGTTTCGGACCCACTTGAGTTTGATACTCATGGTTGAGACATGATTAGCATTGGCTTAGTATTGTCTTAGTATTGTCTTAGTATTGTTTTTGCGTTGGACACTTGAGGACTCTTAAGGCTTAAAGGAGCTGTACTTGATGCTGCTCTGGGTTGCAAGTTTGTATTGGGAAACTATGTGGTCGTTCATTCTCACTTTTCTCGGGAAGCAATGTTGGTATTTGATTCTTTACCCCCACACCCACACACACACACACATGCTTGCTGACATGCGTCCACAACCGATTGTGGTTGCCATAGTCTTGCTTGTCCCACCTGGTGCAAAATGTGTTTTGGCTGTGCACTTGGACTTGGGTCTTTGTTTAACTCCTCAAGCCCAACTTTACAAGGTACTTGGACCCTTGGACCCTCTGGGATGATTGATGCAACTTGACACCAGATATTTCAAGAAGACGGGGATTCACTGTTCCCTTTTGGAAAGCATACCCGGGGTCGTCCCCGTGGAGCCTGACTGTGACTTCTTTTGAGAAGAAGGTAGTGGCAGTTTAGCCAAAAGTCCCTCCAACCCTAGTCATGGTTGTGAAGAAAGGGATTTGCTTCACATTCTGTGATACAAGGAGTCGTGAGCATGCCTCACGTTGGTATTGCAGAATAGGTTACTGCCCGCATGTGCCTAATATCAGAGGCTAAACATTTATATACGTATAATGGGATTGTGGGGCACTTGACAAGACAGTCACGTGTTGAATTATTTAGCCCCTTATATGTATATGTTTTGTTTGTTTCATATCCCTTGGACGGATTACTGCTTCATGTCACCCAGGGCTGGGCGGTGCTTCCTGCACTGGCGAAAAGGTCTGCACGCCGCCAGGCTCGGGTTTTGCGTGAGGTTTGGTGAGACAGCAAGGAGAACGACATGTTTGAGGTATTTCCAGAAGTTATGGACCTGCAGACTGATGTTTCACGGCTTACCCAGATGATTCCTTCGCTTGTTTTGGCAACAACCCCAAGAAGGGTGCCCCAAAACGGCGCAGATATATGTTAATGGAATTTAAGCGAGCAATTCGATTGACAGAGGGGCGATATTCGGCTATGGTTGCTGAAGATTGGCTCGGATTTGATAGCTGGGTGTACAATAGACAAGCTGTTATGTGTTTGCAGGGAGATTGTGGCACGACGTAAAGGCTGCTCCTTGGAGCGGGTTTGCCACTGGCAGACAGGTTGGCCAGCCACGACTTCACTCATCTTCCATGCGTTTCGGGGGCCCCTTAACCAAGGACTGTTGTGTGGAAATATCTTTGCCTCTTGGTGCCATCCCTGCAGAGGTTCGGCAAGAAAAAGGATGTTTGCCTTGATAGCAACCTGACAATTCAGCAGAAGCCTGTCATTCAGTATCTGAAGCATTTCCTTTTAAGTCGGGAAGCCAATGTCAAGTCTTACGCTTTTCTTCAGAGGCCACGCGCCGGCGCGCGAGTCTCCGCTACTTCCGGTTCCACTCTGGACTGCCTCACCCGGCGCGGCCCTTGGGTTTTTGCTGGCTCCAGCCTCACCTTCTTTTGTGGTTTCGATTGGTGGTTTGTTGGTTGTTGGTTTTTGGTGGTTTACCGGTTCGGTTGCTTGGTGGATTTCATCAGTCGTTTGTTGGTTGAGGGCCTCTTTCCACAAACACAGGTTCATGTGAATCCAAAGTAACAAAGGTAAGGTGATCATTTGCATGCGCTCGACTCAGTTTTTTCAGCCGGCCTATTGGACTCTCTCTTCTAAGGTTTGCTCCCTGGCTGTTTTTAGAGCCTGTTTGAAGGTGCCACGGGCTGGTCACATCTCTGTCTCTAAGCCTGCCTGGCCCTGCCTCCAATAGTGCCCTCGGAAGGCACTTTCCTTGTGGGTCCAGGGAGCTACAAGTGCTGTCACAGCACTCAGCTGGCAAAGTGCCCTTTCTTGAAGCTCGGCTCTTGAGGGTCTTGTGTGGGACACAAGTGATAGCACAAGCTTGAATTTCTCGTTTGGATATTCCTACCAGCAAGTGAAATGTACATGGCAAGCTTGACTTCTTCGAAATGTTGCTCAGTTGCCGGCAACAGGTGGCCATTGAGCTGTTTTTCTGTGCTTCGGGTGACGCTGTGCGCAAGTCGAGGACCAATCTAAGAAGCAAGCTCCCAGCAAATGTGCAGAACTCGGGCCAGACACCGACTAAAAACCATAGTTTTGGTGGACTCTAGCCAAACAGTGCAAGAAGCAGGATAGTGGCTAATATCCTTGTGATTTTCTCCAGGCTGCTCGATGAATTCGAGGACAATGGCCTATTTTCTTCAGGGATCCGTCCCCTCAAAATTCCCAAGGCGAAACGGTGCTTTCTAAACAGGCAGGGTGAACAGGACGCGGCATCCCTCCACTCCGGCATACAGAAAAGGACCAAGCCAGAGACAGCGGCTCAGGCATCAAGCCATTTTCAGGTTTGCTCTCTAACAGTTAACGCAGGATCCATCATTGTTTTGGGTCCCTTCAGTGGTCCATGGGGCCAAACTCTGTACCCCGAGTCTTCCAGGCGCCGGCGGTGAAGCGTGACCCGCCGCAGCCGGGCTCGGGTTGGCCGGAGCAGTGCCCGCCTATGCAGGCGGCGCAAACCTTTGGATGGGCCACTCGGAAGCCTCGGAAGCTGGGCGGGGTGGGGTGCGGTGGGTGGGTGGGGCGGGGTGTGGAACCTCCCCCCACTTCGAAGGCCCCTTTTGCCGGCCCATGGACCAAATCTTGGCGACCAGAGCAGATATTCTTTGGTGAGGTAAGGGGATCAGGAAGTGTTTGTGCAGGTTCACTAGGAACATGACCTAAGGAGTTTCCATTGGCAGAATGCCACCGGGCAACCAAGCATTGGCCTTGGCCGAACAAGAGCTGAAACTCAAACTGGGGAACAGGAATAAAGCGCCTTAATGAGATACTTAGAGAGGTGCAGGATGGTGCAGGTAGATTGAAGCTGGTGTCAACATTGCCTGGGCATGGCCGGAGAGAGATGATTTATGTGCTGAATGGTCTCAGCCTCGCGACGCAGTGGCATGGATTCAAACAGCTCAAGATAAAACTAATTGGTGTTACATGAGACAGAAGGGTTGCCCCCTCAAGACATCAGGACCAATAGGTTTCAAACTCCGAAAACAGAGTGGGGGGAAGCAATTTTGCTCAAATAGAGATGAGTTCAGCCCCAAATGGCTGAACCTCACCGGGGTGCTGCAAAAGCGACAAACATGATGATTTGTAGGGCGTGTTGCACATCAGCTGGCGTTTTGAGAACTTGTGCAGCGCCTTTAGTTTGCTGACTCCGACTTTTCCTGCATTCCCTGGTTGGGCAGGAGTCTCGCATGCGGTCAGGTGAGGCTTGCTTTGGGCCCAGGATGTGATCAACCCATTCGAGATTCGCTTTGACCCGGGTGAGGACGGAGCGAGTCTGCTGGTAGGCATGGCATGAAGGGAAAGAGTTTCTGGCAACAGCTGGAAGACATGTGGCCTCTGCCCCGCGGATACCAGCTGGGCTTGTTTGCAAGCTGCATGGGAGGGTGCAATATCACAGGAACAGCTGCTGTTTGCAGGTGGTCTGCATTTTGTCAGAACTTTGCATAGCGGATTTGTTGTTAGTAAGAAGGCCCAATGCTTCTGTTCGCAATGTTTGCATGCCTGCCAAGTTGTTGAAGCCATGCAAACAAGGAGCAACATGAGCAGCTGTACCATCTCGCTGCTCGACCTTTCAACATGTTTTTTGGAGCCATGGTTCCTTAGTCCAAACTGATCTAAACAAAGCACCAGACTTACTAAAACCTTTTTGGTTGTCAACTCCGCTGTCCCTTTCAACCAGCCCCCAACAAGTCCACACGTCCACTCCTTTCCGATCGCTCCAGCCACGGGACCAAAGCTCTTTGTGCGTAGGAGGGCTGGCAGCTGAGCGAATCCGTGGAGGTGGGGGGCGGGGATTTGGAGCAGCGCGGGGACGTGGGCGCCTTCGACCAGGCGCGGACGGCCGCTTCGAGTGGTTCGTGGGCTCGGTCCGAGCCGTGAATGGATTTGATTTGTCCATTTTCAGGTTGGTTTGGGCAAGGAAATAGGTGGGTTCCACCGGTTTCGATGGGTTTTGCGACCCGTTTGCCAGTGAAACCCATCTATTTTCCCAAAAGGTCACCAATGGCCGTGGGTCAATGGGTTGGTTGTCCAAAGGGCAAGAGAGAGAGAGAGTTGTTTTTGCAGAATGGGTGTTTTTACAGATTTGAGGGGTCGGGAGCCAATTCCGCAATGGCCAGAGACTTGGATGAGGTTCGGTGTCACTTGATTTGGCAATCTGAGAAAAGATACTTTGCATGCATACAACCAGCTGTATGTTCATAAGTCCATGTCGCTTTACACACATGTGAAGGCTCCATCATCTTGGGGATGCATTTCTTACTCCAAGTTGGTCAATGCGAGTCATGTGTGCAGATAGTTGTCATGCATCCTACAGATGTTGTTGGATTGCAAGAAAACGCATCACTCAAACTCTAGATCAGTTCGATTCTGCTCGATTTGAGTGGTGACTCTTGCCAATCTTCGGTTGCATCCTCCCTCGTTCATCGATCCCAGAGGGTGCAAGCACCTTCCGAGGATGTGGGTATGGGTCAAAATTTATCCGTAACAAAACCGCAGGTTTTGAGTCCTTGCTTCTATTTACCTGGGTTTTCTTTTGGGTACGTATTTCTGACCCACACCCCTGTACTTTAGGGATGAACGAAGGGTCAATGTACATTCTGACTGTATTTGAGCCTGTAGGGAATCATGACTTCTCCGAGGGTTCTCTTTGCGTCATCCCTGTTTGACGACGGGAATCCTTCAACCTTCCACTGTAGCCCGCTCAGTTCACGCACAGCGGCAGTGCGAGGTGGTGTCTTCGGAAGTGTTATTCAAGAGTGCAGTGGGCTTGTCCTTCAGCGAGAAGCTTTAAAAGGCAGCCGAAGACAAGGTCTTTGTTCCCCTCTCCCCCCCCCCCACTTGTTGCTTGCAACAATTCATTCGGTTGTTCAGCGGCGGGCCCATTCCACTCCCTGTATATCCAGTTGGCCCCCTACACATTGCTTGAAAGTTCGGACAACCAGTCGCCAGGACAACTGCTGGCAGTGGGACCCGAAGCAGGCACCATGGGCGCAAGGAGCAGAAAGGACATCAACTGTTGGGAGCCAAAACGGTGCCAGGTAAGTTCAGCAGGTTTTTGGGCTGGCTCGAGGCGTTGCACGGGGATTAGACTTTGGAGACCCCCAAGAACCTGAGTCGCTTAGTTCCTGGTGCTGTCATGAGGACTCAGTGAGAATGCCATGGCTTCAAATGTGTCACATGGTATGAATTTCATGGTTGGGTGAAAGTTTTCCATAGTCTGGACATGGGGTTTGCTATCCATACTTCGCAGTTTACGATGTCATCCAGATTTTGGGGTCCAGATTTTGAAACACACCCAACATGCGAGGCGAGCCAGTATGGTTTATGTGTATGTGTTTTCTGTTTGTATCCACTTGGTGAACACTATCCGACATCGGCCCAGGTTTGGCTAGAATGAGTGACTGGAAGCAATATTTCACCATTTCCCCTGAGGCTGCTGGCCCTTTGCCCTTGGCTACGTGGTAAACCAGTGGCCAGCGGCTGCTTAATGAGCGCTTGTTTGCAGCAGGGCTTAGGTTGCGGTGAGGGGTGCCCTCGGTCACCTGGGTGGATGGTGACCAGAGTAGTCTGCTGCCACCTGCGGCAGTTGTGAGATGGTGAAACCTGCGACGGGCTTGTCCCCAATAACGCTAAGAGCCAGGTCGAAACGGCCGTCGCAGCAAACAGTACATGCATCCCACAGCATAGCCGTGCATCATCTTGACGGACATCGCCTTGTCCCTGTCCAGGTGCTTCCGCACCGCATCTCGCCCCATGTCTTTCCGGAGATCCGGCTGGGGTCTTAGCATTGGCTTTCGGCGCCTTCTGCCAGGTTTTGAGTTCAGCATGCCCAGTCGATCGATCCCAGGCAAGCTTATATAGCCCGTGGCGATGTTCCTATATGGCCATAAATTTTAGTAGGGAACCACCTCAAAAGTGATTGATGGACATGAATCCCCACTGAAGTCTGATGTCCACCATTTCGGGCCCCTTATTAAACAAATCATAGCCATATTAAGGGTGGCAAGCCCTAGCTGCGAAACCAAGTAAAGGAATCCACTGGGATGGGATTGGGCCAACGCATGCGATCCAGGAATCAGGCGAAGGTGTCCACGTATCTCTACTTGCAGACGCCTCCCGGGCCGGGTACCCCAGGCAAGGCTTGAAGCCAACGGAACCAGACCCGGGCGCAAAATCACGCCGGTCGCAGCTCACAAGTGGTTGGTGGACATGAATCCCCACTGAAATGCTGTCCACCAAGGGTCCAAGCATGACAGTAAGCTGGGAGATCATGGTGGTGTGTACGTATGTCCCATGCGACCCACAGCTTGTACCTGCGTCGGACTCTTCGAAAGGGGTGTCAGACCCCGATAGGACATATAGAACAGATTGGCCGGCCCAACTGGTCGGTTTGAGTTCCGGAAACGCCGAATCTTACTCTGCTTGCAGCTAGCCCTATTCCTAAAGAGCCAGATATTCGAGTGGTCTGAAGTAGCGGAAACGACTTATACCTCCGAACAAACCCGTTGAAACCCTCTGGGATTGAAGTTTCTGTACCAACCTCAAGATTTGATCAGAATCAGAGGATCTCCGTTGGATTCCTTCGGCCCTTCGGCCAGCTTGAGCCACGAAGGGAATACGGCCAGTCGGCAACTTGTGAGGGACTGTTTGTAGGAACCTGACGTTCGGGGGGGCTCCTGGTTTAGACCATGTCCTTTCAACGAGACCCCTGAACGTCAGGTTCCATGTTAATTGGTGGGAGGGTATTTGTTTGTTACATCGTCCTTAGAATTCACATGGTATATGATACTGCCAAAACCACTTTACGGCCTTGACTTCAAGATGGGGCCTTTGGCATCCTTTGGCCATCGAAAGGTGTGAGTTGGATCAGGCGCGGTTGCCCTGCTTCGTGCTCAGGTGGGCTCTACTTATGCGCTGTCCTTAGACAGCACCGGCAGATTTAGATACGGGTTTCTCTGTTCATGACAGCCGCCCATTCGCAAATGTTCACATGCATAGACATCTGTCCTGTATGTGAAGGATGCATCGTATCAATGCTGCTTACAACGGGCGCCTGCCAAGACTTTTGCTGTACACTGTTTACTTTGGACTGCTGCGCTGTCAGAATGTGTGAGTGACTGCGCGTCAAATCGTTTGCGCGGCCCTGGGTCATGTAACCAGAGTACGCTTTATTGTTCGAAGGAAACGGCTTCAATCTTGGGGCCCTATGAAAGGACCCCTTGACCAGGTTCTGTCGCAGGTTCCGTTGGCTTACATGGGAGTGCCAAGGAGCGACTTGCCGAACTCCAAGCGCCGCCGGGAAGCCAAGATGCCTTTTTGGGGGTGTGGGACTCATGGGAAGTGTTTTGTGTTTTTCGGTTGCCTTCCAAAGGGCGGTTCATATTTTGAGACCGAAAGAGGAGAGGCATTTTTGCAAGAGTGCTGGGAGCTTCCATGAAAACGCGTGAAGAAGAATAGCCATTTGGCAGAGCTCACTCCAGCCAGTCCAGCTGCCTGAACAGGTCAGTGGAGCAGCTGGCAAAGTGCCTTCCCACTCGAGATCCACCAGAGCTTTAGCTAGCACGCTTGACACACCGAGGGTTCAAGGGATCTCATATATCCTTTGGAGCCACAGCAAGGTGTCGCTTGACACACCGAGGGTTCAAGGGATCTCATATATCCTTTGGAGCCACAGCAAGGTGTTGCGCCCTAGGAGGAAGATGCCGCGACAAGTAGATGAATGGCTTTCAGGCTTGCTAAGTATGATATGTGCTTCCTTTTGAGGCAAGGCGCGTGATTAGCAGTAAAATACTGGGAGATGGCCACATGCATCTTACCTACCAAATAGGCAGCAGCCATGCAGGCAGCCAGTCAGGCAGGAAGGAGATGTAACCTATTTGGCAACACTTGTATAAGTGCCGTAATTTAGTTCAATGCGGTGATGTGCACCTTCCTTGGATGTTCCCCTACTGTGTGTTGAATTATGCACCTATATTCCATTTGCACATCTAGCGCAGCTATATCTATGCGGTGTCAAGTTGCTACCTTGCAACCCCAGCCTGCAGCCGAGGCTTTCGAGTTCTAAGCGCCCTGCTGGACGCGCATGGGGCATGAGAGACCGGCCCCGCTTGTAGGCCTTGGTCAACAATCCTTATGGAAGCATCCGGGAGCCCTTTCACTTGGTTTACGCATCAGCATGTCACAGTGGCACTGTTGGATTGCAAGGCATGTCCTTCCCGCATGCTGTGCGGGGTTGTCATCTATGCATTTGTTCTGGTAAAAGTGTGGATAGCAACATGCTAATCGTGACCGAGCGACCGATGAATGTAGCGCGCTGCGAGTGGTCACGCTCAAGTAGTCTAGTGTGTTGATTTTGAGATCTCCCTTGAGTGACTTTGGCATTCCAATCATTTTTATCTCAGCATGTGAATTTGTGTACAGATTATCTCCGTGTCTTCCTCCCTCCCTCCCTCCCTCCCTCCCTCCCTCCCTCCCTCTTTCTCCTTTTTCTCTCTCTCTCTCTCTCTAAAGGGCTTCGCTAGTTCCCGAACAAAAGGCCCGGGCTGGGAAGCGAGACAAGTCGCAGGACACGGACTGGTACTACCCTGCGCACCCTTGGCATGCCGTCGTGGAGCTGCCCAGGAGCCGACGGCACCCGAGGGTGTGGAGGGGCATGGAAAGATCGCTTGGCCTCGATCCCTTCAGTGGTGAATTCGGGGCCTCTGAAAGTTTGCTGTGAGTGGCGAAGAATGGAAGAGGGATACTGTAGATCATGCCAATCTCAGTTTTGTTGCGCAAGTTTCTGGGAATTATTGGAATTGAACCTTGAGAGAAAACATTGCTATGTTGAGTCGGGTGCTAGAATTGGTATCATCGCAATGCTTCCCACAAGGCAACCACAAAAAGTCGGATGTCGTTTACACCGGGAAGTTTGGAATCTGCATGTCGAGAAATAGTTGGAATATTGGAATAAGTTCTATCTCTTGTGTGCCTTGCTTTAAATGCTTTTCAGTATCATGCTGTTAGTGTGGCCGCCTTGATAGGGTGTCCCCAACGGGACTCACATTTCGTCATCCTACAAGCTTCTGCGGAAATAGAAAAATACATGTTTTACGCAGGTGTGGTCCACTTGAAACACGGGCAGCTGAACAGATCAGCTTAGGAGGAACTCTGTTTGGAATGCGTCTTTCAGGGTGTGAACATCGTCATGGGAGCAACATTTGTTGCTCCAGTGTTGGCAAGGTCAATGTAAAGGTTATACAGCAGTCCACAGATTTGTCTTAACAGTAAAATATTTAAGGGCTGCCGCCCAGTGCCGCCGACCCCTGGATTTAGTTGTGGTTTTGGAGCCACAAAAAACAGTGCCCTTGGTTTTGGTTTCTTTGGTTTCTTTTGGGTGAAATGTTAGTGGCCCCAAAAGGCTAATCTTGTATTTCAGGGTTTTGTTTGCATTTTTGAAGACACGAACAGGGACTGTGACTTGCTGGGCAACAAATGATCCCTGTCATGATCACTATCATCGTAGCATCCTCTGCATTACCAAGGGTGCCTAGCGATGATCATGACTACGCATCACTATCGAAACGGCACCTCGCCTCAGATGCCATTTGTGTCATTGAGATTTGGAGTCCTGCCTTGATGATAATCATCACTACGCATCATTCGCAGCATCTGTGGCAATCATGAGGATAATCATCACTACGCATCCCCAGCATCTCCAGCAGCGATGATCATAATCATGACTACGCATCACTGTCGAAACGGCACCTCGCCTCAGATGCCATTTGGGTCATTGAGATTTGGAGTCCTGCCTTGATGATAATCATCACTACGCATCATTCGCAAGAAACCAAAGAAACCAAAACCAAGGGCAGTGTTTTTGGTTGCTCGAAAACCACAACTAAATCCAGGGGTCGGCGGCACTGGGCGGCAGCCCTTGAACAAGAATGAGATGATGATGAGCATCATGATGATGATGAGAAGAGCGATGACATCATAATAAGGATGATCATGATGATGATTATGATGATAACTATCATCGTAACACCCTTTGCATCACCAGTGCTGCCTAATGATGACCGTGATGATAATGATGACAAGGATGAGGACTGTGATGATAACTATCATCGTAGCATCCTCGGCATCATCAGTGCCGGCTAACAAGAGATGATGATGACCATGTTGATAGTGATGATAAGAATAAGAATAAGAACAAGAATGAGATGATGATGACCATCATGATGAAGATGAGAAGAGCGATGACATAATAAGGATGATCATGATGATGATTATGATGATAACTATCATCGTAACACCCTTTGCATCACCAGTGCTGCCTAATAAGAGATGATGATGACATCCTCGGCATCACCAGTGCCGGCTAATAAGAGATGATAGTAAGCATGATGATAGTGATGAAAAGGATGAGGACTGTGATGATAAGTATCGTCGTAGCATCCTCTGCATTGCCAATGGGGTCTAACGTTACTTTTGAAATGCATATAAGAATAAGAACAAGAATGAGATGATGATGATCATCATGATGATGATGAGAAGAGCGATGACATTGATGATTATGATGATAACTATCATCGTAACACCCTTTGCATCACCAGTGCTGCCTAATAAGAGATGATGATGACATCCTCGGCATCACCAGTGCCGGCTAGTAAGAGATGATAATAAGCATGATGATAGTGATGATAAGGATGAGGACTGTGATGATAAGTATCGTCGTAGCATCCTCTGCATTGCCAATGGGGTCTAACGTTACTTTTGAAATGCATATAAGAATGAGAACAAGAATGAGATGATGATGATCATCATGATCATGATGAGAAGAGCGATGACATTGATGATTATGATGATAACTATCATCGTAACACCATTTGCATCACCAGTGCTGCCTAATAAGAGATGATGATGACATCCTCGGCATCACCAGTGCCGGCTAATAAGAGATGATAATAACCATGATGATAGTGATGATAAGGATGAGGATGATGATGATGATGATGATGAACTGACATGAAAATCATGATGACGCATCCTCAGCATCACCAGCAGTCATCATGATCAAAGGAAGTTTAACAAGAAACTTCCGTAGTACTGGAACTAAATGAGCTAGCTGCTTTGACATATAGCTATGACAGGTAGCTAGCGTGACAAATAGATAGCTTTGACATATAGCTAGCTTGACAGATAGATAGCTTTCCAATAGGCTTGCATGACAAATAGATAGCTTTGACATACAGCTAGCTTGACAGATAGATAGCTTTCCAATAGGCTTGCATGACAAATAGATAGCTTTGACATGACAAATAGATAGCTTTGACATATAGCTAGCTTGACAGATAGATAGCTTTCCAATAGGCTTGCATGACAGATAGATAGCTTTGACATATAGCCAGCTTAACACGTAGATAGCTTTCTCAAGTATAGATTTCGTGGCAGGCGCAGCACTTTCGCAAGCACTCTCTGCGAGCTGGGGGATGGCAAGATGCAGAAAACGTTGGCGCTGTGCGTGAATTGGGCTTCCGGACTGTGCGCAAACCACCTCGGCTGCGACGCCTGTACGGAGGCGGTCTCGGAACGGTCTCGGAGACGGGCCCATTGGCACGGCCGCGCGAAGGTTTCGCAAGGTTTGAATTGCGTGGCAGGCGCAGCACTTTCGCAAGGTCAAGTATAGATTTCGTGGCAGGCGCAGCACTTTCGCAAGGTCAAGTATCGATTTCGTGGCAGGCGCAGCACTTTCGCAAGGTGCTGCGTCCACTCTCTGCGAGCTGGGGGATGGCAAGATGCAGAAAACGTTGGCGCTGTGCGTGAATTGGGCTTCCGGACTGTGCGCAAACCACCTCGGCTGCGACGCCTGTACGGAGGCGGTCTCGGAACGGTCTCGGAGACGGGCCCATTGGCACGGCCGCGCGAAGGTTTCGCAAGGTTTGAATTGCGTGGCAGGCGCAGCACTTTCGCAAGGTCAAGTATAGATTTCGTGGCAGGCGCAGCACTTTCGCAAGGTCAAGTATCGATTTCGTGGCAGGCGCAGCACTTTCGCAAGGTGCTGCGTCCACTCTCTGCGAGCTGGGGGATGGCAAGATGCAGAAAACGTTGGCGCTGTGCGTGAATTGGGCTTCCGGACTGTGCGCAAACCACCTCGGCTGCGACGCCTGTACGGAGGCGGTCTCGGAACGGTCTCGGAGACGGGCCCATTGGCACGGCCGCGCGAAGGTTTCGCAAGGTTTGAATTGCGTGGCAGGCGCAGCACTTTCGCAAGGTCAAGTATAGATTTCGTGGCAGGCGCAGCGCTTTCGCAAGGTCAAGTATCGATTTCGTGGCAGGCGCAGCACTTTCGCAAGGTGCTGCGTCCACTCTCTGCGAGCTGGGGGATGGCAAGATGCAGAAAACGTTGGCGCTGTGCGTGAATTGGGCTTCCGGACTGTGCGCAAACCACCTCGGCTGCGACGCCTGTACGGAGGCGGTCTCGGAACGGTCTCGGAGACGGGCCCATTGGCACGGCCGCGCGAAGGTTTCGCAAGGTTTGAATTGCGTGGCAGGCGCAGCACTTTCGCAAGGTCAAGTATAGATTTCGTGGCAGGCGCAGCACTTTCGCAAGGTCAAGTATCGATTTCGTGGCAGGCGCAGCACTTTCGCAAGGTGCTGCGTCCACTCTCTGCGAGCTGGGGGATGGCAAGATGCAGAAAACGTTGGCGCTGTGCGTGAATTGGGCTTCCGGACTGTGCGCAAACCACCTCGGCTGCGACGCCTGTACGGAGGCGGTCTCGGAACGGTTCGGAACGGTCTCGGAGACGGGCCCATTGGCACGGCCGCGCGAAGGTTTCGCAAGGTTTGAATTGCGTGGCAGGCGCAGCACTTTCGCAAGGTCAAGTATAGATTTCGTGGCAGGCGCAGCACTTTCGCAAGGTCAAGTATCGATTTCGTGGCAGGCGCAGCACTTTCGCAAGGTGCTGCGTCCACTCTCTGCGAGCTGGGGGATGGCAAGATGCAGAAAACGTTGGCGCTGTGCGTGAATTGGGCTTCCGGACTGTGCGCAAACCACCTCGGCTGCGACGCCTGTACGGAGGCGGTCGGAACGGGTTCGGAACGGTCTCGGAGACGGGCCCATTGGCACGGCCGCGCGAAGGTTTCGCAAGGTTTGAATTGCGTGGCAGGCGCAGCACTTTCGCAAGGTCAAGTATAGATTTCGTGGCAGGCGCAGCACTTTCGCAAGGTCAAGTATCGATTTCGTGGCAGGCGCAGCACTTTCGCAAGGTGCTGCGTCCACTCTCTGCGAGCTGGGGGATGGCAAGATGCAGAAAACGTTGGCGCTGTGCGTGAATTGGGCTTCCGGACTGTGCGCAAACCACCTCGGCTGCGACGCCTGTACGGAGGCGGTCTCGGAACGGTCTCGGAACGGTCTCGGAACGGGTTCGGAACGAGACGGGCCCATTGGCACGGCCGCGCGAAGGTTTCGCAAGGTTTGAATTGCGTGGCAGGCGCAGCACTTTCGCAAGGTCAAGTATAGATTTCGTGGCAGGCGCAGCACTTTCGCAAGGTCAAGTGCCAAATTCGTGGCAGGCGCAGCACTTTCGCAAGGTCAAGTACAAAATTCGTGGCAGGCGCATCACTTTCGCAAGGTCAAGTACAGAATTTGTGGCAGGTGCAGCACTTTCGCAAGGTCAAGTGCAAAATTCGTGGCACGCGCAGCACTTTCGCAAGGTCAAGTACAGATTTTGTGGCAGGCGCAGCACTTTAGCAAGGTCAAGCACAGATTTGGTGGCAGGCGCAGCATTTTTGCAAGGTCAACTTTCGCAGCCGGGGCTCGAAAATCGCAACTTTTAAGTATACGAAAGTAGTACGCAAAGTCCACTTTCGCAGCCGGGGCTTGAAAATCGCAACTTTTAAGTACGAAAGTAGTACGCAAAGTCCACTTTCGCAGCTGGGGCTCGAAAATCGCGACTTTTTAGTACGAAAGTAGTACGCGAAGTCCACTTTCGTAGCTGGGGCTCGAAAATCGCAACTTTTAATTACGAAAGTAGTACGTGAAGTCCAGTCGCAGCTGGGGCTCGAAAATCGCAACTTTTAACTACGAAAGTAGTACGTGAAGTCCAGTTTCGCAGCTGGGGCTCGAAAATCGCAACTTTTAAGTACGAAAGTAGTACGCGAAGTCAACTTTCGGGGATTGAACATCGCAACTTTTAAGTGCAGAGAAAGATGGGTAGATAGATAGATCAATAAACAGATATAGAGATAGCTAGAGAAATAGATAGAAAGAGATAGAGAAACAGAGATAGACAGAGATAGATAGATTTGTAGATAGATAGACAAATAACTAGCTAGATAGATAAAGAGATAGAGAGATAAATAAATAGAGAGGTAGATAGATAGATAGGAGATAGAGAGGTAGATAGATAGGTAGATCTATAGATAAATCGCAACTTTTAAGTACGAAAGTAGTACGCGAAGTCAACTTTCGCAGCTGGGGCTTGAAAATCGCAACTTTTAAGTACGAAAGTAGTGCGCAAAGTCCACTTTCGCAGCCGGGGCTTGAAAATCGCAACTTTTAAGTACGAAAGTAGTACGCAAAGTCCACTTTCGCAGCTGGGGCTCGAAAATCGCGACTTTTTAGTACGAAAGTAGTACGCGAAGTCCACTTTCGTAGCTGGGGCTCGAAAATCGCAACTTTTAAGTACGAAAGTAGTACGCGAAGTCAACTTTCGGGGATTGAACATCGCAACTTTTAAGTGCAGAGAAAGATGGGTAGATAGATAGATCAATAAACAGATATAGAGATAGCTAGAGAGATAGATAGAAAGAGAGAGAAAGAGACAGAGAAACAGAAAGAGAAAGAGAAAGAGAGAAAGAGAGAAAGAGAGAAAGAGAGAAAAAGAGAGAGAGAGAGAGAGAGCAAGGGGCCAAGGACAGTTCTCCAAACTATAGTTGTTCACTGCTTTGAAACTTCCGCCCCCCGGCTCTGCCGGACCTTACTTGTAATCATGTCCACGCATCTTCTGCATCTCAAATCGGGTCTAACGGAACACTTGAAACGTATTTAAAAAAAGATAAGGACGATGACGAAGAAGATGATGATGATGAGCGCCGTGATGACGATGCTGATTATGATGATGATGATGAACTGACATGATAATCATCATGACGCATCCTCAGCATCACCAGCAGTCATCATGATAATCATGTCCGCGCATGGTCTGCGACACTTGAAACGTATATAAAAAATAAGATGAGGACGATGACGAAGAAGCTGATGATGATGAGCACCGTGATGATGATGATGATGATGATGAACTGATATGATAATCATCATGACGCATCCTCAGCATCACCAGCAGTCATCATGATAATCATGTCCACGCATCTTCTGCATCTCCAATCGGGTCTAGCGGGACACTTGAAACGTATATAAGAAAGATAAGGACGATGACGAAGAAGATGATGATGATGAACACCAACTGACATGATAATCATCATGACGCATCCTCAGCATCACCAGCAGTCATCATGATAATCATGTCCGCGCATCTTCTGCATCTCAAATCGGGTCTAACGGGACACTTGAAACGTATATAAAAAAAGATAAGGACGATGACGAAGAAGATGATGATGATGAGCACCGTGATGATGATGCTGATGATGATGATGAACTGACATGATAATCATCATGACGCATCCTCAGCATCACCAGCAGTCATCATGATAATCATGTCCGCGCATTGAATCGGGTCGAACGGGACACTTGAAACGTATGTAAAAAAGATAAGGACGATGACGAAGAAGATGATGATGATAAGCACCGTGATGATGCTGATGATGATGATGATATCATCATGACGCATCCTCAGCATCACCAGCAGTCATCATGATAATCATGTCCAAGCATCTTCTGCATCTCCAATCGGGTCTAACGGGACACTTGAAACGTATATAAAAAAGATAAGGACGATGACGAAGAAGATGATGATGATAAGCACCGTGATGATGATGCTGATGATGATGATGATGAACTGACATGATACTCATCATGACGCATCCTCAGCATCACCAGCAGTCATCATGATAATCATGTCCGCGCATCTTCTGCATTTCGAATCGGGTCGAACGGGACACTTGAAACGTATATAAAAAAGATAAGGACGATGACGAAGAAGCTGATGATGATGAGCACCGTGATGATGATGATGATGATGATGATGATGATGATGAACTGACATGATAATCATCATGACGCATCCTCAGCATCACCAGCAGTCATCATGATAATCAAGATAAGGACAGCGGCGACGACCACCACGCCGATGATGATGATGATGATGATGTTGAATCTTCGGTTTTGCTCATTTACCAGCCAGCCTTGGACTTGTAACCGCCCTTCCCATACGCCTCCCCCTTTGAGGAGAAGGGGTCGGCGGATATGCATGGCTAATGGAGTTGAGCTAGATCGGCTCTTGCTGTGACAAACACTTACCGCACAAAAACATAGAATTGAACAGTTTGCCGCAATTCACAAACAGTGGTCTTTAAATTCAACCGCTCCTGTTGCGAAAGTTTAGGCCCACTTTCTCCGGAGATTCAAGCGGTGTCATATGGGTTCAAGGGAAGCCTTGTTAAAAATAGAACTTCGCTGTATTCGGGTAGCTTGTGAGTCGTGCGCGATTGGTAGCACCTACATGGCGAAAGGCCAGCGATTGGGCCGCGATGTGGGTAAAATCTGCATGTTTGCAGGTAAGATAGGAAGAAGTTACCAAGTTTGCTCCGCTGTGGTCGCGATTGGAGCGCGATTGTAGGGTTTTCAGGAAAAGTAATATTGGATAACCCCCAAATATTCGCAAGAGGTTTGTGCTAGCTCGCCCTTGAGTGTGGAGCTTGCGTCTCGGCTCCAGGATCTCACAGGGAGAGCCTGTGGTTATTTCGGAGGGCGAGCGGCTGCTTGGCCGAGCATTGGGTGAGCTGGGACCTCCGCAGAAAGGTTTGCAGAACCCTTCTTAGAACAAGACGGTTCTAGGAACCTTGCCTGTTGATCACTTCTCTGTTGCGAGCGTGAAAGGGCAAGCTATTTAAGGGCCTCCGGCCGGGTTCCTCCCACCCCATTGGGCGTGGAGTATGGCAGCGTATGCATGCGACTTTTTGGCTCATGGACCTTACAGCTTGACGCGCTTACAAGCTTGCAAGGTTACCCTGACAGCCTTACACCCTTACAGCGTTACAGCCTTAACTTACAGCTTAAGAAGCTTGCACCTGTACGGTCTTGCAGCCTTACAGCGTTACAGCCTTCAAGGCTTACAGCGTTACAGCCTTCAAGGCTTACAGCCTTCAAGGCTTGCAGTCTTACAGCCTTGCAGCCTTGCAGCTTTAGACCCTAGCAGCTATTATACACCACAACACAGAACACGCCCCCATGCCAAAGGCATGTTTCATTCTGGGCCAGGCATTGGAACTTCAGCATGCAACCTGGGCGAAGGAGGGTTGTCATGAGCTGGCTTTCAAGTGGCTTGCGTTTCACGGGGGGGTTCAGCCTGTGCCCGACGATGCGCTTCACTTTGGGGCTGGATTCTAGTTAGAGGCACTCGAATGATTTGAATGGATCAAGAACTTCCGCAACAATGCTGTATCCTCGAATCTTGTGTTCGATCTCACTTCCCTCATGCACAAATTCTGCCTTTGGCCTACGTGTGGCCTGAAGACGCTTTGGGACCCAGAAAGCCACAAGAGTTTTCAGCTTGAGGACAAATGTGTGAGGTCTCAGGTCAAACCGAGCCACCGCGCTTTGCCGCGCGAAGTGAGGCTTTGTCGCTTGACGCCGGTACGGAGAGCTTCCTACTCGGCGGTCTGGCTGCAGAGACTCCATGCAAAGCATCTGATCCCCTTAGTACTCAGTGTTTTTTTTTCCTCAGCCAGAAACGTGGGACCCAAGCATTTGATCCCCTCATTTTTGCATATATATTTTTCCCCAACCAGAAACGTGGGCCCTGGTCATATGGCAGCATGGGGTCCCTTCCGTCAAGTCCTTTGGTCCCTGAGGTTGCCAGGACTTGAGTCACGTCCATGATTTCCAGTCACCAGCGGGGAGTCTGTGTGTTTTGGTTGACTACAGATTTCTGTCCAACACGTGGCCTCACGTGTTTCTTGATGTACTGCACTCCTGTGGTGCTATGGTTTCCGTTTATTGGCGGGCATTTTCCAACGCAGACTGCGCCAAACATGGCTTTGTTTGACACAGCGTTTGCATCGTTGGACTGGCCTTTCTGGCCAGGGACGTGTGTGTTGAATGGCCGCTCCGGTGCGTATCATATCGGGGTTTAGCATTTTCTTAGTGCAGCGGGTGTGCCTGGTCTCAAACAGTGCAGGTATTTTATTGCAGGCTTAACCTGTTCGACCAAAGCTTGTCCTTTGTTTTCATTTTGTTCTGGTATCTTAGGCCTTTGGATTCATTGTCTTCCAAGGTACCCTCGCGACTCGGGAAACTATATCCTGCCACTGGTATGGCCCCGTGAACAGATTTCATGAAAGAACAGAGCGAGCGGCATGTGGGCTGCTGCATGACCTTGATTTGATTCGATTGTCGTGGTTGCCTGTGGGTTCACGTTTATGGTGTGTAGCCACTTGTTGGTCCACCCGACAATTGAAGGGTTTTGTGTCGTCTGTATGGCGGAATGCATACGGTCAGTGTGCTCACAAGACGACCGGCAAATGCAATAATCGAACTGTGCTTCTTTGCAGATACTGACTCATTCGCACCATATGCATTTGGCTGGGGTGGGGATGCCCTCTTGGGTGACTTCTTGCAAGGAGCGAAGGGACGCTCTCATAGGTGCAAGTACGCTTGCGAGACTTTGCCACGGGTGCTTTTGCACTTTACCTTTCTGAAACCTGGGGGAGCGGGGGATGCTGAATGTGCTGCGTGGAGTTGGCCCGCCCGATTCGCGCAGGCTGCTGAGATGAGACCAGACCAGGCGAGTCTACCTCACAAGTCCAGCTCACAGATTGTCTCCCCACCAAAAAGCAACGACTCATTTGAGCGGAAAACCCTTCAACTGAAGGGGCATCTCAACCTTTTCTGTTTGAATGGGAGATTGACCGATTAGCTAGAAGCATTTGAAACTAAAGTTGACAAGCTGAGATTAGACTTTTGTCCGGATATTGTCGCTGCGCATTGGAAACAACAAAGCAAGGTTGGTTGTGTCAGTGTGGGCTGGCAGGGCGAGAGGCAGGTTCAGGTTTGCTTCAATCTCAGAGGCTCGCTAGTTTACACAGGGCCTGACTCGCCCAAACACTTTGTGACAGCTAAAAGTGCTTCAAGAGCATGATCAAGCGCACTACTCCAGAGGTTCCACCCGGCTTGTAGGCTGCACGCCTTTGGTAGTCTGAACTTGCGCGTCCACGAGAGGCAGGTACTCACGCCCTCGGTTTGACTAGTTGGCAGCTGTTCGTGTTGCACAATGCGCTATAGCCTAAGTTTGATCAAAGCAGGACATCTAAAACCAATGCAATAATATTATAGAGGTTCCAATCCATGGAACTATGTGCTCTGCCCCAGGTGAGACGCAGTCACCAGTGTCTCATATTATCGTATGTTTACATCCAGCGTGGATGGATTGTCTCACTTCATTCCTATGTAACATTGGCATGCAAAATCACCAACAGCAGAAGTCGCCAAATCTCAGGGGCAAGCGGCCGGCGCGGCTCGCCTCAACACTTTTCTGCGGACACACACCTTATGAGAGCAAGGACGGGCGAGCAAACAAGGACCTGTCAAAATGGTAGGATGTACGAGGTAGAAGATGGCAGAAGAGCAGACTTCAAGGAACACATCCCAGGTCGAATAGTCCTAGTGCTCGATATGCACAAATTCGGCTAGTTGTGGTTGAAAGGACTTTGTGTGAAAATCCTCCAAATCCAGATCTCTGGCTCAGTTGGCCACCGTGTGTTTCCTCATGCCCGAAAAGCGAACTTGCGAGGGGTTTGCAATAGCTTAGCGGGATTCGCATAGAGCCCCATATTGTTTCTCATGACAGTTCATTTGCCCTGCCTGCTCAGAATGGATTTTGCCCACCGATAGGAACTCGAAGCACCTGCGGCAACACCTGCGCGGATTTTTTGTACGAAGGGCCCTTCTGCATGGCGTGCGCTGTGATCCTTATCAGAGAGCCCTCAACGCGGGGCGCCGTAACGGGTTTGGATTTCAGGCAGTTTCAGGCAGAAACAAAACAGCCCCAAAACAGTCTGATATTCTGATAAACTGGATGTGCTGAAAGGTGTGCGCCAAAAAACCGCCCGAAATGTCCCTTCAAACCCCGTTGGCGCGATCCCTCGTCAAGGGCTGCCAAACCTTGGGCCATTTGAGGCCCTCGGATCTTGTGGTGCAAACTATCAGGTTTCCATTGAACCTCCAGACACACTTGGTCCAAGTCAAAGATCCGCGCCAGTTCAAGTCGCTCTACCTCAAAGGCGGGGCGTTGTGTCCGGACCGTCAAACCGCGGCTGTCCGCGAAGATGGGTAACACCACACCATCCCCGCGCGGTGGGGACCAAACTGAAGCACTCCCTCATTCGGTGCTGTGTGCGGCTCGTTCAGATGAAATTTGGGGTGTCAAGACCCAAACCCAAGGAGCTCTACTGGAAATGCGTCAACTCGGCTTGCCAACGTCAAAGTCTGTATTTAGGAACCGGCTGTGGCAATCCCGAGGGGCATCGCAGGTTTGAGGGTGTGTCCGTCTCCCTAGTGTGATGTGTTTGACCTGAATGCCGAGAAAATTGGGGAGAATCTATTCGTGACACGGGGCATATGCAGGACTTTTGGCTTTTGCTGGGCCTTGCTGCTGACACTGGTGTCCACAAGGATGCTGCTTAATATGTTGTCACTACATGAGCTTGTATGTCAACTGCATCGCAATGGCGCAGTTTGCAATACTGTGCTTGGTGGCTCCCAGCCATCCCAGTAGCTTTTTAGCCGTTTAGTGTTGAGTGGTAGTTTCCATTTAACCCACCAAGAGTTAGACTTTTAGCTGGGGATCAGAAAACGGGCAGCCCAGTGTACATGTGTCCTGGACCCCTTTTCATGTGATTTTCTTGGGGTCGGTTGAGGGAAATGCATGGAGACCCCACACACCTCGCGCCTCGCGCTCTTGCCGCAGGCCAGGCCTGGCTTGACCAGCACGGCCGGCCTTGCGAAGATCCCGAGGCGAGAATTTGGGCAGAACGTGCTGCGGCGGATTCCCTAGATATTGCAACCAACCGGAAGCCACGGTAGAGTAAACGCTTTCCCTTGTTCCCTTCCTATAGACAATATTCAAGAAATCCTTGTTCTGGGACTGCCTGTTGAGATGACTGTGGGTAAATCAACCATTGTGGGTAAATCAACCTAGTTTGAGGAAACGCAGCTTCTCAAACTTTCCCTTTCCACGAGAGGCCAGGAGGATACAGAAAATAAGCACCAGGCCTCAACAGGGGCGGTTCCCACCATTCAAGGCTTTTCCCCGTTCCGACCCGAGATTGCTGTACACCCAGCGGGAAGGAGTACTACTCCAAGCAAGTTATCACCATCTTGTGAATGTCACAAGGTCGCCATGTTTTCCTTAAGGTGTTATCTTAGTGCGTCATAAACACCCTCGGTTTCTGTGATAGCTTGACAAGCATAGATGAACCAATGTTCTGCTGGGGAGTTTTTCCTGCCCACTGTTGGCAACTACAGATTGCCTACAAACACATAATATGACTCTGTGACTGTGTCTTTGTTTGGAGGGTACCCGTTGGACCCGTTGAGGCTTGTTTTCAAGGGCAACCAAAAGCGCCCCGCTTATGTTTTCGTTTGGGGGGGTTCTCTATTTTCAGACAAGTGGAAGAGACCGCAGAAACCGATCCCCATACGATCGCCTCAGGCGCCACCGGGCGCCCTTGACATCCGGGGCGCCTACGCACGGCAGCGGAGATCCTTCGAGTTCAAGGCATTGCGCGTTAAAAGGACACCTCAGCCCGGGAGGACTTGGTGCCTTCATAATTAACATGGGACTTGAGATAGGGCTTCCGCAAAGGGCTTCTGCAAAAGGGCTCACGGACAAGATATCCATTTGTACAGAAAGTGGGTTGTGTGCTTTGTTGTTGATGGCATGAAGCATTTGATGTTGTTGAGTTGGTGGGTGGGAATTCTGGGAATTGGATAGGGGTAATGGTACTAATGGAACAGCCAGCAACACTAATGCCGATTCATTCCCTAGATTGGCCAGTGCAGAAAATGGCGTCGTTCGCTAGAGTTTCCAGGACAGCTTTACAGAAGGCAGATATGCAAGGAGTCAGTTGGATAAGGCGGCTTGATGTGTGGTGAAAGTGAGTTGACAAATTTTGGGTTCTTGGGATAATTTGTTATTGCTGTCACCAGGCCATGTCATTAGCCTGCAGAACTTCGCTGCATTCACACATTTGCAATCTTTCTTCACATTCCGTGTGCTGAAGTGGCTCTTTAGAGACCGGCATTTCAGGGCGATCTGATCAGATCCTTGCTTCCTCGCGCCATGACGGACGTGGAGCTGACATGTGTGGCCCCTCCAGCTGAACAAATCGGAAAAGCGGGGCCAAAGCCAGAGGTGTCTAAGGAGCAGACACAAGTGGTTGAAGTGGAGAAGAAGCCCCCTTGGCGCGCCTGGATTTGCCTATTCCTGGTGAACATCGCAGCTTGGACTTTGCCTCGGATTCTTTTTGTACCGACAAGATGGGGATTGTCCTTTTGATCTCCCTTTGAAAATCTCCCAAAATGGGACATTACCCTGAAAACAGGACAGACTCAAATGAGCAGCAGTTTTTACTCAAATGGAAGGATTTATAGGGTCGAGTCCACACGCAAAGGGAACTGCAAGCAGTGTGTTGAGGCAGTGTGTATTGTGTCGCGCGAGGCCGCGCATTGTTCTTGTCAGCAAAGAGAATAGGTGAATGAGCATGGAGATCTGAGCTTGTCTAAGCCTATGCGTGTACATGCATGTATGCATACATGTTCAAGCAAACTCCATGAGCGGCCATCGGGACATATATATATATACATGTACAATATATATATATATATATATTATATATACATACATATATATATATATGCATATTGTGTATGTATGTTTTTTCTATGTAGATAGACACTGAATCGTTGAATACATAATTGTCCACTGACCTTGCTTGCGTGCAGCTCAGGTCGAAGGAATCGATACACAGCTCATCCCCGCGTGTCTTTTTGCCCTTCAGCGCGACGTCAATCTGACCCTCAGTGATGTTGCCATCCTCACCACTGTGCAGATGGTGCCTGAGCTCAATGCCCAACAAGAATCGGTGCGGATGTCAGGGCAGCCCTTTTTTAAGTTAAGCGGGAAAGTAACAGGCCCCGATTTCTTTTCACCCACCCATCTCAGCACCCATTTAGTTCAAGGCATTCAAACTTTGGGTCTGCACAGCGTTTATCCATGTGCCAAATTGATGTCATGGTATTCCCCAAGGATGGCGCTTTTGGGGGAGAAAGCCGATCGCCTCGCGGGATCGGGCCTTCCTTTGAGATGTTCCGCATGGGAATCATGCCGATGTGTTGATCCAATGACCGTGGATTTGTGAGGGTACCCTACCCTGTTGGGGGCTTGTGGAAAGTGAAAAAGGGAAACCAAAAAAGGGACCCCACCCATTTTAAAGGGCTCCACATGCGTGTTAAAGGATGTCTGGAGAACAAGTCACGGACCTGAAGGTGATTTGAAGATGGTGGACTGTTGGACTCCTCTCGTGAAATTTCCGTCCTGACGAGTCTTACTTCGGTTGCTGAGGTCTTGACCAATGTGGCAGCGCCCTTCTGGGGTGTGGTGGCCGATCGAGGAATTATGATGAGGAAGTCGATTATCAATCTGGGCTGTCTTGGGGAAGGCGGCTCGAAGAAATTCGGGAGTGATACGCTCTTTCTTCCGACCCTGGGGACTTCAGCACATGGAAGCCTTCCAACATGTGGACAGGCCTGTTTATATACAGTTTACTCTCTCTCGTTGAACCCTCCGCTCTCATGTTTGTTGTGAACAAGACTGGGAGCCATGTTCGGGGTCCGTGTGTGTGTGTGTGTGATTGTTTTAGGGGCTTTGATTTGCTCAAGAATACATGTTATGTCCTTCTGTTGGTTTCAAAGGGAATATATTACTGGATGTTTTTCCAAGGGTTTTGCAAATCGATTGGGCAGTCTACCCTTTATCTGCTGGGCCCCAATATGAAGGTCTTCAACCGTCTATAGAATGGCGAGCGCTGCGCTCGTCCGTGAGGGAGCAAGCGCCCCTCAGCTCGCAAGCAACAACCGGCGTATCTGGCACTACACATATGACCCCGTTACATGCCCTAAGGAACCGGCTTCTTACATGTTGCATACCTCACATCAATAAACCTCCCGGCTGGTTGCACGCCCCTCGTTGCATACCCGGATGCATGCCCAGACTTTGAGTGATTTCCCTGGACATATCAACATCTGTGAAGAGTCAACTTGCAGAGAGCTTGCCATTCAGAAGAAAAATTGGAACAGGTAGCAGCCAGAAAAGGCCTTTTGCCTTTTGCTATGCGAGACCTCGTTGCATACCTCGTTGCATACCCAATCCCAGCCTGGGCCAGCAACCCCCTTTTTGGCGTCGCGTGGCTTGCGTTGAATAGGGGCAACTTTTGAATTGGAGCTGCGGAGGTGCGCTTCGCGTGCTACGCTTGCACTGCATAGCTGCGACTTTTGAGCTGGAGCTGCCAAAATGCACTTTGGTTGTTCTGCGCTAGGTTGTGCTACTGGTCCATGTGAAGCGCTGAGGTCCCGTTACACATCTACGTTACAAGAACCTCCATTACAGACCTCCACAACAAGATTCATTCTGCGTCGCACGTCACCGACTCTCCAAAAGGTCAGAGCCATATACCTACGCGCATGGTGAGATAGTTGCATGGCTACCTGTATACATGCTGCATACATACAATTATGCATACGTGCAGTGCATGTACGTACACAAATGCATGCATGCATGCATGCAAACACTTGTGTTCTTACAATCGCACATTCACACCTGTACGCAATAATAAGTGTTTTCATTCTTCCATTCCTTTATTCATTCCTCATTCATTAATGCATTCATGCATGCACTCATTCATGCATTCACGCATTCATACATTCATTGATTTCATTCATTCCTTCATTAATTCATTCATTCATTAATTTAATCATTCATTCATTCATTCATTCATTCATTCATTCATTCATTCATTCATTCATTCATTCATTCATTCATGTATTCATGAATTCGTTCATTCATTAATTCATTCATTCATTCATTCATTCATTCATTCATGCATTCATTCATTCATTCATGCATTCATTCATTCATTCATTTATTCATTCATTCATTCATTCATTCATTAATTCATTCATTTATTCATTCATTCATTCATTCATTCATTCATTCATTCATTCATTAATTCATTCATTCATTCATGCATTCATGCATTCATTCATTTATTCATGAAGTCTTCCTTCATTCGTTCATTCCGTCATTGCATCCATGCATTCATGCATTCATGAATTTCATTAATTCAGTCATTCATGCATGCATTCATTCATTATTTCATTCATTCATTCATTCATTCATTCATTCATTCATTCATTCATGCATTCATGCATTCATTTTATTCATTCAGTCATTCATTCATTCATTCATTCATTCATTCATTCATTCATTCCTTCGCATGCATACGTGCATACATGTATTCATTCGTTCATTCATTCATTCCTTCATTCCTTCATTCATTCATTAATTTATTCCTTCATTCATACATACATACATACATTCATACATTCATACATTCATACATTCATACATACATACATACATACGTACATACGTGCTACGCATTATACACAGCACCACATGACACATATATAGTTTCACATAAGGCGTATCACAAAACAACCGCACATACTCCATCATAGCTTTGCAAGACATTGTCATTTAACACAGCCCACTACAATACATACCATACTTTTCTTGCCTACATAGTTTGTGCGTACATGGATGCATACATGTTGAGACATTCGTCTCTATTTGTACACACGTAGCCACAGGGTACCCACGAAAAGACAGCAACAACGGCATACAGTACTAGTTGAAGCTAAATGGCGATCTCTGGTTTTTAACTGCTCGCGATCATTCCACGCCCAGGAATTTCCGTGCTGGCCCTGGCATTTGTCGGCAGCATGGCTTCTCGAAAGGCATGAAGACCATCCGCTGCCCTCCACAACTGATTCATTCAGGTTCACGTGTATTGGTGAACGGTTTGCACTGATTCTTGGTCAAAGCTATTCGGTGCCACACTGCAACTCCCACATACCGTGTGTTAAATTGTCCGTAAATCTATTGCAATTTGCACCCCTTCCAACCCCTTCCAGTGCTAGCCTCTTCTCCCCGGATAATTTCTATAAGTTTTTGTTCAGTGATTCAGGGCTCATTGCTAGTATCCCAGTGGCAGCGGCATTGCAAAACAGAACAAGTTTCTTCCACCATGACTTGCTGTTTCGTTCCACTGCCGCGTGTTGCTGCAAGGTTCCCATGGTTGGTCTGCGCGCCATGTCGGGCTTTTTCATGGCTTCCCTGCGCCCCGTGTGCAATGGCCTCGTGGCGGACATGACATCGGACCACAATCGCGGGAAATATTTCGGACAGATGCAGAGCGGGTACATGCCCCTCGGCCGCAATGCTCTGGGAGGAACAAGACTCGCACGGCACACACGTTGTTTTTTTCCCCTTAAGCTTGATGCGTTGATTGTGTATGACGGAGACGACGATGATGATCATGATCATGATGACCATGATGATCATGATGATGACGATGACGACGAGGTTGATGATGATGACGATGAGGTTGATGATGATGATGATCATGATGATGATGATGATGATGATGATGATGATGATGATGATGATGATGATGATGATCATGTGTGCCTTGCGGCAGCATAATGTGGTCGGAAAGCTCTTGGTAATCTGACACACGGAGCCTTTTACAGTTTCTCAAGCCTTCTGAGTTGCGATCACCCCTGTTGCTGACCAAATATTGTTTTTCAGTGTGTGTTTGTGAATTGAAAGGCACTGACAAGAACAAGCAGATTACAGTATTACATGTTTCGGTCACAGTTTCTGAATCAGAGTACTCGCCACAACTGCGTTGCTCCGCTTACTTTGCAGCTGCCATGTTCTAGTTTCATGCGGTTCCTTGTTTCCTTGACTTGTGGTGCTGTTGCTAGTCTTCTCAGTCGGTTTCCTGGGATCGGAACCATGCGTTAATGCTCTTTGTGCTTGCGTTTGTTCCATTCATGCACCCAGTGAGAACAGTTTTGCAAGTGCCGCATGACTGCAGTTGTTTGCCATGGGGATTGTGAGCCTGTATTCATGTTTAGGGACAGACGAGATGTCTGACGAATATCTCCACATCAACTACGTCTGAGTCGGTTGTCGCAGGTTGTTGCACATGATCAAAGCCAAGGCTCGACCCAAGAAATCGATGGTTCGCTTCCATTCCTGTTGCTTGCCCTTTTGCCCAGAGCTCAAAAAGCTATGGGCAGATTGCAATGGGGCCAAAACAACCTCACTCCTTCTTTCCGATGGGTGCATTCCACTTCCCTCAGACCCAACAGACCAATAGGCAGCCACCTCTACTGCTCTTGCAGGCTGGGCATGTTTGGCGCCACCATGTTCGCGGGGAACATGGCCAACATCTTCCTGTGGTCTATTCCAGGGTGGCGCGTCGTCTTCGTGGCTCTGCTCCAAACGTTTGGCAGGTCCTCCGGGATGAACCCTTTTCCGGGGCGGACAGCGGAAAATAAACAACGCTTCGTCATCGACCTTTATCTACTTCATCAGATGGCTGTGGGTGAAAATTAAGCCACCAGGAGACCGCAGGTTTTAGTCTTTGGTTCCATTTACCAGGGTTCCATTTTGGGCACCTATGTTTGACCCAGAGCCAGATGAGTAAAGCCCCAACAAGTAAGATGGTTCTCTGGGCAGTCGAATCGAGAGACCTCTATGTAATATGTGACTCTAATATGTACTATACTTGCATGTGTGTGCGTATATGTTGTGTTGTGTTTGTTGATGTATGGCATGTAACCCTTTTGTATGTGTGATAAATACATGATATGAATACATATCATCTACATATGTTTTGCTTCATTCGTTTGCATCATGGTTTTCAGTTCCGGCCCAGGTGCTTGCTGCCCTCTTCGCCTTCCTCGTCACAGGCAAACTGGGTTGAAGCCATCCTTTCATGGGGACGCTAATGGGACCTGCCAAAAGGAAGATGCCGCCTGACGGAAGGTCCCTTCAACGGCGCATGGTCTTTCAGGGGGCTTCTGGTTTCACAAGTCTAATGTTGGAGGACCTGGGAAACTCCGCGCAAGTACAAGGGATCCGAATCATTTATGCTGATGATGGCATCTTATTAATATACATCCTCGGGTTGTGGCCGGAACATGTTGTCGTGGTTGGTGTTTTTTGCTGAGACCATCTGTAGCAGGCAGGAACCAGCCCACCAAACAAGGGACTCCTCCTGATTCCCTTGTCTCTACATGTTCATCATTTGGCGGAGGGTCGGGGGTAGGGTCGTTGCCTCCTTGCTTCGCTGGTCAAAGGTTTCAGTGTTGGGTCCTGGGTGCTTCCCTGCCTCTCCAGGAATTGTGCTGAAGTACATGCTGGAGCCAGAGCGGCCTCCGCAGGAGGAGGGTGTTCCTAGGAATCGGTCCATTTCCCATGGCTTTTGGGTTTGCTTTTAGTGTCCCTTCAAATTGGGTTTGTCTCGAAATAGGGGTACCCCACATGGGTGGGTGTTTTCCTTTTGGTTTCCCTTTAAACCGACCCGAGAAAGGGTACCAACTCAAACAAGAAGGACCATGCCAAAAGAAACGGTAGGAGGGACGACTTGTCCTGGACGAGTTGCGGGCGGTGCTGCGCTTCCTGAAGATCCCAACCTTCAGCGTGATGATCATGCAAGGGGTCGCTCTCCGTGGGGGGGGGGGGGGGTCAATCTGGGTGTGGGTGTTTTTGTTGAGTACCCTTCAGGTTCCCTTCAATGGGTGGTTTGCTGGTGAGGAGGGTGTTCCCATTTACCCTCTACAAGAACCAAGGGTTCGGGAACCCTGGTACCCTTTACCTTTTACTCTAAAAGGGGGTCACAATCACCAAGTCCGAACATGGCATGTCCTGCCTCTTGATTTCTTTTGGTGTATGCGCGTCGGAAACGGTATGATTGTTTCTGTGATTTCTTGTCGGTCCATTGCTGCAATTGCCAGCAGGATACTTGATCTGCCCTTTTCGTTTTTCTCAGTTTTGTAAGCTTCCAAGAGTCAAGTCCCAAAAGACGAGTTGAGCTTATCTTGGAATCAGTTCGTTTCGAAAGGTCTTCGGCGGCATTCCCTGGACGGTCATGGGCAACAACCTGCTGTACTTTAAGCTCTCCGGCCTGCCGGACTGGCAGGCCGCCATCCTGACCTCCGAGTTTACGGCTCCTCGGATCGGACGACAAAAGACCCCGGGCCCCGGAGATGCATCTGCCGATTTGTTGATGAAGTGGGGGGTAAAACGAGCTCGTGGTAAAGGTCCTTTACTTGGGAGGGTTTGGGCTCGAACCTTCCCGCGGTGCCCTGTCATGGGCCCTGCGGATCGAGCCAGGAAATTCCAGGTCCAGGACACGTTGCACCAACGTTGCATCTTTGTCAACGGCCTGCAAGTCGTTGTGAACTGACTGCCATTTGCATTGAGTGTTGCTGCTGGCAATCAGTTCTTGTCCCTTTGGGCCCTCCCTCATATGACTTGGATGACTTTGGCAACTTTGTAGCAATCTATCCGATTGCCGAGCCGTTTGAATATGAGTCATGTGTGTGGTGCCTCCACGTCCGCAAACACTGCCACTGATGCATGGAAGGGGCGTGGCACAAGTTCCATCTTCTTTGCCGCAAAGACTGAAACGCAGCCGTTCAAACTTGCAATGCTGATTTGTGGAGGATTCGCAGGATGGACCCACACCATTCGCTTTGTGCAAAAGCATTGAAGTAGTAGCAGCGATTGGCTACGATTTCCAAGCTGCAGTTGCTTGTGCCAGAGCCCCCTGTGCTTCCCTCAAGCCGAACGCGCCTCATTCATGGAGCTGCGCTGACAGCTGGAATTAAGCCCCCACTGGTCTGGCCTCAGGACTTGGCAGCAGCATACACCCTGGCATGCCCAGCGCACGTGGGAGCACTTGGACCTCGCCTGCGTTGAGAACTTCAAGGGCGCCCGTTCTAACGGCCCCATCCCAGCGATGCCTGTGATTTGCCGACATAGAGTGCTGCAGTCAGTATGCGGACCCCGCGAATACATGTGCAATCAATCCGCCTCCCCATCTTGTCGGTGTGGAGCCGATCATACCGGCTTGGTAGAAAGCAATGCATCCTATTTCATTGCCTAGTGAACCCAGGCGAACTTCCTAACATCCTGCCGCACTTTGACTTTGGAGGTGTCTTCACGCAGCCAAACAATCTGCCCACGATGGTAACTCCATCCAGCTCCTTGCAAAAATTGACGTAACCGCCTTCCTTGACTTTCTCTCTTTGTGGAGCTGAAATCCCTTAGAGCTTCTGGCAAAGCCTGCCTGAATACCTGAGACCCCCGCTGACATCACTACTGCTTAGTTTGAGTTCTGTTGGACAAACCACTGCCGAGCAGTGAGTCAAAATTGTCCACACGCCGCTCTAATCTGTAGCTGACCGCTGGGTTTCTAGATTTGTGCTTGGACCTTTAACCCTGAGACATGTGGTTCCACGAGCTGCGTCTGACACCCGGTGTAGCCAGGGCGAGCGCCTCACACGCTTTGCTTTACAAAGAGCTGCTGACGATATCGGATGCGCCGGGTAGATACAGCAAGCGTGCTTCTGCTGCATTTTCACCAGGCAAGAACCGGTCCGCCCTCGCAGCCGCGGGGGGCGGGCCGCCAAGAAGCGTCGATGTCCTGTACTTGGATATCCCTTAGTTCAATTTTGCAATAAGTCCAACAGCCCCCAACAAGTGGAAACGGTAGGCTTGATTTGGTGGTTCCGGTGATTAGGGGAGTCCGGAGGAGGCCAAAGTGAACATGAGTCAAGGAGCATGCTTCATGTCAACTCCAACCTTTCCGCATGACCGTGCATATGAGTGTGGTCCCCCTGACATGGTTAAAAACGTTGACTGGGCGAGGGACCGCAAATTTTATTGATGGACTTTGAGGTGTGAACATCAGTCGAGGGCATTTTCAGAGTCCAAAGAAGGGTCAAACATGTGGAGAATAACGAGGATTCGGCGGTTCTGGCCGGAAGACCGAACGAAAAGCAACAATCGTTAGTGGGGAACCTGGGAACCTCTTGTAAGAAACACCCCCCCCGTTTTGTTTTGGCTGCACAATTCACAAGAGGCTGTCTTTTTATAGGGCATGTTAACCATAGCTTGTTGAGTGCCAGTTCTCAGTGAGCAATTGCTGAAGCCTCCAATAAACAGACAGGGCGACAAGCCTGCAAGGATATTTGATGGTTTGTGCCTCTTCCCTATGAATGCCATCGCCCAGGCACAAGTTTTCCCCTCTGTGGGTCATGGGGTTTTTTGCTCCGCTGTTTCGGGCGTGGTGGGCGCCGGCCCAGGTCATGGGCACCTTCGGGGGTTTGCTTGGGGGTGTGGTGGCGGATTTCTTGGCGCGGCGCTGCGGGCTGCATGGCCGGCCCTTGAGCGCCCAGTTCACTGTGGCCGTTGGCATCCCACTGACCCACGGCACAAATGTGGCTCACTACCCCATTTGCTGAAATTGATTATACATATGTGTATATATATATATATATATGCATTTTCGGTTGTAAGGGGAATCGATTTCACTCTGGGGACTTAACAAATTGGGCTCTGAAGGGAAACCGCAAACCAACCATTTTGTGGGTAATTACTCTGTTTTGGCACATATACAAATGGATTGGTCAAACCGGGAAGGACATTCCACGGAAATATGGCAGATGGGAAATTGAACGAGAACACTTGGTCTGCAAATGAGCCAAATGAATTCCCGGGTGTTTTGGGTGTTTGGCGAATTTTCTCAAGAGCTAACTGTTGGTTTCATTTGTTCTGGGCTTGGATGGTTCATGGTCTTAATTGAAAATTGCTCCCAAAACTAGGGGCCTGCCACTTTATCTGTTGGCACACAGGCAAATCTTCGCCTCAAACAAGGAGCGAAAGGAATATAAGCGGGGTTCAGTACCTCCCAGCTGCGTCAATGAATGCTCGCCCAAACGAAGCTGGAAGTCAGTCTCTAGAAGTGAAATGGATGTTCGATTCCAACGAAACGTCTTGCAGGAGGCCCCACGATGCAGGGAACATACATCGCGTACGTGACACAAAGGGCAGGATACTTGGGGCAACCCCACGGGCAAGGTCAGTGTTGGGAAATATCTTAGGTTAAGCTGCCAACTGCCATGCACCCTGTGATGTTTGAAGGAACACACAAACAAGTTTGAAAAAATGTTTCAGCGTTGAAGAAGCAGGGTCTGCCCGCCCCACCCGGGGCATCGTGCAAGCTGCCACAAGCCCTGGGCTTCACAGACCCAGTTGGTTTTACAAAAGGGAAGAACACAAAGCAAGACGCCGCTATCTAAGCCGAGAAGGTGTTTTGGAGTCAGAGACAGCAATGGCATCGAGAAACACTGGCCATTCGGACTTGCCTCCTTTTAGCAACGCAAGCCAAGCGCGTGAGGATGTACCTGCAGTTCTATGGCATCCCCGCCGGAGAAGGCAGGAAGAACTTGTGAGAATACACGTCACCCCCGAAAGTGGGGAGAGGCGCAAAGGCGGTAAGCTGATCATTCGAAAACCACCCCAGCAAAGATGGAACTATTGTTGTACTGGCTCCTTCAGGTGGTCGCCCACCTATCCTGATTCTAGCTTTACAAAAAGGCGGCCATGCGACAGCGATATCTCGCAAGATTCCTGAGGCACGTGTGGCAAGGTTGCTTCCCTAAAGCCTTACTTGTAGGACAGCTCATGAACCCTTTAGAAAAGATAGGATGAAATGGGGCCTTTTTTTCTCATTTGTTGCTGCGTTTGGCTGAAGCTGAATCCAAGTGATCCAGTAGAGACAGAACCCGCATGAAGGTGTTGAGAACAGTAGGCTTGCCACCTGGCCTGTGCCTTTCGGTGTGCGACAAGACCACGGATGGATGCGTGTAGATGCCAGCAGGTCTTCTGTTTGCTGAGGGTTGCGATATTGCGTTGCAGAAGTGTGGAGAGCTGAGATTGCCGCGATTTCAATTCCTAGGTGTTTAGCAAAGGGTTGCTCTGAGAGGTGCAAGGTAGACTTTGCCAGGGCAGAAGCGGTAATGAACCCTTTCCATCTATCATCAACCATGTGCCTGCTCGGGAAGCATTATGTCATGCATCATAGCTTTCTTCATCAGTCGCTTGAAGGTTTACCTTTTGACAACTCTAGGGTGAGATTGGGGCAAAAGAAGGCTACACTCGGGTTAAATTACCCAAAGTGTGAAAGTCTGGATGCGGCTTTTGAAGGCTCCTTCCTGGCCTACGCCACCGTCGTTGCGTGCTTCGGTCTCTTTGCCACCTGGGCGGGTTCCGGAACAAACCTGCGCCGCGGCTACCAAATTGAGCCTCAAATGCCTGAAATTACTGGGCGGTCTTTAAGACCAGTTCAGACCCTGTTGCCTGGTAGAAGGAGGCTCGTGATTCGCAGCATTTGTTTATTTGGGCCATGCGAGTGATAGTGGGGGCATCAAGCCTGAAAGAATGTGGGGCACAACCTGCCCCACCGTATGCTTGAATCCATTCCAGAAGTGCGCGGACATGAGGGTACCTGGTTTTGAGTTCTTAGGAGGAGGGGGCAAAGAGAGAGAGAGAGAGAGAGAGAGAGAGAGAGAGAGAGAGAGGTGGAACTGAGGAGATATAACTTCAGATGGTTTTCCTAAACGCTGCTTTAAACGTCAGGTTCACCGCAGAATTCATGCGCTTAGTACCGAACCCCGACTGCAGATTTCGGCAGGTTGATGTTTGGCCGCTGGCGTGGTTAAGGAATACACCAAATGGCCAGCCACGATCGAGAGCTGGCCAGCTAGTCCAGCAAGCGATTCGGCTAGCCAACGGGCCGTCATCAAGCAATGCAACAAGATGGCTTTCTGCCAGGTAGCAGAACAGTTTGAGTGCGACTTGATCAGTCAGTTGGCTTTGCGCAGGGCTACTTGTGCAGATTGGTGAATCAATCAGCAGTCTGATAAGGTAGCTCGCCAGTGACTAGGTATATAGTGGCTGCCTATCTGATGAGTTAGCCAGCAAGCCAGTCAATTAGTTAATTCTCCTGGCTGACTAAATGATAAATGGCTATTAGAAGTCGCGCATGCTAAATTACGCCGTGGTAGCCAGTGAGGTAAGCAGCCAGGTAGCTAACTCTGTCAAGGAGTGCATAGCTATCATGATTCGCTCGCTGGCCACGCTATCAACTGCTCAGGCAGCTAGTTGGCCAAGTGGATGAATGGTTGGTTGCTTGGTTGGACGGGGGTTGGGCGAATCCCCTCTCGGTAGCTCGAACCGCGCCTACAGCGCCTCGCCTAGGCCCATCTTGTCGGACATTGTGCCAGCCCGGGACCGCAGCAAGGTGATGGCCTGGGAGGCAGGGACAGTTACCCCAAGCAAGGAACAGCAGCTTTGACGCATGGGGGGAGGTTTTCCACAGGGAGGTTCTCAGATCTGATCATGTGTTTGTGTTTTTTGGGGAGGTCCCGTGAATTGCCCGACAAACGCCATTGGCCACGCTTCCAGCACAGTGGGTGCGGTTGGAGAAATTGAATGAACACCTATTGGGTGGGGCTTCTCTTTTTTAAAGACCAAACATGTGTGTGCGTGTGTCTCACAGAACAGAGGTCGATACAAACGGCTTGCTTTGGTCTTCTTTGCACACCCGCCAGAGAGGCGTTCCCAATTTCCGAGAAGCATCCACAGCTCCCTTGCGGTGAATGTTCACCATTCCGTTTCGGCTTCCTTTGCGTGTGATGTTTGTGTCATACTGTGGATGGACGAAATCCTGCACCACTTGGAGACCATGGGAAACCGTTGTTTGTTGGCATTTACAGGGGAATCATCCTCTCAGGGTTTCTTAGGTGGTGCGAATTGGGTTTTGTCCATCCACAGTAGGGCAGGAGGGGGCCTTGTAAGCGCCGAAGAACTTCTGGAAGCCTCCGGAGAGAAGCCCAAGGAACCCAACGTGAGCTTACACCGATGGAGATCACCTGTCCAACCTCATGGCTACGGTTTCTTTTTATGGGACCCCAAGAATGGGTGACTTTCCTGTTGGTTTCCCTTTAAAACCACAAAACAGGGGTACCCTCAAAAACGACACACTGTCATAGAATAATATTTTCTGGTTCCCTGCACGCATGCCTGGAGAGATTCGTGCTCGGGGTGAGGATCATGCAGGGATCCATAGGTCAACTTGCAAGCTCGAGCAAGTATAGATGCCATATTGGCGTCCAGTTTGCTCAGGCACTCAGTGACATGGGAGAAAGGTGGTTTGTTAGACCCTTGCGATTGACTTGTTATCATTATCTGGCAAGCAGCCAGGCAGCCAGGCAGGTAGCCAGGCAGCATACATTTACCCCCAAACATGCAATCATGTGTTGCACTTCTCCATGACGAGTGACTCTTCAAATTCCAAGATTTAGCCTCATCAACCCATGTTAGAAGCGATCTGTTGCAGGACTCCCTTTCAAGTGTTCCATGTGAGTTTCCAGGAAGTAAGTTTCGCGCATGGAGCAAGCGCCGAAGCCGGCGCCAATCATCGGAATCGCTAGGGTGCGCTGGAGAGCTCCCTGGCAACTGCCATCGGACCATTGTTTGTGTCCATCCTGGCAGACCGAATCTTTGGCTACAAGTTCGGAGAGGACGGGCTTAGCAATTCAGAAATGAAAAAGAAACGCCGTGCTCGTGGCATGGCAGTTGTCAAGTCGGTACAGTGGCGATCGGAATCGATTGTGTGTTTGTGGGTGTGGGTGGTTCTTTGTCTATACCATGTGGTTCTTGTTGGATGTTTGTTGTTTTGCTTGCGTGCTTGTTGTTTCTTGTATGTCTTGTATTTCTTGCTTGGTTGGTTGGTTGGTTGGTTGGTTCGTTGGTTGGTTGGTTGGTTAGTTGGTTGGTTGGTTGGTTGGTTGTTGGTTGTTTGGTTATTTGGTTGATGTATTTGTTCTTTGTTGTTTGTTATGTTTTGCTTGTGTGCTTTCTTGCTTGCTTGCTTGCCTGCCTGCCTGCCTGCCTGCCTGCCTGCCTGCCTGCTTGCTTGCTTGCTTGCTTGCTTGCTTGCTTGCTTGCTTGCTTGCTTGCTTGCTTGCTTGTGTCTTTGTGTTTTTGTGTTTTTGTGTGCTTGTGTGTGTCTCAAAGTAGGTATCCTTTGGTATCCTTAGCTCATTCGGAGCTGGCAACTGTCAATCACCCACACCAAACCGCCTAAACCATCCTGCTCACTGAATGGGGGCCACAGTTCTGGAAAGGCTGGATGATGGATGTCTCAGTGATGCCACAGAGTCAACTAATGTCAACTTTGCGGAATGTGAGCGAGTGTGTTCTTGCTGCAGGGCGTGAACCAATTGAAATGTTTGTTTTGCAGGCTTCGTTTTTGTCCACAGCTACGTAATTGGTCGAATGGGGTCCAATTTGCACAAGCCATGCCTGCCTCGAATCGCAGGAAGAGAAGAGTGGACAATCGATTGAGGCTGCAACAGCCCTTGGCAAGGCAATGGCCGCAACTTGGCGCGATGGAAAAAGGAAAAAGCCTGGATCCCGCCCGGACACTTTGTCCAAACGAGAATCAGGGAGGTAACACACGGCGCACTGCGCACGGCGAATTACTTTTGCAAAGGGTGCTCGGGGGAGCACAAGGAATTTTGCCTCTGGCTCATGTGTTTGACTCTTTGACCCAGTCCTTCGCTTGCCTGACCCTTTCCGATTGTTTGGTTTCCCTACTGGCTACGAATGAACAGAACAACCAGGACTTCCCTTCAGGAGGACGCAGTTGACCGTGCTGCATTCCTCTTCTTCATTCGCAAATCATTCATGTTTGCTGTTTGCTGAGCAAGCATCGCTATTACAAGCCCCTCCCCGGTTTGGCAACTCAGTGACCACAAGAGCTTCGCCAGGAAGGGTTCAATGAGCCAAAAGGAATCTCCGAGGTTCGTTCGACAGCCAGCAGTCTCAGTGTCCTTTTTCCTTGCTGCATTTGTTCGTTTGGTTCGGTTAAAGCCATTTCAGTGGCACTTGACTATTTAAAGTTCACCGCACTTGGCACTTGTAAGCACACTGATGTTGAAGTTATGGTTTGTAAGCCCAAGTTTTGCAGCTCAAAGTGTCTTATTTTCCGCATTTGGTTATAGGCCAAAAGAGCCAGGGCATTTTGACTCGTTTTCCAGGCTGAGTTACGCATGTAGCCAACGCCATTTCAACATCTTTCAACCCTTGCCTTCGAATTTCCCTTGGACAGACGTGTCACTTTGGTTTCAATAGGTCCGCCGAGTACAGCCAAACCCCGGGCGCCTTCAAATGGGGAACCAAAGGTTGGTCGCTTTAACAATTGATATCTAAACATGTTTAAGCAGATGGTACAACCCTCTTTCTGGTGCCCTACTCAATTTCCAAGAGTTTGTGATTGTATTTCGACATAGCCGAGCAGCGGTGTTGTGCTGCACATGGAGGGGTCTTGCACTAGCTTGTATATCATGCCTCAACTCACGACATGTCCAAAACTTGGGAATATCCCCTCAGATGATGTTGAAAGGACAACCAGGACGCCCACATCCAGATTCACAATCATCTCGCTGTGGGCACTGTTCCTGTCCTTCAGCCTCAACAGGGTCTTACAAGCAAACACAGTGGCCAGATGACCCGGATATAACATGATCATGTTGTATCCCAATTGTCTAGCCGAGCTATGTGTTTGTGTGTTTGCTGCAACAATGGCCATCCCCAACGCGTGACGTTAGCTTTGACCGTTAGCTGAGATTGGCTGAAGTTCAGGGCTTTTGAGTCAGACATGCGTCAGAATCAAGACGCGGCGAGCAAATGAGTTGATTTGACCCCTCGCTCCAACAGATTAATATATATATATATATATGTATAGGTGTGTCTTTTTTGAGGTACCCCTTTCTTGATGGTTTTAACGGGGAACCAAAAGGGGTCGAAGCCATTTTGGGGGGTCCAACGTTTAAACAGACAGACACATATCAGTACTTGAATCGCCGGCCGGGCTGCAAGTTTGGCTGGTCCTGCTTGTTCAACTGTAGGTCCCTCAAATGGCGCTCCAAAATTCAAGGTTCTTGTATTTCTTTTCGGGGTTTTATGATCGGCTCAACATCTGTGACAGCTTTCCGCCATTCGGGGGGTGGCCAGGGTCAGGGCTCCTTTAGCCTGGGATTCGTTAAAAAGTCTTCAATGGGCTCACCTCAAGCAGTCCTGTGAAAGAGCTTCTGCACAAGGGCCATGTGGCGTTTCCACAAGAGGTCCGGAGCTCCAGAATTGGTGGTGTCCTTTTGCTTCGACTTTGAAACGCTGCTAAAACGGGAACCTTGCTTGGCCGAGGTAGCGATTTGCCTGCCATGGACGCTGACGCTTTTGGCCTACACGCTGATGCACTGGAGCTATCCCAGGGACATGCGGCTTTTGAATGAGCGCAGGAAGACGGCCCAGGATGTGGGTAGCCCAGTGCCTGCCGTTTGAAAAGGGCTTCCAAAGCCCCTCCTCAGGGCTGAATCTTCCATTTGCTGAAATTAATATTTGTTGTTGTCCCTTTTCTACTGGAAGTATGTGTGTTTTTTGCAGCGAACTTCAGCAAATGGAAGGAATGATTCATTTACGTCAGCTGGTCTAATTGGCCGGCCAGGCAAGCTG